GTCGTCATCCAGGCCAAAGCTGCGGTGGTAACCACGCAGCGAGCGGATGAGCAGGGCGTCATCATAGGCAGCTGCCAACCCCGGCACAGGCAGGGCCTGGATGACGCCCGACACCAGGGCCGTCTTGAGCACCTGCTCCTGGAGCATGTCCTTCTTCTTCTGCAGGGCCTCCAGCGAGATGTCGGGCAGCGACAGCAGGCCTGCGTGGCGCCGGTGGGCAGGCAGGTCATGCTCCCAGGTGGACACGAGCGTTGGGAAGTCGTAGCGGGTGGGTGACAGGTTGGACACCAGGAAGATGCGGGGGTCAGACACGCCGACCGCCCGCAGCCGCTCGGCACAGTGGTCTCGGATCTCGTGCAGGACGGTGGCCTCGCTGAAGCCCGAGGGCCGCTGGGTGCGCGTGGCTGCCAGGTCCTCGTCCACTTTGGTGCGCACGAAGTAGAACTTCTTGCCCTGGCGCAGGATCTCGGAGGCCAGGCGGGTCTCCACGGCCCCACAGCGGCGGGGCGACACCAGCAGAAAGAAGTCATAGCGGCTAAAGTCCACCTGCTTCAGGTACTTGTCGGCCGGGCAGCCCGGGGAGCCGGCCCCTGGGAGATCCCACAGCATCACGTCGGAAAACTGCGGGTGCGGGTAGGGCGAGGGTTGTACTGTGGTGTCCACCACGCCCGTGAGGGCTGCGCCAGGGTCCTCGGCCCCCAGGCCACGCAGGGCATTGATGAGGGACGACTTGCCGGCCCCCGACTCGCCCGTGACGCCCACTTCCAGCCGGATGCTGTCCGTGGAGGCCAGCAGCTCTCGAAGGCGGGAGGCGGCCTGGGGAATGTCGCCAGACTCGAAGGCTGTGCGCAAGGCCTCCAGCTCCTCCTTGGCCATGAGGATGGTGCTCTCTTCCCCAGGCACGGCCGGCAACTTGGAAGTAGCCATGGTGACCTGTGGTTCAGAGCACAGCAGGGCACAAGGGAGAGTCACAGGACGCGTGATCCTCAGTGTCTGCAGGGGAGAAGGGAGCCATTCGCACACCTCACGGGCCTGGGTGTGGGCAGAAAGGGGGGCTGGAGGATGTGAGGAAGCCTCCTCCCCAAAACCCCGTTGCCCTCTCCTCCTCAGGAACCCGGCATACACTGGGCACATCGGGTAGCTTTGGAGTCTCATCTCTGCCACTAACTTGCTGTGTGACCTAGGACAGAGTGAGCACCTCTCTGTGCCTGCTTGCTTCTCTGGGTAGTAGACCTGAGGTGCTGTGGGGTTCTGGGGGTGGCCAAGGGGCCAGCTTTATGAGTGGGTCTGTGTGTATGTCCTGTGGAACCCTATGCTCTGAAGGGCCCAGCACCTGGCTTACTATGCTATGGATACTGACTGACCTTCTCTGTTACTTGGCAACTTAGGGAGACCCCAGCTCAAAATTAATAAAGGGCTGGGGATGCAGCTCATTGTCAAGGCCTTGGATTCAATCCCCAGTACAAAAAAAAAAAAAAAAAGCATAATATTCTTAACTGTGTAACTTTAAGCAAGTCCTTGCCTCAGCTGGAGGAGAATCCTGCCCGCCTCTCTGGACTACTGAGGCCATCCTGGACCCTGGGACCCTGGGCCAACTTTGAAAATGGCCTTGTTCTGCCTGTGAAAGAAAGCTGGGCCTTTGAGATCTTCCCGGTTCAACTCCAGTCCTATCATGGCCCTTGCCTCCTGGGCCTCAGTTTCCCCTCCCATTTCCTAGGCCCTTCATGAAGGTCTCTTCAGATTCTTCCTCACCTAGGCCTCCCGCTCCACACTCCATCTCCCTCGGGCCCGTCACCTCTGAACTCATCTCCAGAGAGCCCTGGGCCAGACGCTGCTTCAAGGAGCCTGTCCCCACCTGACAGGGAGAGGGCTGAGGCTCAGATGAGCACAGACAGGACCTGAACTCAGGCCCTTGGGTGCGTTGGTGCCACTGAGGAGCTTCAGCCCTCGGCTGCCAGTTCCACCCCAGAAATTTGTCCTTATTACTTTGCTCCCACCAGACCTGATCCTCCTACCCCTTTGAGCTCCTCTGTTCCCGGGGATGGGGCCTTGGGGAGAGCGGGGCGGGAGGCGGACAGGGCCCAGAGCAAAGGACAAAAAGACGGTGGCTGCAGGCCTGGAGTTAGGTCTGGGGGTGTCAGGATCGGCACCCCCAGAAGCCCCTGCCTCTGCCCACCCACCCGTGGGGGCACAGCAGAGAGCCCTGCGTTCGGGACTCACCTGCCCTGCAGTCTCTCCCTCTCCCCTCTCTCTCTCTCCCCGTCCTCTTCTGTTAGCCTGGAGCAGCCCCTGTTGCTAGGCCCCATTATAACAGCGAGCAGCAGCCTATTGGTCAGTCAGGGCTGGTGCAATAATGTCACCATGATGTCAGAGGTGGGGGCAGGACCCCACCCCCAGCAGCGTGGGAGGTCATCACTTGGTCACACTGGGCCCTAGCCCCCCAGGTAGGCCCAAGAGGGATCTTTCCAAAATCGAGAACTGCTCCCTCCCAGACCTCTGTGGTCTCAGGGCACGGTGCCAGTGCAGGCGCACAGGTGCCTGGCCCTGCTCGCCGCTGCACCCCACCGGGTGTGGGAAGCCGGGTCCTGATGTGCACAACCCGGAACCCGACCCTCATTGCCTTGGTCTTGGGTTCTCTGTGTCCCTGATGAAAGAATTTAGTTGAGACACACAGGCCATGCAGGAGTACGCAGGGTGGAGTTCATTGTAGATAACAGAGATAGCAAAAACCAAGGTATCTATACCGAAGGCAAGTTGAGATGTGTTTTTATGCACATGGAAGTTACTCTTGGGGCTTGGGGACCTGAGGTGCTTAGGATGCTTATCAACATTTTACTTGGAAGTTAGTTGCGGCAAAATGTCTTTCTGTTCTTTGCAGATAGTCATGGATTGCTCTGGGGGCATTAATCATGTAAGAAACTTACAAAGAGAAGTTCTTAATTTAAACCGGGCCTCAGCCCAAAGCAGGGGGGTTTTAGAAGAACGTTTCCCTTCCTGATGTCGCTTGGTTGAGGGCTGCAGCAGCCAGGAACACTGTGTGTGCGGCCAGGTAGCAGAAGGAATTCACAGTTTCGCTGCCTGTGGGGTCCCTTTGGGTCTGAGACCTAACATAGGGTAATAAATGTGCGATACATCGAAGTCTTCATGTCCTTCCTGAAGTGGCGGCACAGGCTGTTTTGGGGCCCTGTTTGTCCCTCAGGCTTGCCTAACAAGGGGACTTTTCCCTTCTCCGCCACTCAAGGGCCCTTCTGTGTGGGTGTCACACAAACTCGGGTGTGGCACTTTAGCTTGGCCAGGGAGGGCTGGGATCCCAGGAAATGCTGGGAGCTGGCCAGGCCTGAAACTGGACACAAGACCCCTGCCAGTGCCGCCCTGGCCTAGCCAGCACTGGAGGACCACAGTGACTTGGGGAAGGGCTACCCCAACAAAGGGGCCTGGCCTTCCTCCTCCTCCTTCCCCTCCACAGCTTGGCCTCTTCTATCCACCCCCGCCTGTGTCCCTTGGTCCCCATGGGTGCCCCCCTCTACAGTGCCCGTCTCCATCCTGCAACCCTCCTCTGTGTGATGACTTCAGGAGGTATCAGGGGGACAAAGAAGGAGAGGGAAGCAGAGACATGTGAACCAGCAGAGAGGGAGGGGCCAAGACCATTGCGAAAATGGAGCTTGGGGTGAGGTGAATCCCCAAAACAGAAACTCGGTCAGGAAGAAATCGGACAAGAGACCAAGCAGAAACTCAAGGGCACGAGTGGCAGAGAGAATAGAGGGACCCAGAGCCAGACCACATGGGCATCGGGGTGGGCTCATCCAGGTGTGGTGCTGGCCTCTGCCTGTGATCCCAGTACTCTCCGAGACTGAGGCAGGAGGATCACAAAGTCAAGTCCAGCCTGGGCAACTGTCTCAAAACAAAACACATTGGAAGGGCTGGGGATGTGGCTCAGTGCAAAGTCCCTGAGTTCAGTCCCCAGTATGCCCCCCACCCCACCACACACACAGAGAGGAGGGACCAAGGCACAGAGAGGGAGCCACAAGTCCAGAAACACCAGGACATACAAAACCCAGCTCTCTGGGACCATGGGGCTCCAGCAGCCCCTGTCCTCATCCTGCAGCCCCTTCCCATCCCCTTCACCTGATGGTCTTGCATGGCACAGCCCCGTCTCCCTCTTGGTTTCCCCTGTGCCTAGGCCAATCCTGGGCTGCCTCTGCTCAAAGGTGACCTCTGCTGAGAGGGCTCCAAAAACAACAGAGGGGGAGACTGAGGTCCGTAAGGCAGTGTCACCAGACAGGGTCCAAGGAGGTCCCAAGGTAGAGATCAGGACCCTGATGTTCCCCACTCCCTGGGCAGGATGCAAGCTCTCTGACTTCTGTAAAAGAAAAAGGATTTGTTTAACAAGCACATTGAGGTTTATTAGAAAGAAATGTAAAGGTACACTCAAAATGAGAGGCTCTGCAGAAGAGGAGAGGTCCCTGTGACCTCCAGCTGTGTATACTTATGGGGACCTAAGGGGGTCCTTAATATGAGTGATTTAGGTTGTGGTATTCTAGTGTCCCTTGAGTTTGCGTATGTCCCCATTTGATGGGCTATGTTAAAATACAAACCATTTTGCATGTGTTTGAAGTTGAGATCTGCTGTTCTCACAATAGTGGTTTCCTGCCTAGTGTGGTGGCACACACCTGTAACCTCAGTGCTTGGGACGCTGAGGCAGGAGGATCACCATGAGATGGAGACCAGTCTGGACTACATGGCGAGACTTTGCCTTAAAAAAATAGCAATGTCTTCTGAGTATGGAGGTCTGCAGGGTTAGCAGGAAGGAGTGAAGCATAGAGATGAAAGGCAAAAGGCACAGGCTCAGAGGGCAGGGCACAGGCTTGTTGTTTTTAAGACGCTTAGAAATTCTTTGCTGGAAGAGGGGGAAAAGCTTGAATAACTTTTGTGTCATAAAGTTGCGGTTTTAAAAAATTTATTTATATTCATTTTTTTTCAGTGCATGTCTGCAGTACACAATGTTTATATCCCGTGTGTGGAGGTTGCAGAAAAGGGGGACCCAGCCAGATGGGAGACACTCAGCTCCGAGGAACTTGGAAAGCGAATGGCTTTATTACGCTGGCAGACTGGTGAGAAGCTCCGTTCCAAACCATCAGCCCTGTCTCGGGGTTAATAACACACTTATATAAGTTGTTCACAGGAAATGCAAAACACTTGCAGGAAGCACTAGGAAGGCTGCTGAGGGGACTTTCTGTCGTTGGTTACGTAGTGTTGCTAGACAGATTAGCTCGGGCAAGTTAATTGGGGGTTCTGTATCCTAGAGCAGGAAGGTCCAGGCTAGGGTGAATGGGAGAAAGCCATCACTGTCGTGGACTGAGCCTCGCTGTCTCTGGGTGATAGCTCCTTGAAACCTTGGAGTCGAAAAGAGACACTGCAGTACCCAGTGCTGATCCCAGAGTGTCCTGATGTGAAATCCAGCAATACTGTTATTCTTTGTTCAGAATGACTTTAGCCTGCTTTGGTTTGTTTAGTCTCAACCTAGATGAAGGTATGGATAACTGCATGTATGTTTAAGTGCATAGGATTGATAACCTTGTTACTAAGTTTTTGTTGGATAGTTGAACAGAACTGTTTGCAGTCTCACTGTTTGAATGTCCACTTTGTATGCTTCACTTTTGTATCTTGAACAACTATTTGTAAGAGGACAATGTGTAATCATCAACTAGTGATTTCTTACTATTTATTTTTTTTCTTTAAAAGTATGTATTATTTCTACCCCTTTTCTGTTTTGTTTAGTCTTTCTTTAAATAAAATTTTAAAAAAACAAACCTTGGAGCTAGTTATGATAATAAGATGCACTTTTGACTGAGCTGCACGTCCTTCCATGCTGCGGCTGGCATGGAATGCCAGGCTGGTGGGTTTTTCCAGTCTCTAATCATGGGAACAGGCTGCACCAGCCTTTCCTTGTCTTTGACTGTAGTGGCAGACTTATGTTTTAAAACTTCCTCTACATTTACAATTTCCTTTATAATAACACATCTTAATTCCTCTTTTCATTCCTTTCCCGTCCCTTCCCTCTATCTCTTGATCCCCTTCACATTTGAGAGAGGTCCTTTGTCATTTCGTTTTGTGTTCTGTTTTTTGAGACAGGGTCCAGCAATGCAGCTCAGGCTGGCCTCGGCCTCACCAGGAACCCAGGATGATCTCCGGCTTGTGGTGATTCTCCCACCTCGGCCTTCTGACCGCTGGAATTACAGGTGTGTGCCACTATGCCTACCTGCTCTACTTTTCACCTATTTTTTTTTAAGACTTCCTCAGTAGTAGACTGGCTTAAATGGGGGTGTGGGTGATGTGCCCTAACCTACAGCAAGAAGGAAACGCAGGTTGGAAGCAACACAGACCCAGTCAAGTCCTCAGCCATCGGCCTCAACGCAGAGACCAGACATTCCCAGCCATCAAACACACTCGAGCCTCCTGCCTCAAATTCACCCACACGCACACCCTCCCAAGAGGAAAAGGCTCCCAAATATTGAGCCATTGAAGACACAGCTAGGTGAGCCTGAAAACCACACTGAGAGGCACAGACTCGCAGACCCTGAGACACTCAGGTTGCACAGACCACACACGCAGGCCGTACCCCAGGAACCAGCACTTTTGCTTATGAACCCCATTAATCCAGGCTCCAGTTCTAAGATACAGTGAGCCCCCACCCCCTGCGCTCCCTACACATGCGCATCCACATCTAAGGTGCCTGAGAGCAACGAGAGAGCGGAGAGTGTGCAGGCCAGAGAGGCAGCATCCCCACCGCCCAGCTGCCTCTTCCCTCTCCACCGATCAGACAGACAGACAGACAGATTACAGCTCTTAGCCGTTATTCTCCACGGATGCTGAGAACACAGCAGAGGCCAAGATAGAGGGGGATTTCAAATCCATCCCAAAATAATGACTAGCAGAGGAGGCAGCAGACTGGGCAAATCAGACAGCCAGAGACCCTGAGCGCAGAGCAGATGTCGGGGTGTCCAGTAATTCACTCAGTTATTTGCTCATTCCAGAAACGTGTGTTCACTCTTGATCTAAGGCCAGAGCCTGTACTGGTTCAAAATGTGACTCACGCATAAGAACTCAGGCAACTGCCACCGTCCCACAGCAGGGCAGAGCTGATGCAGGCAGTCATGTACACTCCCTGAGCATCACAGGGCACTGCTGTAAAGCACAGCAGGCTGGGCATGGTGGTGCACACCTATAACCCAGCACTGGAAGGCTGAGGCAGGAGGATCGCTGCAATTTTGAGGCCAACCTGCACTACAGAGTGAGTTCAGGGCCAGTCTGAAATGCAGAGTGAGACCTTGTCTCAAAAAGCCAATAAGGAAATAATTATAAAGGAAAACACATGAGTCAGAGTAACCCATTTAGCAGGGACTAAAACTTGGTTCTACTGTCTTCCGAGGCAGGCAGAAAACCCAGCAGCTGGGCTTGAGATGTGGCCCGGTGATGGAGTGCGTGCTTGGCATTCAGGAGGTCCTGTGTTCCATCCCAGTACTAAAAACAAAACAAAACACACAAAGCCTAGATTGGTAGAGAGGGGACAGAGACAGACGAGGGACAATTTATTTATCCGTCCTTCCTCTCCTTCACGGCTTCTGCATACAACCAAATCTAAGGCACCACTGGGTGCCGAGCACTGCTTTTCTGGTCTCAGTAACAAAGAGAAAAATGCTATCAATAGAAAGATGCCCTGATTTTTCCTCATCCCTGCAGGTTTTATTTTACACTTACTGAACCAAGCCCTTGCTAAACTTACCTAGAGAACACGGAGTCTTACCTACACCAGTCTGCTGTGCACAGAGGTGGGGGCATAGGTGAGCTCGGTGGGCCCCAGGACTCCTGGGAGACCCATTTGCCTCTGAGCTATTGGTGTGGGCACTTTCCACACTGCATTGTCCCCCATGTGTCAGGGGCCTGAATCCAACGCCACTGTCACACCCAAGTAGTGACCTCAAGACCACAGTGGCTTCCTGGCTGATAGCACTTGTTAAGATGCCATCGATTGTGACTGTGACTTCCCGATTTCAGAATTTTTAAAGTGCACAGAAGAGAGTGCACACTTGTAATTCCAGCACTCTGGAAGGCTGAAACAGGAACACTGTAGGTTTGAGTCGAGTGTGAGCAATTTAATAAGACACCTTGTCTCAATAAAGGGAGGGCTGTGCTGGGTGGGGTGACCCATGCCTGTAAGTCCAGCACTTGAGAGGCTGAGGCAGGAGGATCGCTGAGCATTCCAGGCCAACATGAGCTACACAGTGAGTTTAAGGGCAGCCTAAACTACACAGTGAGACATTGTCACAAAAATAAAAAATAGAAAAAAGGAGGGAAAAGCTGGGGATGAAGTGGAAGCCTTGAGTTCAATCCTCAGTCCTATTCAAAAAATAAAAATCTTTTAAAGTGCATCTTAGAACCAATTGAAGGTGAAGATGTTTCTTTAGTGTCTTCCCTGTGCCAAGGGTTTGAAATTCAGGACGCCCCGGTGACTGAGACAGCCACCACCTGTCCCCACAGGACTCAGAATCCAGGGAAACACAGACCGTCCGGGGCTAAGGCTGGCGCAGAGTTGCCTGGAGACCTGTGGGAGCTGAGGAGGTGCAGGAGTCCTGGCTGAATCAGCACAAGCCTCCTGGAGAAAGCTCAGTCTTTGAACCACAGCCCGCCAAGCCACAGACTTGTGGGAAAGAAGCCAGGAAGGAGGGAGACCTTTCTGCCCCCAGAGACACGATTTGATCAGAAGCAGGTCAAGGACGGAGGCAGTGGCCTTGGGCGCCGAGTGAAGGGGGCAGCGCAAACACCCAGGGATCAAGATGAAAACGTTAGTGCAGGATTTTAACAGACAAATGTAAAATATCCGTGCCGTTTTGCTGAACAAAATATTGAAATTTTAAATAAAGGCCAGTGCCGCGCCGCCCATGTTGATGCTTGAAGCGAAAGGAAAAGTGTGCGCTGGCTTTGACGGAAATCAGCACAAGGATAATGTTTCCTTCCTTCTCAGAACTCACTATCTCCCTTTCAAAGCATGGAGCACCCCGGTGTGTGCCAGGCCCTGGCTGGGAGAGGCTGGAGTGGAACAGAGCCTTGACAGCCCCTGCGTGAGGCTCAGAGCTCTGCCTTTCTCCTTCCGCATCTCCCCAGCCCTGGTCACCTTCCCTCCCGCCTTCCCGCCTTCTGTCTCCGTCTCTCCATTCCTCATGACCACGGGCAAACCTGAAGTCGGTCCCCAGGTATTTGTCCATTCATTCATTCATTCATTCATTCATTCATTCATTCATATATTCATATATGGCTTCCTTCCTTCTAAAGGCCGGGTGCAGTTCTAGGCAGTGATACAGTGGTAAATAACATATGGGCGGCACTTGGCCTCCTGTGACTGTCAAACAGTGATGAGAAAAGAGAGGAAAAAGAAAGTCTGGGCAAAAAGAAAGATTGTGGAGCTGGACATGGTGGCACACGCCTGTGATCCCAGCACTCGGGAGGCTGAGGCAGGAGAATTGCTGCAAGTCTGAGGCCAATCTGGGTTATAAAGTGTTTTGAAGTCCAGCCTGAACTTTCAAAATAGTGAAACCCTGTCTCAAAAAAAGACAAAAACAAAAACAGAAAAAAGGAAGAAGAGTAAAAAGAGGAGGAAGAGGGGGAGGAGGAGAAGGGAGTGACAGCTGCCTATCAACATGGGGTAGCCTGAGTGACCACCTGCAGTCCTGCCCATCTCTGTGGGCACAGTCCACACACTTTCCCAGAAAGAGGCAGAGTTCTCTTCCCTTCCCTTGAAACTGAAATTCTTGTGATATCCTTTGATCAGTAGAATTGATAGAAGTGACATTCTGGGTCTCCGTAATATGGAGTAGTGACCCCTGCTTTCTCCTCCTAGGGTTCCTGAGCCGCCTTGTAAGGCAGGCTCTGCCGCCCTTCGTGACAAGCCCAGTGGAGAGGGGTCCACCTGCAGAGGACCCGAAGCTGCACAGGACAGTTCAGCCCCGGCTAGACGCCAGCTGGACGCAGCAGCCCCAGGAGTGACCCTCACCGAGTCCCTGTAGGGGAAGAAGGCCCGCCCAGCTGGGACAAGCCAGCCCCTGGATTTGTGAGAGAAATGGGGGACCCTCTCACATTCAGTGGTGCAATTTGTTCAGAACCCGGGCCAAGAACTAAGGCAACGCCTTGAGTACAAGTTCTAAGGTGCACCAAGAACCTCAGTCATTCAGATAAATAATATTTTAATGAAATAATTTGAAAATCAAAATTAAGCCCCCCTCTTGTGATGTTTTGCAGAAAAAAAGCGGTTTTGCAGAAAAAAAGCGGTTTTGCTTTGTTTTTGTTTGTTTGTTGATACTGGGGCTTAAACTCAAGGCCTTCACAGGTACATCTCCTGCCCTTTTCTTAATACTTAATTTTAAAGCAGGCTTTACTGGGTGGCTAAGTTACCCATACTGGGCTTGAACTTGCCATCTTCCCGCGTCAGCCTCCCAGCAAAATTTAGAGTAAGGACCAGTGTCATGCCAAGTGTGTGCCCTGGCCTCGATGGAAGCAAACTTAGAGATAGTGTTCTCCAAATCTATTCCTTAGCTTAAGACAATACCCATGCTAGGCAATGTCTCCTGACCAAGTAATGATGTCAAACACTTAATAAATTTTATTTTCACTTAACTAAAATATTTTAACAAAATAATGTGAGCTTAATACATCTACTTTACAAGTTTTCAGCATTTTTTGACTCCTGTTATGTTCTGGGTGGGGAGAGGGTATTAACCATTTCACAACACACTAGACTGGGCATTATGGTGGCGTACGCCTGTGACCCCAGTACTCTGGGAGACTGAAGCAGGAGAATTGCAAGTTTAGACCAGCCCAGGAAATTTTGTGACTTAGAGAAACCTTGTCCCGAAATAAAAAATAAAAAAGAGCTGGCTGGAACTGTAGCTGTAGTGTAAAGGCTGGCTTCAATCTATAGCGCCAGAAAAGCAAAAGATAACAACAAAAATACCAAGTCAGGCATCATGACACAGGAGAGCCAGCTTTCAGGAAGCTAGGTAGGAGGAGGGCAAGTTCTCAGTCACCCAGGGGAGCCTGGTGAGACCCTGGTCCAAAGAATAAATAAACCATGAACTCATATGATAGGGCCACAGGTGTAGAGAGACTTTCCTATCAGGCCTGATGGGACTCAGAAGGTTACTGGTCAGAACCCCAAGCTGTTACCCCAAAGTTTGAAGGGGCTGGCATGGGAGGAGGCAAGAGGGAGTGTGGGCAGTCCGATTCTACCTGAGTAAGGGGACAGGGGTGTCCTCCCACGGAAAGCCTCAAGAAGAAATGCCTGAGGCCAAGCAGACAGCATCTGTTGTGAATCACACACACACACACACACACACACACACACACACACACACACGTTCCCTGCACTGGAATCGACCCCAGACTTTGTAGGACTACAGAGCTTCACCTGCTGCCCCCGGAGTCCATCTGCAGAGAAAGAGAGGTGTTCAGGGGGCTTACTTTTAATTTTTCACTGTAACTTTCCAGATGGTTTCATTATCCGTTTTAGAGTTTCTGCTAGATGCTTGAAAGGGGTATGTCATCCAAGCTTTTTGACATTATTGAAAATTATTTATGACACATAGACACATAACAGATCGTGTTGTTCACAGCCAAACCTCTCCTTGTGAAAGGAAGAAAGAAGGGAACTGTGTGTGAGTTCCCACACGGGGACAGGGAAAAAAAAGGAAACTGAATTTCCCTCAGTGGGACAATGACTGAATAAATGTTGGTTCTTCCACACTGCAGGCAGGGAAAGCCACAGCAGATGGCTGTTAAAAAGCAGGGCTCGGTCAGGCATGGCCGCACACATCTGAAATCCCGCCGTCTGTGGAGGGGAGGCGCTGAGGCAGGATGATCACAAGTTCAGGCCCGGCCTGCGTAACTCAGAGACTTAGCAAGATGCTGTGTGAGGGGAAAAAAGGCTGAGGAGGCAGAAGGCTGAGGAGGTACCTCAGGCCTTGAGGCCAGTCTCCAGTACTGGGGGAGAGAGAGAGAGAGAGAGAGAGAGAGAGAGAGAGAGAGAGAGAGAGGACAGAACGGGGAAGGGGAGGGAAAACTAGGCAGGGGGACAGAGGGAGGCTAAAGGATTTAGAGGATTTCAGTAAGGAGTGAAAAGCAGACCATCATGCAGAGAGCTATGGCTAGTATCTTATTTCTGGAAGGTAAAAGAACTAGTCCCATAGGCCTGTTTGTGTGAAAACACGTTCATACCTACACACTGAGATCCCTGCCCGTAAACCCATGTGTGTGTTTCTCTGTGTATGTACTGAATGTGTATGTAGGACTACAGTACCTGACTGCTTTGAAACAGTCACGCTTGGTACTTAATACATGTTTTTTGTCTTTTTGAGCTCGCTATGCAGCCCAGGCTGGCCTTGAGCTCACTTTGTAGCCCAGGCTAGTTTGGAACTTGCGACAATCCTCCTGCCTCAGCCTCCCAGGTGTTGGGATTACGGCGTGAGCCACCACCCTGGGTAGCCCTCAATGCACTTTGATGAGAAGGCTTGTCCCAGTACTGTGCCTGTCGTTTGTGTCATGGGTATCTGACACATAAACCAGAACTTGGCGGTGACCGTTGCCTTGAGACTTATCACCATTTCTGACTAAGCCAAGCTGTTCAGTACTCGCTGGTTTTCTACTCATTGCATCGCCCAGAACCAGTGAATTTTAAATTTGGGAATCTGTGGGAAGACAGAGGGCAGGTGTACAGTTTGGATCTGAAATATCATCAAAGGTTCATGTGTTGAAGGTTTGGTCTCACTATGGCGCTCCTGGGAGGAGCTGTCTCTGTCTCTGCCTCTTCGGCCATGTGCTGCGCCAACAGGTCATGAGACTGAACCTCCAAAACCGTGAGCCGAAATAACCCTGTCCTCTTCAGCTGGTTTCGCTCAGGTACTTGCTATGGTGATGGAAAGCAGTCTAACGCACCTGGGTATTAACAGGATTTCCAGAGTTGGAGGCCCGATGCAGGGGAGTCAGTGAGAGAAGGCGGTGAGGCAGAGCCCAGCAGGGAAGCAAGAGGGAAGGCGCTCACTTTAAAAATTAAAGGCAGGAAGCCGGGTGTGGTGCAGCACACCTGTAATCCCAGCATCTGGAGGCTGAGGCAGGAGGGTGCCAGGTTCAAACCTAGTCCGGGGAACTTAGTGACTTAGCGGGAACCTGTCTCAAAGCCAAAAAACATGCAAACAGAAAAAGGGTGTGAAAAAGAAAAATTAAATATAAATTAAAAACCTGTCTGGAGGTAATAAAATGAGAAATATGTTGGGAGACAGGTTATCTCAGGCCAGGAAAGAGGCAAGGAGAAGTGGCCGGGCAGGAGCCACTGCGTTCAGCTGTTTTGGTAATGTTTTATCTTTCAGGAGCAGTGAGAGACACCCCTTAGTCCGTATTTTTTACAGGGAGGGGGTGAGACAGGATCTTGCTACAAGTACAGTCTGGCCTTGGACTCTGCAATCTTCCTGCCTCGGCCTCCTGAATCCTGGGATTACAGGTATGCACCACTACACCCAGTTTCTATTTGTTTTGCATGCTCCAAAAATTTTATAGTAAGTTTTTAAAACTTGGATAATATGTTCACATTGATGCCTTTATGGGAAATCAGAACTGTACCATAACATTAAATTCTCTGCCCCACCCCACCTGCTTGCAGACATTTCCCGAGCACTGCTGGTCGGGTGCGGGCTCAGTGGAGACCAGACGTGCCCTGAACCTGAGCCCTGGGCCTCCTGGACCAGGAGGACACTCCTGGCCTGGCCTCTCACTGCCATCCCCTTGGTGCAGACACTGCAGAGAGAAGGCCACGCAGGGCGAAGGGGCTCCAAGCTTTGAACATGCCTCTCGGCCACAGGACCCAAAGGGCACTGCTGCACTGCGACCTTCATGGTGCCAGCCTCCAGCGGCTGGACAGCTCTTTATGCTGTGAGTGGCTTTATGCACACACCTGGCTTTTAGTCCTCACACCAACTTGACTAGGAACCACGACCGCCCCATTTCACAGAGGAGATCTCCGAGGTCGAGATGCTCACCCAAGGTCCCAGGACTGATAACTGGGAAAGTTATTTTGGAAGCCAGACTGGCTGGCATCTGATCTCCTCTTAATTACTGTGCTGGGCCACATCCCCAGCCCAAGCTGTGGATCATCTTCTTCTTTGTTGTTGTTGTTGATTTGTTGTTATTGTTTTTCTTCTTGGTGTTGGTACTGGGGACCGAACCACGGCCTTTGCACTGAGCTGTATCCCAGCCCTTTTTGCTTTTTATTTTCAGACAGAGTCTCATTAAATTGCTAAATTGCTAAGGCTGTGCTCAAAGTTGTGATCGTCCTGCCTCAGTCTCCCGGAGTGCTGAAATTATAGATGTGTGCACCATCGTATCTCTCTCTCTCTCTCTCTCTCTCTCACTCTCGCTCTCTCTCTTATACTTGCCTTAAGCAGATAATTTTTAACTCTGGGAAATTAACCCCTAACTGCTCATTATACAATTCCCTTTGCTTCTGTGTATATTTTCAAGTATTCTTAATATTTAAGGGAGGGGAAGTTTATCCTGCAGAGTCGGTCAGATGCAGGTTCAAACCCCAACCATGACTCACTGTGTTTTACCCCCATGAGCATATTTCCTGTTCTGTGTAACATAGATGAACAATGGTGTCATTGTGGTGGATTTAACCACAAGGAAGTGACTACTTCCGTCGGTTGGGAGTTTAGGTTGTGCTATCTCTTACGCTTCGCACATCTTACAGTGAAGTCTTACAGTCCTAGGAGTCCAACAGGTACACAAGGCAACAAGGCTCAGCAAGGTTGTGAAGCTTGCTCAAGGCCACACAGTACATCTGTGTCCTCACGTGGCAAGGAAACCCGAGCTCCCTTGTCTTCAAGCCCAGGTTGGTTTGAATCCAAAGATCTATCTGGGCAGCCAGTGGAGGGACTTCTTTCTTCCACCCCCACCTCCGCCATCCTTCCCTTGGAGACCTCTGTGCTAGTGAGGCTCGGAAAGTTGACATCACAGTAACAAGCAGGGCGGCATCTGGGTGGCTCCCCTTCCTCGATCCTGGACAAACAGAAATGGCAGAAATGATGCTACCTGATTCTGAGGCCAGGTCACAAACACAGTGCGGCTTCTCTCTCTCTTGGGATAGTCACCCAGGTACATCTAGCCCTAAAAACAAGTTACCACAAACTTTGAGGCTTCAAATAGCACCCATGTGCACACCCATGAGGATGCTACTATAAAAAATTGGAAAATGGCAATCATTGTCAACAAAGGGGGAAAATCATTGTCAAGAAAGCTTTGTGCAATATCAGTGGGAGTGCACAGAAAACAGTGCGGCTGCTGTGGAACACAGCGACTCTACCGCTGAATAAGAATCCAGAAGAACTGAGAGCAGGGGCTTAGCGAGTAAGATTTGTATATTTCTGTTTACGGCACATTATTCCGGTAGCCAAGATGTGAAAGCGACCCAGATGTCCAACAGAAGGACAGATCAACAATGTGATGCATCCGTACAGTGGGACAGGACTCAGCCATTTCCAAGAAGCAAATCCTGGCACGTGCTGTGGTCTGGGTGAAGCTTGAGGACATTCTGCTGAATGATGACATAGGGTCAAATCTTGTGATTCTATTTATCTGAACACTCCAGAGCGGTCAAGTCCACAGAAACAGAGAGAGGAATGGCCTTGCCGGGGCTGGAGGTGGGAAGCGGAGAGGTGTTTTGTTTAATGGGTACAGTCTCAGTTTTGCCAGATGAAGTAGTTCTGGAGATGCGCGGCCCCGCGGTGTGAAAGCCCAGAAAGAGGTGAGTTTTGTGTTCCCCACTGCTACCACTAAAAATTCAGAACTACAGTGTCAATTTATCATTGTTTTGTAATGCAAAGTCTGGTGGGCTTTCTGGGTTCTCTGCTTAGGATCTCACAGGTCAGAATAAAAGCGTTAGCCAAGCTGGCTTCGTGTTCAAGCCCGGGTCTTAAACCAAGATCGTTTGGGTTTCCAGAAGAATCAGTCACTCGCGGTTACAGGAGGTCTTGCTGGCTCTTGACTGGGTGGGGAGGAGCAGGTATCACTTGTGGCCCCTGAAGCCACTCGAGGACCTGTCCATATGGACCCCTCCAACTTTACAAGCACGGCTGCAGAAAATCCTTCTCACGGCTCAAATCTAATTTCACTTCTGCTGCACCCAGAGAAAGCTCCACATAAGGGCTTGTGCGAGTGGGCCACTAACTCCATCAAGATACTCTCCCTTCTGATGACGCAGACTCCACCACCTTGGTAGCATCTGAGAAATTCCCCCTGTCCCGCAAGTGTGTCACTGTGTATGCTTGTGTCCCTTCAGGTTCACACTTCTGGGAACTAGGGTGGAACATGGGGAGGCTGTTTTAGAATCTTGCCTATTGCAGGCCAAGGTGCCATGTTGTCCTAGCACCATGTGTCCATAGGTGTCCTGACCACAGCTCCAGCTAAGGTCTCAGCCGATGTCCTCCAGCAATTGTCAGACAGACGTGTCTGAACCTGCAGATGGTTCCAGTGCCTGTTCTCAAACCACCCCAGCCAACTCCCCAGAACTTCTGCAGCAGAGACATGCCAGCCCCAAAGCTCCAAGTTCCTAAACAACTGCTTTATAGTCAGAAGTGGTATCATGTGCCTGGGAGACTGGAGCAGGAGACTTGCAAGTTGAAGACAGTTTGGAGGCTCAAACTGGAACAAAGTTTAGAACGCTGTAAACTGTGCTTCATGAGAGATTCTGGTCAAAGATCAGAAGACCAAAATGTTGGCAGCAGCATGACACCAGAGGCCAGGCTCATGAGGTTTCAGTTTGGAACAAGGACCAGAGGCCATGTGTGGTCACATGTGTTACTCTGGCAAAAAAAATCTCCATGTCCTGAAACTGTGGGATTAAGGGTGATAGACTAATTGATCTGCTTCGGACATTTCAAGACAACCCAACCTTCAGACCGTTGCAATGGGTACTGCTGGCTGCTTTTAGCCAGAGTTACATTAAGACTCAGGGACAAAAAACAAACCAACAGCCCAGAAAAATTTGACAAATTTGTGACTAATAGGGAACCAGATATAAAGCTGGGGCCAAAGTCAATGTGATTGCTGTAGAGACCCATTAAAAGAAGCTAAGTACTTAGTACAGGGACAAATGGCATCATTACAGGTTCAAGGGTAAGGCAGGCATGCTGGCACACTTCTGCAATTCCAGTACTCAGGAGGCTGAGGCGGGAAGATCATTGAGAGTTCAAGACCAGCCTGGGCTACAAAGTGAGCTCAAGGCCAGGCTGAACCACATAGCAAAACCCTGTCTCAAAAAGACAAAAAAAAGATTTAAAAACCTGTCAACTTTTTACTTGAGAAGAGAGTCCCTGGATCCTGCTCAAGAACAGCCTCATACAGAACTGGTTTCCTAGAATTCATTTCACCATGCTCTTCCACCCCAGCACTCAGAGGCCACTATAGCCATGGTCCAAGCGCAGGTGGCAACTGCTCAAGCTGGCAGCAGATGGCTTTGCCCTATGATACTATTTTGTGTGCATGCAGAATTCAAGAGATACGGGGTCAGGGAGGATTCCACTCAGAGTTCAAAGGAGGATGTGGGGGACGAGGCACAGAGTTCTGAGAGGAGAGTGCCTAAGTGAGGGAATGCAGCAAGGTGCAGCGGGGAATCTGGAAGATGCCAGGAGTGTGGAACGTGTGCTGAGAAAAGCTGTGGACTGAAGGGAGCCAGTGCAAAGCAGATGCCACGTGGGCTACAACCGCCACGGCCATAGGGGCCGGGCCACTTACGTCCTTTGCAATCCACATCACACCACCGCGTGCCCTGGTGCAGACATGGAGCTCTGGGACTCGACGTTTGCCTTGCTGACTTCTGTTCACGCTTGGGTCCTATTCTTCCCTCTCCCTCTCTCTGTGTTACTCGAGATTGAACCGAGGGTTTTCGTACCTGGCTATATTCCTCAGCTCTTTTTAAGTTTAAGAGACAAGATCTTGTGAAGTTGCTAAAGTGAACTTCAACTTGTGATGGTCCTGCTCGCCCTCCCAGGGCTGGAATCGCAGGGTGCACCGCCATGCCCAGCCAGTCTGCTCTTTGCTATCCCCCATTTCTCCCTTCTGGAATGAAATATTTGCCCTGTGCCATTTTGCTTTGGGATTGTGTTAACTTGTCTTGGGTTTTTATAGGAGTTCACAGCTGAGAGTTTGCCTTGAGTCTTAGAGGAGAGTTGCACTTGGGCCTTTAGCAGTATTGGCACTGTTGAGACCTTGTGGAAGGGATACTTGTGCTTTGGTTGTGTGCTGGATAACTGTGTCGTATTAGGCAAAATTGTGGCCTTGTGCTTAGATGGAGATAGAGGATGGTTTAAAGAAACATGTTTGTGTATCGATTTAAGAACAGGTGGAATGTAACAGTTAAAGAGGATTGGGAACTTCATTGGCTTGGGAACGGCCCAGGGGATTAGTCAAGCATGCTCCTGGGTGAGTGGGCGGGGGGGGGGAGGGCGTGGTCATAGAGGCATGACCTCAGTTCCCCATCTGTAAAGACCTCCCTCACCCCTTCCTACTGAGGGCTGTCTCCCTCATCTGCTTCCCAGCTACCACCACCAACTCAGCAGCTTTGCCTCACTATTTCCTTCCTCCATGATGTTCCTACCTTGAAACCAGCTGAACACAGACTGAATTCTCTGAAATCATGAGCCACATAAACCATTTTCCGATTGAGGGTGTTAGGTATTTGGCCCCAATGAGGGGAAAGATGACTAATCCAACTCCTTTGAACTATTGAATCAGCACCTCTAGATGCCTCTATTCTTTTGTTAGTTGTATATTAACTATCTTATTGAGCCTACCTCAGGGCCTTTGCACTTGCAGTTTCCTCCGCTGCAATGTCCCCTCCTCCACTCAGATATCTGTATAGCCCTCTCCCTTCCCTTCAGGTCTTTACTTAAGTGTCATCTGGCTGAGGCCACCCTCCATCAAATCAGACCTCTTGGCCACACTCCCCATTCTTCTTCCCTACACTGTTTTTTCCATAAAACTTACTGCTCACTGGAGTATCACATGTGCCATGTGAATATGCTCTCTGGGATATGTATTTCATCCATCTCCCTCACAACCACCACGAGAAGAGGGCCTTCTGTCTTTATCCCCGGCACCTATCATTAGAACTGTGCCCTCCGCTTAGACTATGACAATAGATGCTTGTAGATGAATGGCAAATGGTTTGAGTTCTTTTGGGTGCCCTTTCTGTAACTTTCAGCTGAAAGAGATGGTTCCCAGCATCCTGCCTACTGTGAGTTCCCCATTTTTACCTCTGCTCCATCTCTTTTGTTTGGTGCCTACTCCAAAATGATTCTACTCCAAGCTGGGCATGATGGTACAAGCCTGTGATCCCAGCACTTGGGAGGCTGAGGCAGGAGGATCACTGTGAGTGAGGCCAACCTGGGCTACATAGTGAGTTCAAGGTCAGTCTGAACTACATAGTGAGATCCTATCTCAAAAAAAATTTTAAATCCCCAAACACAAAACAAGACAAAATGACCTTCCCTCCAGACTGACGTTTGATCCTATGTCCACCCTGACCTCGACCCTGTTATCTACAGCATCCCACTGACCTCCCCTGGCCCCTTAGGTGAAAGCAGACCATGTCAGGCTCTTCAAGGCTGCAACTCCAAAAATAAAAACAAAGCAAAACAAAAAGGGAAACTCAAGCTACTTGGTGCTGTGAGATTCAGTTCATTCAGACTTGGTTACCGCTGGGAGAGGGAACTTGACCGGAGGGGGCGCCCTCAGCCCACCCAGCCCCCAGGCCCCGTCAGTCCTAGCCCTGGCAGGACTGGAACAGGCTGCTGTAAACACCTTGGAAGGGGTCTATTGAGTTCTCAAGCCCCACCTTGGCTGCCAGGACTCTGCCTGAAGAGGGAGACAGGAAGAGGAGAGTTTTGCTTCCCAGTGTTGGAGAAAACTTAGTCTAATGTCGGGGGTCCCTAGTTTGAGGAAGTAGGCTTAGCTTTGGGGGCCCCCTGGTCTGAAGAAGAATGTGGGCCTTTTCAGTCTAATAAAGAATAGAACAGCACAGGGTGTGAGAGAGGTCTGGCCTTGAGGGCCCCTTATCTGAGGATGGAGCTGTAGCCCCAGTGGAGCAGAGGCCTGCCCTTGCGTCCAGTGGGTGGCCCTAGCCAGGGGAAGACACAGCTTGGAGGACGCAGGAGGTCCAGCCCTTGGGGACCCTGCTACCAGGAAGCAGGCTCAGCCTTGGGGAAGCTTAGTCCAGGTTTGGCCTGGCCTCTGGGAAGCTGTAGAACACAGGCTCATCCTGGAGCCTGACTTCCCGGAGACATCCCAGGGGAGGGTGAACCAGCCCCAAGTCCTCAGCAGAGCACTGCGACCCCCAGGGCCAACGCCAGCAAGGGCAATGCCAGGCCGGGGACACCTGTGGCTCCCGAGAGGCCTCGGGACTCCGGGAGGGTGCGGCGGCGGGGCCTGCAGTCAGGCTGGCGTGACAGCCGGAGGCCGCGGAGACCCGGAAGGTCCCGGAGCTCCTGGAGCTCCTGGAGCCGCTTGGTCGCCGACAGGGTGCTGCACAGGTCTCGGGTGCCACAGCCGCGCAAGCTCACGTTCCGGCCACCTGTAGAGAGGGACAGAGGAGGAGCACGAGGAGGGGACATGGGGATCCCCCCTCAGGGGTGATACCTGCACACACTCAGCACCCCCAGGACCAGCCCAGCGTCCTTGACCCTCTGAATGCCTGTCCTTGGTGAAAACCCACCCAGAACGTTCTTGTCTCTGACCTGGCCTTGATCACTGTTGTCCCCTTCATTACACATATTAACAAAAATGTGACACCTGCAGGTCACACAGCCTCCCTCTTGGCTAGAGCAAAGCTTTCCAGCTTTCTCATGTGCTTCTCAGATTAGCCTATATGAAGCAAGATAGTAAGATGCAAATGCAAAGCCGGGCCCAGCACACCGGAGGCTGAGGCAGGAAAATCCTTGTGCATTGGAGACCAGCCTGGGCTACAAAGTAAGCCCAAGGCCAGCCTGAACTGCATAGTGAGACCTGTCTCAGAAAGACCAAAAAGAAAAAAAAAAAAAAAAAAAAAAAAAAAAAAAAGAAAGCAAATGTACTGGGTTTATTGAAAACATGATAGAGGATATGTAAACAAAATGGTCCTCTTAAAATTTAAAAACCCTCATAGTTTACTTTTAAGCCCTTATCTTTTAGACAGATAAATGGGCGAAGTGATGTGATACCTAAATGTGCTTCAAATATTCAGGTCAGTATGGTGATGGATGGGGAGTGCATATGGACTTTACTAAACTTCCACTTTTCTTTATATTTGAACTTTCCTATAATTAAAAAAAGTTAAAAAGAAATGCCAAGCTGGGTGTGGTATATACACAGGTAATCCCAGCACTCTGGGAGGCTGAGGCAGGGAAATTACAAGTTCAAACCAGGCCCAGGAGTTTAGTGACTTAGTGAGTCCCTGTCTCAAAATAAAAGTGAAAAAAGGGCTCGGAGGTTGCTCGAAGGCCCTGGCTGGGTTCAGTCTGGGTTCCTCCAAAAGAGGCGGAAAGGAAACGTCGGACTCAGTGCTGTGATTCTGAATTGTCTTGTTTTGCCTGCCCTGAACAGGCGTAGGTGCCCTCAGAGCTATCAGTCACTGTGTAGGACACTCTCATGACCACCTCCCCACCCCACACCTCAGTCACACACCACTCCACCGACGTCCCCAGGCCTGAACACAACGCGCATGTGCACCCCCCCCCCCATTCCATGCACAGACACACTCTCCCCAGAGCCTCCCCATGCACACACAGAACACGCCCCAAGGGTGCCCGGCACAGCCATCCCCTGCACAGTGAGTAGACTCGAGCAGTCCGCACCACTATCGCTACTCAATTTCATCAGTTCCAAGGTGCACGGTGTCTCCCCTGCGTCCCCACAGTGTAGCATTTCTGAACAGAGCTGTCCCCTCCTTCCCACTAACACCGGCTGGCATTCACTGCAGGGCCGCACGTGCACTTGTGGGTGCACTCGTGATGCACTCGTGTGGTAGTTAGTTACTAGGTGTGCGTGGCTACGGAGCCTCTGACAGGCACGAGTCTGCACTGACACGGGTTGTGAGCGTATGGTGGACGCTAGATTTCAAAGATTTAGGGAAAACTGAACGGAAAATATCTTGTTTAAAACCCCTTATATTGATTGCAAGTTGGAAATGATAACTGTTGGATATGCTGGGTTAAATAAAATATGTTATTAAATTAATTTCCCATTACTTTTTACTTTTTAAATGAGACTACTGGAAAATTTTAAATTGCACATGTGAATCACATTATAGTTTTTAGAAAACACTCATTAGAAGCTGAATAGATTGTCTAATTCTCAATGCAGTCTTGTGATTAAGAGACTATTATTTTCCACTATATTAGATGGAAAAATTGAGGCACAGAGAGGCAAAGTCACCAGCCCAAAGTCATCCAGCCTGTAAGTCCTGAATCCGGGATTTGAACCTGGGCAGCTTGGCTGTGGAGTCCTCCTCTTATGCCCTCTACTCTTGCTTCTCTTGTGAGCTCACTGTGTCCCCACAAAAACCTGTGAGGCGTGTGTCCACCATCTCCATTTACCATAGAAAAAACTGAGGTTCAAAGAAATTAATCGGATGCCTCGGGCCACACAGAATAATAACAGGAGATGAAACCCCAAACTGAGGTGTGTCTTTATCCAGAACCAGTGTGCTCAGGCTCAGCTGTGCACACCCATGTACACACACACACACATGCACACACACACACTGGACACACACGCTGCCTCCATTACCTCCCTCGGATGTCAGGTCCAGCTGGACACACTGGGTCTCCCCGCGGGGACACCGCATGTAGAAGGAGGCGTTGCAGGGCCTGGGCTGCTCCTTGAGGCATGTGGGGCACAGGTACGTGCTCAAGGCCGGCAGAGCTGCTGTACAGGGCGGGGTGCCAAGGGGACTTTCAGGACCTCCCAGGCCTTTGGTGCCCTCGGGGTAGGCCACAGCGGGGTGACTTGATTGAGGGCTCCCGCTGAGCTGGGATGGGGAGACTTAGGGAAACGGTTGGGAATGGGGTTGACGGGCCTTCCTGCCCACCTTCCTTTCTCAGCTGAGGACAAGCTCCCCTCAAAGTCAGCCCACCACCCCTCAGCTGCCACAGTACTACTCCCTGGTGGCGACGTACCAAGCTGAGTGGGCTCCTGGCAGTTGCCTTGGCAGCAGGTGGTGTTGACCCAGAAACCAAGGCTGGTGCCATAGGTCAAGGCAGAGACGGAGTAGTTCCGTTTGCAGTCCTCGGAGGCCACGCAGGAGCCATTTCTCCAGGAGACAGAATTTCCATCCCCAAAGTCTGGAAAGATGTGAACAGGTTGATGAGGAAGGTAACCACAACCCACGGCCCAGTGGAACCTCCCCAAATCCCTCTGGGTGTCACCTTGTTGGCCTGAGATCCCCTCTCCCCATTCCGTAACCAATCCAAAGCTGGGCATTGATCAGGAAGACCTTTCAGAAAACCTTTCTTGCTGCCCTGCCCTGTCCCTTAGGGTTCCAATGAACATGGTATGACCTCAGTGTCCGTGAGGCCTCCCCAGCTTGCCTATGGGCACCTTTTGAGGTTTGTCAAACACTTCTGTTTGTAGTACTGGGCCCAGAAACACCCAGTACTAGTGCCTGGCACCTTGTCTTTACTATCCCTGTTTATGCTGCTGGAAGGGCTGGTGTAAGTTCAACTCCACTGCCACTTACAAAAGACTCCAGTTCTCCCATGTATGGGGGCAGATGGACAGGACCTTCACAGGGTGCCCCTGCTCTGTGTGGTGTCACAGACACTAAGAAAGCTACATCCGTGAAACATGACTTTGCCTCGCCCTTATCAAGACGTGGGATCCACTCCCTCATCCCTTAGACCTGCGATGTATTTATGACATGCCCTGGTCACTAGGCCAAGGCAGCAAGGAGTCTGTCTGTGCCAGTACTGAGCCTGTCTCTTAAGAGGTCTGGTACGTCCACTTCCTCCTCCTAGGTGGCCAGCAGCAGTGACCCTACTGTGAGGAAGCTCAAGCAAAACCACCAACCACCTCAAGGAGAACAGCAATCCTGTCTTGAGCAATCCTGCCCCACTGCAGGTCCCGGCGGCCTGTAGTCACACCAGTGACCTTGGCGGTCACCACTAAGAGTAGAAGACCTGCCCTGCTGCCATGGTTTATGTCGGTGGCCCCAGGCCTCAGGCCTTTGCACTGTGCATTTGTGATTGGTTCATTGTCTAGCGCTGGGATTGGTGGTGTCAGTGCTACACCCAGCTAGGGGTGGAGCCAGCATACAATGTAATGGCTGGAAGAAGGTGTCTCTCTCTCTTGCAGGTTTCTGCCTTGCTGTTTGCCACCATAAACTGCACCCGTCATGCCACCATGGCGTGGAGCCAACTGAGTATGTACTGAAACCTCCAAAAACTGTAAGAAATAAACCTTTCCTTTCCCAACATTGGGCAACAGGTATTTTGTCTCATCGAGGAGTAAAAAGTAACTAAGACACCTGCTGAGCCCAATCAGGGGAGAATCATGAGAAACAACAAATCACTGGTGGAAACTAGGAAGCTTTTAAAGTTGTGGTTTAAAAGAAACAGACCATAAAATTTTCCTTCTTCACCGTATTTAAATGTACATTTTGGTAGTGAGCTAAGGTCACATGGTTGTGTAACAGATCTCTAGAACATCTTCACTGTGAAAAACTGAAACTCTACGCCCATCAAACAACTCATTCCCTTCTTCCACAACCCCGGGCAATCACTGTTCAACTTTCTGTTTTGTGATTTTGATGACTGTAGATGTGTGACCTAAGTGAAATCATACAGTGTTTGTCCTTTTGTGACTGGTGAAGCCATTAAGTTTCGAGCTGATTATTGTTTAGAAATAAGTGAAGCCCCCCATTGGCTCTCACTCTGTAGGGCTCTTGCCCTGCATGGCTTGGAAAACTGAGGCTGCAAACCGAGGAGGGCACAGAGAGGTCTTGGTATACCTTGGGTCCCGTTTCTGTCGCCACGGGCACTCACCGGTGATGCCTGCTGTCCTGAGGCAGTAGTTCCTGTCCCCCGGACAGGGGAGAGGGTCGCAGTGGTGCAGGTCTGAGCAGGTAAAACAGATGGTAGCCTTTGGGTCGGTGTGGGTCACAACTGCGTGGGGATCCAGAGAGAGAGAAAGACAACCAGCATGTGTGAATATGTGTGCATGCTCGTGTGTGTGTGTGTGCAAGTTTCTAGGCACATCATTGTTGCCTTTGAGTGTGCAAAGCGTTCTTGCTTGTGTCTCTCTGCAGTGACGCTGTCTAGGAGCCCGAGAATGCAGGGCTATTTCTTGGGGTGCATATCTGGCTGAGCGCATCTCTATTGAATTGTCTGTTTTTCTTCAGCTGTCTGAGAGGGAATAAAGGTGTTTGTGTGTGTGTACTCCCATGGGCCCTGCATGAGTGGGTGTCTACAAAACACATATGGGTACGAACAGATGCACGCGTTTTTAAGCCTGGTTCTGTCGGTCTGTGTGTTTCTGTGGCTTGCGTGTGTCTGTTCTCATCGAAGTTTGGTGTGTAGGTGGACAGCAGAGGGTATTTGTCGATGTCAGTAATGCCTAGGTATAGTTTGTGCTTCTGTATGTTTGTGTGTGTTTCTGCTTGTCTTTCCTGGCCCCTGAATATGGATTTGAGAACCAGCATGTTCACTTTGGTACCGGGAATTGAACTCACAACCTCAGGCTTGCCAGGTAGACACTGTGCCGCTGAGCTGTATCCCTGGCCCTGTCCATAGGAACTGTATGTGCAAAAATTCTGTGTTCCATGTTCTTGTGGTCAGCAATCTTATTTTGCCCTTTTCCTTTCTGTATGTAAATTTCAAGTTTCCAATCTGCCTTTTTTTCCGTTGTGATAATTAACTTAATTCACTGAGTAGTCTGAAAAAGTAAACCTGTCAGCAGCTGGGAATTTGAGAAAGCGGAGGTAAAAATGTTCCTGCTCTGCCTGCAGATTCAGCGAGCGGATCCTATTGTGCATCACAGAATGGTCCTTGCTAAGAAGTTTCTAAAATAGGCGTCTGCACATCGCTGGAGCCGAGAGAATGCTGCTCTGTCCAGGGAAAAGTGCCTTTCTCACCTCTAAAACTTTAATAATTCTGTAACGCTGAATCACTTAAGAGACTGTGGTCCCAGGAAATACTCTTTCAATTAGCATGTCTCTTTTCTGGAAGAAAAAATTGTTGTGAATGTTCTTTGGTAATCCATAAGAAGGCGATTGGCAAATCTGTGTTCTTTCACAAGCAAGATAGTGAAAAAGAAGAAGTCAGAAAGAAAAATACCATCAGATTTGGTCTTTAAAGGAGTTTGCATCTCTAATCTCACTTAAACCAAATGATGTTCCTGTCTGAAATCCATGCACCTCTGCAGAGGTATGGGGATGCTGGGATAGAGTGTGGGTGTTTAATGGATAGCAGTGGTGTACGCTTGTAATCCCAGTATTCTGGGAGGCTGAGGCAGTAGGGTCACAAGTTTTAGCCCAGCCTGGGCAATTTAGCAACTTAGCAACACCCTGTCTCAAAATTAAAAAATAAAATAAAGTTAAAAAAAGGCTGAGGAATGAAAGGGCTTAGATTCAGTCTCCAGTGCAACCAACCAATCAACTAACCAATCGATCAGTTAGTCAATCGTGGATTGGTGCCAAAGGAATTTCTGCTTCTGAGTGTGTGAGGTGCTGTGTGTGATTCTGGGTAAGTGTACCCCTTTGGGTAAGGTGAGGGACAAGGTTCCTTGGGAGTCCAGTGTCGGAAGGAGCACACGGGACCCAGGGAAGTCTGTGAGGGGCTTCGGGAAGAGCACCTAGCTTTGTGAGAGAAGCCTGGCTGCTGCAGTCTGGCTTGGAAGTGAGATGGAATCCAGACTCCGCTGGGCCCAGGGTGTCGTTCACTTGCAGGTGGCAGACGTCTGGTGTAGCACAGCCCTTCAGGATTTGGGGAGCCCCTGCGGAAACAGGAGAGGCTGTCAGGAGAGCCCAGAGCCCAGGCCTCCTAACTTGATAGCTCTCTTTTCTGTCGGAATGTACCCACCTCTTGCTGACGTCTGTATGATTCACTGTCAAATCTACCTTACTGTGTTCTGCGACCTTTGTGCTGCCTGCCATCTATGTATTTATTCAGTGATTCAAACATTACTCCTTCGACTATATCGCACGGAGGTAGATTATATTCTGCAGCTGCTGACCGTAGTAGCTGAGATCCTCGAGGTAAACATCTCTGCTCGTGCTTTCCGCTCTCACCCATGGTGCTTGCTCCCCTGTGCATCTCAGGAGCTGGTTATGAGCTCATATCTGCTTGATGATCTGAGGGAATCCCGGGGGCAATTCTCCACCAGAGGATTTGCTTTTGTTTTGACAGAATCGGGTGGTACTGCCAAGCTGGGCTCTCCTCAGCTCCCTTCCCAGGTCTCTGGCTCTGTGTAAATCCAAGGGCCAGCTTCCCAGCCCTGCCGCTGTCCTAAGCCCTGTGTACCCACAGCAGGCTGTTCGCAGCCTTTGTTCTCGGAGCCTTTCGTATTGCTCACTGCTCTTGCTCTGATCTCTGTTCACATTTCCGTTGTGTCTAGGACCACTTGAATACTTCCTGCACTTCGCAAAGGCTCCAAACAGCATGGGGGAAATGTTTTTGTAAAGATTTGGTTCACCTGTAAACAGCCACATGTCCAGCTGGGGAGGGTGACCAGAAGGAGCAACCCATCGTGAGAGTGGGCTGTAAAGAGATGTATTGTCTCGGAAAAAAACATCCGTATCAATTTAAGGTCAATCTGGTCTTTATTATCACCATGAACCAGAAATTTTTTTTTTGTCTTTTTCGTTTTTATCGGTACCAGGGATCGAACTCACCACCGCACACTTGCAAGGAAGGCACTTATGCCGCTGAGCTAAATCCCCAGCCCCGAACCAGAAATTTTGAATAACACCAATGATTTAATACTCATTCCTGCTGGGGGGACCCCTTCCCCAACATTTTCAAGCCTGCCACCTTTCGAGAATCTAGTCCCCCATACTGCTGGCAGCAGAAGCTGGGGACACTTCTTTCTGTTCCTATTAGGGGGGCTTCAGCATTAGCCTGGTCGCTGGCAGGATGGTTCTGTCTTACGTAACACTTTGCTGAAAAGTTCTCTGCCTCAACTGTCTGCAACACATGCAGGCGATTTTTAAATACTTCTGTGAATTGTCAGAGACATCAACAAGTAGCATCGATGCCTTTTCTCACCGCCACATCCTTGCAGCCAGATGGGCCTTTGCCACCCCTTTAATCAATATACCACGGCGGAGTGAATGCTCATGACCTCCAAGGCTTTGTCATAAAAGTGCAGGAAGCTGCCACCTCATGTGCTGGATGGAGTCTTCGGCTACTATGGAAAAGGCCACGAGGCCGCCATGATGTAAGAAAGCCCATAGCCCCTGCAGGGGGACAACGTGGAAAGACCCTGAGACTCATATATGAGAGAGGCTCAGCCTGGTTTGTCTTAGCCCTGCAGCCCCAGCTCCAGCCACCTTCCAACTGCAAACACATGAGGTGCCTGAGTTCTCTTTGACTCTCCAACCCAAGAAACTCTAAGAATAATAAAATGATTGTCATCTTAAGGCACAAAGTTTGCAGAGGATTTGTTGAATAGCAAGAGCATAGCAGAACGCGTACACAAAGAGACCTTAACATGTATCAGCACGAGGGGGAGGGAGGCGTGTATGCAATTGCCCTGCTGAGAAGAAGGAGCTCTTACCTCCACTCCATGTCCCGTTGAGGGTGACACACTTGGTCTGGGTGCCGGTGCAGTTCATGACCGAAAGGGAGTCACATGGGGCTGATTTGTTTCCAGAACAGTATTGACATGTCACATGGTTAGCCTCGGGCTCTGGCTCTGGTAGGAAACAGGTAATCAGAGCGCAGTGGAGACTGAGGAGCCCTTCCCAGTCCTCCTTCCCACCAGCCTCTGTTCTCCTGCCCTCCTCTCTCCCTGCCCCCATAACAATCCAGATCCTTTGTCTCTAAAGTGGGACCAGCTTGGTCTCCGCTGCCTCCTTTCAAGTGCTGAAGCTTGTTCCGAGAAGCAACAAACAGAGCAGCCCCTTTATTCCTAAAGAAATCACCAGGCTGCATCCTAGGGGTTACTTTATTCATTCCACAAACATTTCTTGAGCACTAACTGTGTATCAGGCATTCTTCCAGGTCCCGGAGACAGCAGTGATCACACAGATGAAAGACTTCCCTGAGAGACCTTGAACTCCAAAAGTGATTACAGAGAGATTCTGTTCTTTCAGGTTTTGGATGCTTTAATATTCTGCAAAAGAGCAGAACTCTGCCTTCCAGGTTCATCACTGTCTGATTAATTTTGAGAGTTTCCCCAGAGATCTGAAACATTTAAGAGGAAGCCACATAGCGTATATTTTTCCTGAGTCAAAACTCGGTCACTGGCTGGGGATATAGCTCAGTGGCATAACACCTGCCTGACAAGCATGAGGTTATAAATTCAATTCCCAGTACCAAACAAACAAACAAAAACTCAGTTATAAATGGGACATGGTGGTGCACACCTGTAATCCCACTGCTCAGTGCTTGGGAGGCTGAGGCAGGAGAATCATAAATTCAGTGCCAGGCTTGGCAGTCTACCACGTTGAAGACCAGCCTGGACTATAGCGGGATCCTGTCCAGAACAAGAGCTCACACTGAAAAACACTGGCAGGTTCAGAGAAGTCAACTGTAGGAAGCATTACAATAGTGAGGTGCTGTCTAAGCCACGCCCACTGGTCACACGGGCATCGTGAACACCTAAAGGCTTGGTCTCTGGTTTGGTGCCACTGAAAGGTGGTAGAACCTTTAAGAGGTGGGCGATCTTGAGGTCACCGGGGCTGAGGCCTACAAGAGGACCGTAGGTCTCGGTCTCCAGCCTCTTCTGCTTGCCCTCTTTTGCCCCCTGTTCACCAGGAGGTGTGCGGGTTTGCTGTGCATGCACTCCCATTAAGATGTGCTGGCCTGCCTGTCACGGGCCCAGAAGCTGTGGCCCAGCCAGCCACGGACTGCAGGTCCCAAAACTGGGAACCAAAATAAACCTTTGTCCTTTGTAAGTTGACTATCTCAGGGATTTGTGTTAGTGATAGGAACCTAATTAACATGTACATGTTGAAATGTTCCATTTTGGCTGCCTTTCCTTAAATGAAACATATCATTTAAATTAATTTCACTGGATGATGTTAGATTTCTAATGGCCAGTGCTACCACAGATCCTCTACCAAATTAGTAGACGTATTTTGGGGTGCCCCCTTCAGTCTTTCAGCATAAAGAGGAGAGTATTCTTGCTCCACTTATTATCCTAACTGGTATTCTATGTGCTGAAGAGCACGCCCAGGTCTCAGCTTGGACCTGGCAGGTTTTTGTGGGGATCCACAATTTAGGAAGGAGGGAAACTACAGTTCTTTGAAAGGGTGCCTGGTAGCCCTCCCTGAGTGCTGGCTCTCTCTGTTGCCACCTCTGCCAAATACAAATTCCTTCCTTGAAGGAATAGTCATGCATCAAAAAATTATCTGATCACCACCCAAGGCCTAGTCTAGCTGACACTGAGGGTACAGCGCCTCGCCCTCGGGGTCAGGCAAGCACTAGGGCGGCAGAGCTCTGAGCCCCTCCTCAATGCTGGCGCCTCGGGCTCCTGGCTGGGCTCACCCTGGACCTGGGCCTTTCAGCACTCACCGCACTTGTGCTGCCCAATCAGCCTTAGGGGGCGTGAAGAAGCGGCTCTAAGGGGTGAGTAGGAGTTCTGGGCTTCTCCCCAAGCTCAGTAATTCGATACAGCTACAAAATACAGAATGCCTACCCTGTGCCAAACAAGGGGGTACACCCCTAAAAAGTCGATCCCACACCATTTTCCAGTTGAGAAAACAGATGTGTGTGTGTGTGTGTATATATGTGTGTGCTTTTTTCCCAACCCAGGGTTTTTGCACTGAACTGTATCACCAAATGTCACCATATAAGTATATATGGGTCTCTTTGAGACAGGATTTCCCTGTGCAATTCAGGCTGGCCTAGAACTCAGTTTGTAGCTCAGGCTAGCATTGAACTCCCAGGTGTCCTCCAGCCTCAGCCTTCTGAGTGCTGGGATTACAGGAGTGTATACTCTTGGCTATATATATATATATATATGTTTTTTTTTTTTTTTTGAGATAAGGTTTTGCTAAGTCACTAAATTGCCCAAGCTGGGCTCAATCTTATGATCCTCCTGACTCACCCTCCCAAAGTGTTGGTATTGCAGGTGTTGGAGTTCTCTTTGTCATTCTAATCAGCCGGAGAGACAGCTCCATGGCAAAGCTCCAGGCCCTCATCTGGGTGCCTGACTCCCAGCACCCACTGCAGACAAACCTTGCCGTGGGTCCCTGATGCTGCAGCTGTGTGCACAGCAGGCGGTGCTAACCCAGAGCTCGGAGTTGGGGGCGTAGGTCAGGGTGCTGACGGCTTCCCGGCACTGCCCAGGTGCCACACATGAGCCATTCTCCACCACGGTCCCGTTTTCTGGGGATAGAGGTCAGGAGCAGATGCTAGGGCCCCTTTCCCAAGCCCTTCTGGCCCCTGCCCCTCTGTGGTGACTGCAGAGCTCTATAAGCACCAGTCCAGCACCCCACACCTCACAGTGGCACCCAGTTGAGCTGTGTGCCCGGGTTTACAGCCTGCAGGGTGCTGGGCAGCCCCAACCCCCACCCCACTTGCTCCCTTCATCTTCCACCACCCTCCCTGCCGCGTCTCCCACCCAGCTGCATCCGGCTGAACAGGCAGGAGTCCTGGGCCCCGGGGCAGGTGATGTCCCTGCAGTGAGGCTGCGAGAAGCAGGCTGGACAAGTCTTGGAGGTCCCTGTGGGGACAGAGGAGGGATCAGACCTTGTGGTTTGAGGGGGTAGCAGAAAGAGCTCATGTACATACACGGACACACACACACACACGCAGGTGCTCACACACTTGGGATTCAAGAACAGGATTAGGGGCTGCGGTGGGAGCAGGGCGGTTGGGAGATCGAGGAACATTTTCCTGGAGGAGTGGGAATGGCACCTGGTGGGCAGCTCCCCACTGTAGAAGTGAGGAAGTGGGGTCCTCGGGCTCTGTGGGCTGCAGCTGCTGGAGCCCCAGCGTACGCACAGGCTCACCAGCCAACCTCACGTCTCCAAAGCCCAGCACTGAGCAGTGAAGGTGTGGAGCCACCCTGCCCAGCCGTCCCTCTTGCTGCCTCTTCCGCTCACACTCTCCTGTTCTAGATGAGCAAGTGGGGCCAGAAGGCTCAGGGCTGGGCTGGCGGAGCAGTGCATGTCACAGCTGACTGTTATCACAGAAAGCTCAGAAAGATTCGCCGTCACTGGCCTGGGATCTCACTCAAGATCACACAGTGAGATTTTAGATGGGCTCAGAGCTACTTAATTCCCCATCCAGGCCAAAGACTGCAGGATTAAAACCAGCGTGAAGACAGGCAGGCAAGGTCAAAGACCCATACTAATAATTGCTCCTAGATATCCATAAGTGCTCACCATCATCCATTGTGACCACCAGCCTGGTACTGGAGGAGCCCTGAGCTCCTCAAACATGTTCATTCAGTGAATGCCCAGGTCGTTATCATCTTCATTGCACAGAGGGGACAACTGAAGCCCAGAGTGGTTAAGTGACTTGCCTGGAGTCACACAGTTATAAAGTGGCAGATCTGGGATTTGAACCCAGGTAGCCCAACTCCAGAATCCCACTCCTTCTCAGCCACCCTGCTGCTTCCTCTGCTGTCCATAGCTGGGGGGAAGGGCCTGGGGCACACACTCTGAAGCCAGCTCTCACTAGCCAGGAAACTTTGGGCCGATATCCGCCCCCCCCCCCCCCCCCGCTCTGAGTGTCCACAAGGCTCACCTTCTGGGGCAACCAGCGCCCCCAGAAGCATCAGGGCAGACAGGAGCCGAAGCATGATCCAGGCTGGAGAGGAGGAAGCAGGACACAGGTGCCCTGGCCTTTTATCAAGGGCCTCGCCAGGGTGGCAGCTCCAGAAGAGGGAAGACAAACAGCCTGGGCAGATAGTGGCCCCACCCGCCATCCTGCCCACCAAAGACTGGTATGAGGGACAGGGCAAGGAGGGTATCAAAGCAGCTGAACTGGATCAAGCGTGGTAGTGCACGCCTGCAATCCCAGCTACTCAGGAGATGCAGGCAGGAAAATCATGGGTTCAGACCCAGCCCGGGCAGTTTAGCAAAATCCTGCTTTGAAATTTAAAAATTGCTTGAAGGGTTGGAGGTGTAGCTCAGTGGTGGAGGGCTTGCCTGGCATCCACAAGGCCTTGGGTTCAATCCTCAGCACTAAAAAGTGGGGAAACTGCATTCTGTGGGGTGTGTGGAAGAAAAGAAGCTCAAGGCTGCTCACTGAGACCAAAGGAGAATGTGTGGACATATTACTATTATTACTGTTATTAATAGGTTGCCTGGTGACGCCAAACAGATAGATGTCAGCTAACAAGTTCCACCCCCAATAATACCACAGGTTGAGAATCCTTAATGCAAAAATCCAAAACTTCTAGAGAATTTATGTGATACTATAAGTGGAGAATTCCACCACACGAAACTGTTTCATAAGCCAGGTGTGGTAGCACATGCCTGTAACCCCAGCACTCAGGAGGCTGAGGCAGGGTGAGTTTGAGGCCAGCCTGACCTGCATAGGGAGACCTGACCTTAAAAAATCAAAATTAAAAAAAATCAAAATCAAAGCCACTTTGTTTCATGCAAAAAGTGATTTTAAAATCTTTTTTTATTTTTTATTTTTTGGTACTGGAGATGAAACTCATGACCTCATGCTTGCCAGGCAGGTGCTGATGCCACTGAGCCAAATCCCTGGCCTATTTTAAAAATCTTTTTTTTAAAAGTGATTTTAAAATATTGTGTAAGATTACCTTCACACTGCAAACTCGTACTATTAAAAAAACATTTTAAAAGATTATCTTCAGATCATGTGTCTCTAAAGCATAAAGGAATTTTGTATTTAGACTTGAGTTTCATTCAAAATTCCAAAAAAGAGAAAAACAAATCTAAAATCTGGAACACTTCTGGTTCCAACGATTTTGGGTAAGGGATGCTTAAACTGTCCTCCTAACTCAAGAGTGACAGTCACACTATGAGGCCATCAGTGTGGCCAGCTCATTGGCAGTGATGGTCTGCATAGTGCTAGGGCCACACCCTCTGGCCTTTCTGGACCCAATATGACTCCTTCTGTTGCTGGAATGTGTGGGTATCTGAGAGGGCTCCAGGGTGTCCCCAAGTGGGCTCTGAGGGCCTCTAGGCAGTGATTTTCACCAACCAAATCTGGCTGTAGTGTAGCCAGCGGTACAGCTGAAGACAGCCTGAATTTTCCTTTTTCACAGAGAGGAAAACAAAAATTAAGCTCAGAGCACTCAAGACCTTCAAGCAGGGGTCCAGAATCGAGGAGGCTCGCATGATCAAGTTTGAACCCAAGTCTCTGAATTGACCACTGTGCTTTTTACCAGGAGGGAAATAGAGCCACTCTGGCTGGTGAGGTCTGGGTGGCCCTGCTGCTCCTGTCCCCTGCAGGACACCCTTGATTTTCTTTTTTTTTTTTTTTTTTAATTTTTTTTTTTTGTCTTTTTCGTTTTTACCGGTACCAGGGATCGAACTCACGACCGCCTGCTTGCAAGGCAGGTGCTTATGCCACTGAGCTAAATCCCCAGCCACCACCCTTGATTTTCACACCTACTCAATACAGATGAGGTCCATGGAGGACCTTCCAGTGCTGGCTCTGGGTAGTGACTCCTGTAGAAGTCACTTCTTCCTGAGCTTGTTCAAAGGACTGCGTGAGCTGGGCCCAGTAATGCTTGCCGCAATCCCAGCACTTTGGGAGGCTGAGGCAGGAGGGTTGCAAGTTTGTGCCCAGCCTAAGCAGCTTAGTGACCTTGTAAGACCCTGTCTCAAAATTTTAAAAGGGCTGAAGATGTAGTTCAGTGCAAAAGTCCTGGGTTCAATCCCAGGACAAATAAAATGGAAATTGTTAAAAGTAAGAGGGTTGGCTTAGGTGAGAGGACTGAGTCAATCCTTCTCTGAGACCTAACTTGGGTGCTGTCCTTTCCCTAGTTAGGGCCATAGGGTTTTCAACCGAACAGTGAATATAGCCCAAGGCCCTTCCAGTGAGCACTAGATAAACAGTGACTCAAAACTGGGCAGATTCGAGGTAGTTCTGTTCAGATTTCAAGGTAACCAGTGCAGTCTAGAGGAAGAGGAAAAGTTAGGATCGACACAGGTTTTATTTGCATTCCAGTTCTGCAGTGTCTTTCTCTGAGCCAAGTGGCCTTGGGCAAGGCACGTTACCTACCTGAGCTCCAGTTTCCTGGTTTGTAAAACAAGGCGGTTTGCAGGAAGCAGGACTTACAGAGTGCCTATTGTGAGGATTAAACGAGTTGATGTACTTGAAGTACCCGAATGTGGTGTACTCCAATAACAGGCACCAGGGCTGGGGATGTAGCTCGGTGTGAGGGCCCTGCTTGGCCTGTGCCATATTCGGGGGTTTGATCCCTGGCATTATTCCTGCCTGAAAGCCAGGGTCCTGATGCTATCTGTCTGAGTAAACAGCCTTGCTCTGCACAAACAAGACTTGTGGGACAAAGAGTGAAGGGTGAGTGGACAGAAAGGGAGGTTTCCCTGCCCTTCTTGTGAACCCAGAGGCAAGAGGGCTTGAGGGCAAGAGTTATTTGATGCACGGAGAAACAGGTAGGGACCGCGCCCAACTTCAGTGTGCAAACCTGAGTTCTCCGTATAGAGTGCCGCCCTGAGACTTCTCCACTTGCCAGTGATGTAACCCGCGTTGCATAAAGCATTTCTTCTTTGGTTTTTCCACTAAAGGCACTGCAACTCTTGTTGGGCGAGGCATCTTCCTACCGCTTTGGCATTATCAGTTATCTGCAAAAACGAATTTCACACTCAGGTCTCATTTCACACGCACACCAACTTTTCAAAAGTGCTAAGTGGTTTGGCTGTGTTAAAAGGCTTTTCTAGATTTTGCAATTCTGAGAGCAAGGGCAAAATCGCCCTCCACAAAGGTTTACCAATTTACACTCCTACAAAGCCAGTTCTCCCAAAGCCTTGCTGAGTCTCCTGTCTCCAAAGTGATTGTTGATTTCTGCAGACCTGGGAGGAGAATCTACAGCCTTCCAGGTGGCTCCTTTAGAAATGGCTCAGCAAACTGGGTGTGATGGTGCACACCTGTAATTCCGGCACTCCGGAGGCCGAGGCAGGAGGATCACCATGAGTTCAAAGCCAGCCTGACTACAGCCTGTCTCAAAAAAAAAAAAGAGTGAGAGAGAGAAAGAACGAAAAAAATGAACTATCTCACCAAATACATGTATTCCAGGTCCTTTTTGCCTCAAGTTAAGAATTCAAAAACGCAAGCCAAAAATGGTGGCAAAACTTTGTTTCAAAAGTGAGGGGTGGAGGGTCAAAGTGAAAAACTGGCTCTGTGGAGCGAACTTGGTATTTTTGAGCCAGTTTTGTCACACCCTGCCTCCTATCTTGCCTCCAAACAAGAAGAGATGGGATCTGTTTCTCCTCCTCCTCTAGAACCTGAGCGGGTCTCATAACTGGCTTGGGCCACTAGAATGTGCCAGAAAGGATGTCACAGGCATTCTGAGCGGAGGCCTCAGGAATTAGCCAAAGTGTCAATTTCTTCTTCCAGAGACCTTTCACTGTTAGGTGATCCAGCCTAGGCTGCCTTTGCAGGATGGAAACCAGGACTTCTGCGAGAGCTCCAAGCACTCCCGGCCACGGAGGCCCAGAGCCCACTCCTGAGGGAGGTCATATCTGTCTTAGCCCATCCAGGCTGCTGTAACGGAAGTCCACAAACTGCATGCCTTGTAAGGAATGGAATGTGTTGCTCACAGTTCTGGAAATGGAGAAGTCCAAAATCTAGGAGCCACACTTGGTGTCTGAGGAGGCCTGTTATCTGGTCCTTCGAGGCATCTTTTAGCTGCACCTTTCTGCTGTGGGAAGGGCAAAGCAGTCTTTCTGAGGACTCCTTTATTTTTGAAGGCAGGGTCTCACTAAATTGCCCAGGCCAAGCTTGAATTTGTGATTCTCCTGCCTCTGTCTCCCAGAGTGCCCGGTTTACAGGTACGTATCAGCGTGCCCAGCTTCTCTGGCTCTCCTTTGGTAAGGTGACTAATCTCATTTATAAGGGCTCTGACCTAATCACCTCCCCGAAAGGCCCAACTCCTAATACCATCGCATTGGGGATTAGGGTTTAAAACATGAACTCTGCCGGGCCCCTAATGTTTAGACCGCCATACTATCAAAGTCTAACTGAGCTTGACCAAAGCAGCCTGGCCCCACAGATGAGACATTTGGTTTTTTGCAGCGTTGGTGGGGAGAGGGCCTCATGCACACTAAATAAGTGCTCTATCACAAGCTATATCCCCATCCATAATGCTGTTTTAAGCCCTAAATTTTTGGGTGATTGCAATAGCAGAAGCCAACTGAAGCCAATGGTATTTTAGTATCTCTTTTGTTTTTTTGTTTTTTTTGAGACAAGGTCTTGCTATGGATTCCAGGATGGTCTGAACTTACTATGTAGCCCATCTGGGCTGGCCTCGAACTCACAGTGATCCTCTTGCCTCAGCCCCTCAGGTGCTAGGATTATACTGCTAGCATCATATGGGCCACCACACCTAGTTGATGTCATTTTTATAAGAGCATTTGTACCTTTTCTTGCCCTTCAGGAGTTTTTTTTTTTTTTAATTTACTGATTCCTAGAAGCCTTATTAACTTCCCAGGGCTGTGTTGTAACCCAGACCACACATCAGGTGACGAAAACAGCAGAAAAGTACTGTTCCCCAGTCTGGAGTCAGGAGGTGTCAAGTCTGCAGCGCTGGGCTCCCGCCAGACCCCGGCGAGGAGTCACTGCTGCATCTTCCCTGCTTCTGGAACACTGCCAGCGATCTTAGCATCTCCGGCTCGCAGCTGCATGATCCAGCCTCTCCTATGTCATTCTGACCTTCTCTCAGGGCTCTGTCATCATACGGCCACCTTCTTACCAGGACACCAGTCACATCGGATGAGTAGCCCACTCCATCTCGTATGACCTCATTTTAACTAGCTGCATCTGCACCAACGTTATTTCCAAATAAGGTTGTGTTCAGAGTCCTGAAGCTAGGACTTCACCTGTCTTTTTGGGACAAACACAATCCCTCTCATAGCAGGAGCTCTTGTACGATGAAAACAGTCGCCCTGGCTGTGCCTGTCTCTCCCACTTCTCTTCCCCTCTCCATCTCTCCTTGGGCTGAGGGAGCCCCTGAAACCTGTGTGCCTGGCCCACAGCCCTGCAGGCACACATGAGCCAGATGAGGTCCAGTGAGTCACTGGGGGGAGGAGGGGACATTCCTGCCACTTCTCTGGAAATGCCTTTGTCCTGACACCTGCTGGAACCTGGCAGGGGCGTGTCACTTGGAGGAGACTAGGAATCAGACAGTGACAAGACAGATACAGAGATAGAGATGGAGACACAGAAGCAGAAGTAGAAAAACAGAAATAGTCAGAGAGAGAGACAGAGAGAAGGGAGAAGCAAACAGAAGGACAGAAAGAAGCAAAGAAAGAATAAACAGTGTGGAGAGAGAGAAAGGGATGCAGCCAGAGACCGAAAGGTGGGGACCCGGAAAGATAAAAAGGGACAGAAAAAGAGAAAAATATCCAAATGGAGAGCGAATAAAAGACAAAGATAGAGATATAGGAGAGGAGTGAGATGGAAATTTCAGGAGACCGTGGAGGTCTGGGGATGTAGCTCAATGGCACAGAGCCTGCCTGGCTAGTGCAGAGTTGGGAGTTTGATTCCAGTACCAAAAAACCCCCAAAAAAATCCACAGAAAACACTTCATGTTTTAAATAAAAGAGGAAATTGGTCCCACAGCCATGAAGTCATTTCATAGGAAGTGGTAGCATCAGACCACACAGTTCTCGGAGCCCCCAAACACCTCCTGCTCGCCTCAGCCCATCCTTCAGATGGGGAAATTAAAAGTTAATGTAGTGAAGCCATTCCTGGGGTCACCGTGGCAAGTGGTTGAGCTGGGTCTCAACCTGCCTGAACCATTACTTTAACATCCTTCCCCCTCCCCCACTAAGGGGATTGGACCCAGGATTCCGTGCACGCTAGGAAAGCATTCGACCACACTGAGCTACATTCCCAACTCTAGTCTTTTATTTTATAACAGGTCTCACTAAGTGGCCCAGGCTAGCTTCAAACTTTTGAACCTCCTGTCTCGGCCCCCCAAATGGCTAGGATTACACCCCACCAGGATCCAACACCTCACTTTCTGTTTTCCCATTTGCACTGATGTCTTCTTCAGGCTTCATGCCAAGTCCCAAAGGGGCTCATCTGGGTTCCAGATGAGGAACGGGAAGTTCAGACCAGGGGACTGTGTCGGCTCTGGGTGACCCAACCAGGGAGTGATCCACCCGGCAGTCATCTGCTTGTCAGCTGCTAACCTCAGATTTCAGAACACACTCCCAACTCCCTTGCCACGCCAGAAAGAGAACAAAGGAAAATGAAGAGCCAGAGTTGTGGCCAAGACAGTGATCACTGCAGCTACTACGTTTACTGAGCATGTACTATGCCCAGGCCTTGTGGAAAACACCACAGGTGTGTTCTTTCCTCTCCCCAGAACACTGACCTGGGAAAGAGAAACTTAATTTACAATCTCCACTTTCCAGATAAGGAGTTCCGAATACACACTCAATGAGTCACTGAAATTCAAACCCTCACAATCTGGAGCCAACTCCCACACTTAAACATCGGGCCACACCAAGACAGGATTTCTTTGGGATTTTTCTCACCTTATCTGAAAATGATTAGCCTAAGGTTTCAACAAAGTAGTAAGAATCAAAACGGTAGAATCATTATTGTAGAAGGACCTACTCCTTATGCATCATCTTCTCCTCTATGAGTCACACTGACTTCCCTGCAATTCCTAGATATCACCCAATACGTTCCTACCTCAGGCCCTTTGCACAAGTTGTTCCCTGTCCCTGGAAAGCTTTCCCTCCATATTCTTCCCTCCATGCTCATGGAGTTCCCATGGACTGCCCCACTGAATGTGTCTCATATCACACGCCATGGCATCTCCTTCAAGACATGCCTGCTTTCCCTATTTGGCCTACTCCCCTGATGGTGACTGTTTAGATAGCATACACTGCCCACTGTCAGCACAATGGTGGGGACTTTGCTTTGTTTCCTGCTGTGTCCCCAGCTCCTGGACTGGGGCTGCTGCAAAACAGGTCCTTGGTAAATATGCCAGGAATTTATTGAGCCTTCCATGTGACCTGTCACTATTCTGGGCCTTTTCCCATGTTAAATTGCTCTTGCTGGCCAGCAACATCATAAAGCAGGAGACTTATTTTATCCTCTGTATTTTATATTCCTTTATTATTATTTTTATTTAGTGAACTTTTAGAACACATGGAAATCGATGTGGCACAAGAGAATGGCATAAGAGAATGTGGCATAAGAGAATGGCACAAGAACCCCTTGTATACTTGCAAATTTGATTATTAATATAATCAAATAATTTGATCAATAAAATAATTTGATAATATAAATAGTTGACTACTTTGCCTTTATTTTCTTCTAAAGTGTTTTTAAAGTAAATACGGCAGACATTGACAGCATCTACCCCTAAATACTTCAGTGAACATCTATTCCAAAAAAAAAATTTCCCCACATAACCACAAAATCTTTCTCATAACACCGATATCTACATTTTTTTTTTTTAGCTAAACTGAAGATAAATGGCAGACATTATGTCATTCCACATCCAAATCTTTCTGAGTTCACCTCTGGATGATAAAGGCATTTTTCACACATGACTACAAGATCCCCTCCCCTCCCCCAACAGAGCTAACCTCTAACACTAATACGGCCCCATTCACTCCCCCACAGGAACAAGTTTTTATCATCGTTTTACACCTGAGAAGAGTCATTTTCCAAGGAAGTCGCCTAGCAGGAAGAGGAAGAACTGGGATTTGAACCGAGGCAGTCTGATGACAGAGCTGTGACCGTGGTAGTGAGTCAGGACCCAGCCTGCTCGGGTCCTTCCTTGGCTGTGGCCGCGCCCTGGGAAAAGAAGTTTGCGGGCGAGGGCGGGAGGTGGACAGGGGAGCAGGGGGTGGCGCCCACGCATCTGCCGCTGACTGCTCTCTTGAGCAACGCGCCGGGGAGGAGCCCCCGGCCACAAAACTGTCTGCTTCCCCGCGGGCGGAGCAGAGGAGAGGAATCAGCCCGAGCCAGGAGCATGGGCCGCCTCCTGCTGCTGCTGCTGCGGCTGCTGCTGGGCGTTCTGATCTGCACCCCAGGTAGGAGTCTGGGCGCACACCTGCGCTGGAAAGGGGGCCGGGTCTGGTGAGTTGGAGGAGGCGGATCCCGGGCCCAGCACCTCTCCCCGCAGCAGGTCACCGTCCTGGCGCCGTCCCCCCAGGCCCTGGCCCCCGGTGGCGGCCGCGCGGGGCAAGACTAGCTGGGCAAGGGCGTTAACAGGGGCGATCTTTTAGGGGGTGCCCTTTTCCTGCCCGCTGCCCTTCTAAAATACCTTGCCATTTCAAGCCAGCCTGGTGGAGCTGTTATTGATCCTTTTCACAGAGGACACTGAGGTACAGGGAGGTAATAACGGGCCTGAAATCCCTAGCCAGTTCTTGAGTTAGTGGGGTTCTGACCCCGCCGGGCACCCCAGGATCCTCCTTAGAGAAATAAGGGCGCAGCGCCCCGTTTTACAGAGAGTGTAAAGAGAGTTGGGCCGAGCATCTCGGAGGACACTTCCCTTTCACCATCCCCTCGCCCCGTGACCCTTTCACCTGCGTCCCCCGAATAATACGGGGAGTAGGCTTGAGACGTGAGAGGAAACGAGAAGGAACTGAATCAGGTCAGGCGCGGTGGGGGTGGCGGCGCGGCGGTGATTAACTCTGCCCTGGGGACCGCGGGAGGCCGGCAATGAGTAAAGATCCGAATCGGGGGAAGCGGATGTCCGGAAGCCCTGCGGGCGCGGATCCGGGGCCACAACAACTTCGGGCGCGAATGGGACAGGGACTCCGGGCTCCTGGGCGGGGGGTGGGGCCAGGACGTCTGGGCGGAGTCGGGGGCGGAGTCGGGGCGGAGCTAGAACTGGGGGCGGAGCCTGGGCTACGCTAGAACTTCGGGATCCGCCTGAAGGACCAGGCTGGGACTTTACGGAAGAGACTGAGGCAGAGCTAGATTATGGGGCGGGTCTAGAGGCGGGGCAATTTTTAGGTGAGCCACGAGGGTGGGGCTAGGACTTGGAGGAGGAGGAGCCTAGGACAGGGCTAGGGTGTAGGGGCGGAGCCAGGAACTGGGATCAAAAGTAGCGGAGCGACTGGAGGCGGGGCTAGACCTGGCATGAGGGGCGGGGCTAGTGTCACCGCGGAAACTGCTCCCCTGGGGAAAGAATCTAGAGTCTTCTGGGGGAGGGGGCCGTGGCAGTTACCCGAGAGCACGGGGAGCAAAAGTACAACCTAAAGACCCACGGGGTCGGTGGGGAGAAAACGCCCCTTAAGTTGCAGAATAGACCCAGAAACCGGGGTCGAATCGGAAGGCTAAAATAGAGCTGGGGCAGAGCTAGTTGTGAGGGCTGGGATAAGATTTCAAGGATGCAATAATTGACTTGCAGAAATAGGCCTGGGCAAGACCTGGGGAGCGCCTGTGGCCAGAGATAGAATGCAGGACTGGGACTGAAGGACCATAGGCCAGAACCCAGGGTTGGAACCGAGAGACAGGAGTGGACAGTGGACTGGGGCTGGAGTCGGTCCTGGGATGGGGATGGAAGGGCGACAGAGCAGATGCTGGCGAGTATTTACTAACCAGGTCTTCTCTTCCCTTCCTCCCTCCCCCAGCCTCCTGGGCTCTGATCTGCTTGCATTGTAGAAGTAACGGGCCCTGCCAGGTGGAGACGTGTGCCGCCGGCCAGGACCTCTGCAGGACCACGGTCATACGTGTGTGGAAAGGTAAGTTCTCTTCGCCCCAACTCTAGCGCGACCAGGAGCGCTAGTGACCAACAACCCTTCCTTCATCAGGAATTAGGGAACCACAAACCGAGAAAAACCAAGGAGACCCCATTCCACACCTATGGGTTTAGCAAACATTTAAACTTTTAACAGTGTCTGGGGAGGTAACTCCGTGGTAGAATTCACTTAGTTTGCACCTTAGGATCCATTCTCAAGACCAGAAACAAAATGAAACATTGACGGTGCACAGATGTGGAACCATACACCCCATAGTAGGGAAGTAAATTAGTGTATGATCCACCCAGAGCAACTGGACAATATCTAATACAGATGACGATTAGCATACCTTATAGCCAGTAGTTCAACTCCTAAGAATGTAGAAACTCCACAGAGGATGGGCCACACGACCACAGACACAGGCATAAGGATGTTCTTAGCAGTAGTGCTTGTGATGACTCCAGCAGCCAAGGACCCTGCAGTGTGATCACATGGTGAAATGCTGCGTGGAGGTTAAATGAAGGAGTCAGAGCTGCACATTTCCTTGTGAATACATCTCAGAAAACGTGGTGGTTGTGCCTACAGTTCCAGTGACTAGGGAGGCTGAGGCAGGAGGCTAACCTGGGTCACTTAGCAAGACCATGTTTCTGAAATAAAATGTAACATAGCTTAGTGGTAGAGTGCCCCAGGATTGAATCCCCAGTACTACCCAAAAACCAAAAACATGTAAGAATTGAGAGGAAGAAACAAGTTATGTAAGTTTTCAAATAAACATGGACTACAATAACATATATCACTCTGCATATACACAGTAAGAACTTCTTAACATTGGTTGCCTCTGGACCAACCATAAAGGGAGCAGGATTAGGAAGATATAAAATGGGGTGTTTAAAAAATTCCACTTTCTGTATTTGAAAAGAAAAAAATCCATGTTCTTTAAAAAGTACTTTAAACAGGCTAGGCATAGTGGCGCATATCTGTGATCCCAGACTCCGTGGGATCCAGTGACTCAGGAGGCTAAGGCAAGAGGCTTGTCCAAAGTTCAAGGCCAACCAGAGCTACATTACGAGTTCCAAGGTCAGCCTGAAATCCATAGCAAGACCCTGTCTCCAAAATAAATAAATAAAAAGTGCCTGAAACAGATATAGCGAAATGCTAATGTTTTACCAAGCTGGATAACAAATGCATAGTATTTATTCTGTTATTCTCCTATTCTTTTTAGTAAGCTAGCATTTCCCTTTAAAAATTCCTATCAGAAGTGGTAGAGTTTAGCCTCTAAGGATCAAACAAGCAAAAGAATTTACAATTTCTATCAGGCATCTCCCTGCTGAGATCACCAAGCTGAGAAGGGGGAGGAAGTAGGGGGAGATGGATCCACTAATTCTTAGGGTCACTGAGAGAATAGGCTTCCGCATCTGTGCGTGCATGGGTGTGGGCTTCGGAAGCCTCCGGGACACTGAGGAAACATTCTTTACAGTAGACGAAGAGCTGGAGATGGTGGAGAAAGGCTGTGCTCACACAGAGAAGAGCAACAGGACCATGAGCTATCGGATGGGCTCGGAGATCATCAGCCTTACAGAGACGGTGTGCGGGTCCAACTTGTGCAACAAGCCCACACGTAGTGAGTAGCCCAGACTTCGCCATCCTCCACCCTAAACTCTCCTCAACACATCTTCATGACTGTATTAGACCCATCCATCCTCAACCCTGCCCCACTCAACACCACTCCATTCCTTGCCCCGAGGCAACCCCAGCTCCATCCCCTCCGCATTCCAAACAGTTCTGATCCCATCCTCAGATCCACATTGCCTTCATGTCAGACTACTCAAGTGGGAGCCCACCCTGCTCCGAACTATGAACCCACCTGTTCTCACACATTTGCGCAGGTGTTTGTTATGTGTAAGGTCCCACGCTCCTTGGGGGTATCCTGCTTGTGCCTGAGAGTCAGTGAGGTGTCTTGCTGATGTTTTTGTTTGTTTGTTTGTTTGTTTGTTTTTCCATCTCATTTTTTTCTCGGGGACAGAGGATGATACATGCAATAGATACTGAGGGGCCGAGATGCAGGGAGAGACTCATGGTTCTTTAAGGAAAATGCAAAGAGGTCTGAGGGCCCAGGCTGCACTGGTACACAACTGTAGTCCCATCTCCTAGGAATCCTGGAGCAGCAGGGTCCCTGAAGTTTTGGGGTTCCAGACCAACCTGGGGAAAATAGAGAACCCCATCTCAAAATTAAAAATGAAAGAAAAGAGGAGAGGAGGACACAGGCTAGGCAGGTTCTTTGGACTAGATGATCTTTGACTTGAAGAGTGCGGTGGGGGGAATGTCAAGAAACTTTGCTAATGCCTTTAGGCTCTGGTCAATTGAAAAACTAGATAAATAGATAAATAAAACCACATCCTCCTTCCCAGCCACCTCCCACAGGAGAGGAGAGAATGGGGAAGGAAGGGCCCTGTGCTGCGTGGTCAGCAGAGATTCTTCTTTCTGGCCCAGTAAGGAAGGAAATTGATTAAGGCTGCAGTCACAGTGACGTCTGCGGCAGAGCACCTGCGTTTGCAGTGGGTTTTCCCTCTTCCTCTGTCCTGACCAGGCTTCATTTTCGCCCATCCTCAGCACAAACTGTCACCTGGTGCAAGGGCTTGCTCTGATGCTCATTTTGAAGGAACTGATGAGAGGGGACCCGGCTTCCTCTCTCTGGTATACATACATCTAATCGGAAATGATGGTCAAAGTAGTGGTCAGTACTGGAATGGAGCCCAGGGTGTCCCCTTGCTGGGCCTGGTGCCACCCCTCCCACTGATAGGTCACGGGGACGTGAGGCTGGTAGCGAGACTTAGGAGTGCTCAGGGATCACAAAGGGCTTGGGCAGCAGCTGCTGATTCGGCCATCCATTAACTTATCTTTGCTTTCTCTCTTCCTCTTTCTTTCATTCATTCTTTGTTTCTTTCTCCCTTTTCTTGTATGTGCACAAAAAGGGGATTGAACCCAGGGCCTTTGCACTGAGCTATATGCCCAGCACACTCCACCCCCTTTTCTAAACAGGTTCTTACTAGTAGCTAAATTGCTTGAACTTGCACTCTCGCTACCTCAGCCTCCCAGTGTGCTGAGATGTCAGGCTTGTGCTACCACACCTAGCTTTTTATCTCCATTTCTACTGCCGTGTTATCCGCTATAGCAACTTGGAATAGTTGATTAAACATTCTGGTACTTACCTGAGGCTAGGGACACAGTGGTGAACAAGACAAACTTGAGCTCTCCCCATGCGACTTGCAAGCCAGAGTGTATCTCTGGGAGAGAGATGACAGACTCATCTCCAGACAGACAGCCACGGATCAGCTCAGTCAGGGATGGGACGCGGAGGTGCAGGGGGAGGGTCAGCGATGGGAAGTCATGAGGGAAGTCAGGGCCGTGGGATCCCAGCAGGCTGCCTGACTCCACAAAGGGAACCGCTCCTAGGGGGAGCTGGACCCGAGGGATCATCAGTAGGAAGGGCCTGGGGACAAGCCAGTGGAGAGGGTGTTACAGAGAGGGCGTGGTGGGTTTGGAGGTCTAGAGAGGGGTGCGAGTGGCACGGCTGGAGGAAAGAAGGAGGTGAGCTTGTGAACCTGGCAGGGTCCTCTCTAGTCTGAGACATGGACTATGGGAGCAGACAAGGGTGGTGGGAGGTCATTAGCATGACCACATTTATATATATATATTTTAACTTTATTTTGAAAGTGGTAAAATACAACAGAGCAACACATTTACGTTTTTAGCAGATTCTTCCACCCTCAGGACTGAAGACAGATCAGAAAGGAGGCAAAGGCAGATGAGGGAAAACAGTTTGGAGGCTGATGAGGAGGGTGGTGGGATGAGGGCATTGGCCATGCAGCGGGGCAGAAGTGGCCAGAGGGGTAACTCTCATGCCATAGTGATGGTGGCTTGTGGAGAGGCTGCAGACTGGACAGTGACAGTTTGGGGCCGTCAGAGAGGAACAGATGGAGGGTAGAAGCCGAGGTGCTTCAACATCTGAAATAAGGAAGCACAGAAGCAGAGTTGCACGGGCAAGCTGCTTTCCGAGAGTACGCTTCCAGTGTGCTCCCGTGAAGGGGAAATGGAGCCCTGCTGGAGAGGAAGTCGCTAGACTGAGAAGACAGGTTGGAGCTGGGGGCTGCCAGAGCGTCTGGAAAATGAGAGGGAGGATCCTGAAATAGATGGGACCACAGGGAAGGGAGTCCCCAGATCTGCAAACGAATTTCCCTGGAGTCATTGGCAAGCTCTGTGTACTTATGGTGAAGCTCCAAGAAACGCAGCAGAAAATAGTCACCGGGAGGCCTCAGAACAGGGCCAGGCTGCTGGCGGGCCTGTGACCCTGGGAACGTGGAAGGACCAAGCTGGCAGGGCCTAGGTGACCGCCCAGGTATTCCCTGAGCCTTCACCCTGGGGCAAGGGCGAGAGCTGAAGGGTCAGTGCTCAGAAGTCCCCACGCAGTTCTTTCCAGGAAGAAAACAACCGTTTTTGGAAGAAGACATCATCCTTTAAAGCCCTTGTGTTTTTTGCCTATAATGCCTGGCATCTAGTGAAGAAACGTGCATGGTGTCCTGAAGAAATGAATATTTTAAAAAATGACTGACTAGAAACTGAGAAAAATTGAACAACAGAAGCAGACTCACAATGATTCCAACCCTGGCATTATTAATCAGAAAACCTTAAAATGGTAGTGATCAGTTGACTCAATAAGACACAGAAAAGGATAAGTTTGAGCATCTGGAATCCATTTTTAGAGTCAAAATGAAAATATGAAACAGTGACTAAAGTGAAGAACTCACTATGTGAGCTTAATAGAGATGAGAAACAGCAGGGCAATAGGATTGAAAATCAGGGGACAGGATGGTAAATATCTAGACTAAAGCACAGAAGTGGGGGATTGAGGGCTCAGTCAGGTTTCTGCACTGTGGGGTTTGGATGGGGGGACCATGCCAAGCCTGTGGACTTCTACAGAAGGAGCAGGCCTGAGGAGAAGGTAGAGAGTTCAGTATGGGCCATGGATTAGTCAGTATTCTGTTACTGTAATGAAATGCCTGAGGTGGCACATTTGTCAAGAGGTTTATGTTGCTTATAGTTTCAGCCATGGAAATTCCAGGCAGCATGGCTGGTTTTAGGGAAAGGCTGATGGCATCATGACAGGACTGTGTGACAGAAAGAGAAATTACAGAGCAAAACAAGAAGTCACGGTTTAGGGAAGCATCAGTTTTGCTCTCGGGAACTTACTGGGGGTCCCTGAGAATAATTCCTTCTGAGAGCAGCGCCCACATGACCTAGCCCATCCAAGAGCCCACCTCATACAGGTCCCAGCACCTCTCCTGTCACCACACTGATGCCCAAGCTTCCAACCCATGAACTCTAGATAAACCACATTCAAGCCACAGCATGGTAAGTGGAGATTCAGTTGTTTGAAGCATCGCCGGGGGCGTCGAGGAGCATGAGCTATGGAGTTCAAGCTCGATTTTTCAGACTGGAGATGTGTGAGTGAGCAGCAGGTGAACAGAATTGAAACTGTTCACCAGATAACAGGCCTGTGGGAGAGTCTACAGCATGAGAAAGGATGGAGCTCTGAAAATTCCGTAGTTAGAAGAGGGGCCAAGCCCATAACCCCAGCACTCTGGGAAGCTGAGGCAGGAGGATCACAAGTTTGACCCTAACCTGAGCAACTTAGTGATTTAACGAGACCCTATTTCAAAATAGAAAATAAAAAAGGGCTGCAGATATAGTTCAATGGGTTTAATCTCTAGTATAGGAAAAGGGAAAAAAGAAGAGCTTACAAAGGAGATGGTGAGCCTGTGCGGGGCCAGGATAGAAATTCGAAATTCATGCTTGTGCTTTCGCTTTCGTGGAAGTTCACCTGAGAAGATGTGGCTTGTTGGCCTTTTAGGCATTTTCCTTGGAGGAAGTTGAATTGGCTTTGGGTGCAAGCAATTCCCTTAATTACAGCGAGCCTGCCAGTCTGGAGCCTTGGCTCAGACCGTCCTCTCCCTGGCTTCGGCCTTGGCCCAGGTCTGCCCGGCTGTTTTAGGTCGAGAAGGGGATACCAGTGCCAGGCTGGGAAGCAGCATGTGCCAAGGCTGGGGCAGGGAATGACCCAGGATTTCCAGGGAAGAGTCATCGATCCAGGTGGCCAGGAACAGGATGTTGGTGCAAAAGGCAAAGTTGTCAGGGGTCTCTCAGGAGAGGCTTTGATCTCCCAGGAGTTAGGCCATGTGCGGGGATCCGTGGTGCAGCGTGGACTGCCCTCAACTTCAGACCGTGAGCACGTGCTGATTCACATAGGGGGTCACCAGTGTTGGGACTGCTTAGCTGAGTTGCTGGGCTCAGGGTCTTTTGTGCCACTGGGGTCAGGATGTAAGCTCAGGTTGCAGGCTGCAGGTCCCTGAAGGTCCCCAGGGCCACTCCTCTCCAGTGACTGGCAAAGGCCTTGTTTCTCACCTCTCCATGTGCCACATCAGTGTCCTTACAGTAGAGTAGCTGGCATCTGGCAGACCAAATAAGAGAGACAAACAAACAGATGAACAGACAGATGGACAGAAAGGTGCAGAAGTTGCAAATAGCTTTTATTGCAGTATGGGGCAGGTGTGGTAGCACAGGCATGTAGTCCTAGTATTCTGAGAAGCTGAGACAGGAGGACTGCAAGTCTGAGCCCAGCCTGGACAACTGAGGGACTTGGCAAGACCCTGTGTCAAAATTAAAAAGGACGAGAGAGCTATCGCACGAAGGTTCCCTAGGACTACTAAAAGGAGGCACAAATGGGAGCCAGAGCGCTAGGCCTTTCAAAAGATCCATGCCATCATTTCCACAATTCCCTCCTGGGTCTATGGGTTTGCCCTGCTCTTTAAGGGAAAGGCTGAACAAGGCATGCAGAATCCACGGGAAACCTTTGCGGAGACTGGCTACCACAGGGAACAGCAGAAGGGTTTTCCGTCATTGTTGATTTTGTCAATCACTTAACAAATACTCTCGGGGCTGGGGGTTTAGCTCAGCAGCATAAGTGCCTGCCTTGCAAGCAGGCAGTCGTGAGTTTGATCCCCGGTACTGATAAAAACGAAAAAGACAAAAAAAAAAAACCCAAATACTCTGATCCTGTGCCTATGCTGGGTGATGTTGGAATCAAGTAGTGACCAAGACAGGTTGGAAGCCAGGTGTGGCAGCACATGCCTATAATCCCAGGGGGCTGAGGCAGGGGGACCACTGTGAGTTCAAGGCCAATCTGGCCTGTGGAGCAAGACCCTGTCTCAATCAATCAATCAATCAGTAAATAAATAAGACAGGCTCGCCCCTTCCTTCCTAGGGCTCAGAGCCTAGACAAAGAGGTAGAACTATTGCCACACATTGATGATCAAGGGTGGGCAGTTCGGGGATGGCTTGAGGGGCTGTAAGAGTTTGAAGGGGCACCTGCTCCAGTCCAGTGAGTCAGGGACGGCTTCCTGGAGGAGGTGCTGTGGGAGCTGACACCTGAAGAATTCACAGGAGTTAGGGAGAGTAAGGAAGAAGCAAAGCTCTGAGGGGTGTTGAAGGAGATGTAAGCTAGATGGGACCACCAGGCTGGAGAGGATGAGGTGGTTCTAGAAAGGTTCAGCTGAAAGGTAGCCTGGGGAGGAGTTGACACGGAGGTGAGACCTCGAGGGCCCTGGGGCCCTGGGGAGTCTCAACCCACGGCTTCTCCCTGTCAGGCCAGCCACGCACCGTCGTCCTGGGCCGATACCTCGAATGTGTTTCCTGCACCTCGTTAGACATGAGCTGTGAGAGGGGCCGGGAGCAGACCCTGCAGTGTCGCTACCCAAGAGAGCAGTGCATTGAGGTGGTGACCCACCACAGCCAGGAAGGTGAGTCCCAACCTGCCAGCAGCTCCTCCTCTCTGCCCCCCAAATAACAGGCATTCAAACAGGGGATTTAATTTGTTCACACATACAAAGTCCAGTGACCGGAAGTCCAGGGCCGCTAGGACAGTTCCAGAGTCCCTACAGGCCCAGATGTCGCCTCTTCGTGTCTTACATTACACTTTCATTCTCGACTGCCTCATAGACCAACAGGTTGCCAGAGTGCAAGGCCTCATGTCCAATTCCCAAGAAGGAATGAGAGAGCAAGAAAGGAATGGAGAGCCGGGCGTGGTGGCACATGCTTGTAATCCTAGCACTTGGAAGGCTAAGGCAGGAGGATAGTTGCAAGTTCGAGACCAACCTGGGCTACAAAGTGAGTTCACAAAGTTAGCTCAAGGTTGGCCTAAGCTGCATAGCAAGACCCTGTCTCCAAAGAGAGAGAGAGAAAGAGAAAGAAAAAGAGGAACCCTCCTTTGTAAGAATTCTCCTTCCTGGAAGTTTCAGCAAATATTTCCATTTATATCACGTTGACCACAAATTCATCACATGCCTACCCTAGAGAGGCTGCAATTGGCTAGGTATAGAGGTACCCTAAATCAAATGAGGGTCCCGGGATGGAGGGCAAAGCATCCAGCTCGGACCCCTGACCTCCCTCCTCCGCCCCACACAGCCAACTGGAGGGACGAGCGCCACACCCGCGGCTGCGGCTTCCTCCCGGGCTGCCCGGGCCCCACGAGCTTCCACAACAACCTCACCTTCCACTACCTGCGGTGCTGCAACAGCACCAAATGCAACGGGGGCCCAGGTAAGGGGCGAGGACCTGTGCGGCCCGAGAAGGGGGCGGGAGACGCGTCCAGGCCGGCTAGGGTGGCACTTCACCCGCCACTCCCCGAGTGTGCCCTCTGAAAAGGAGCACAGCTAGTCTGTGCCAAAGGAAGGCTGCGCGGGAAGTCCCGAGCCCATCCAGCCCCTCCGGGACCCGGTGGGTCACCCCGGTCTCTCGCAAATCCTTCCACCGCTCGCTCCCTCTAGCGCCACCGCCTGGGCTCCATGCGTCATGACGAGCTCCTCGCTGGTCTCCTTGCTCTTTCCTGGCCATGCCCAGCCAAGGCCCAACCCCCCCCAGCAGCAGGAGTGACGGGTGGGGTGGGGTGCTGGAATGCTTAGGGTGCAACCCAAGGTCTCTTGCATGTCGGGCCAGGTGTTCTACGTCAGAGCCACACCTGCAGCCCTGATTTTTAAAAATACCAATCCGATCATGTCGCTGACCTTCCTCAAGCACGGTAACAACTCCCCCCTCCTCTCTGAATCAAATTCAGGGGTCTTGCTGTGACCTTACTGTCTGGCCACTTGTGTCATCCCCAGCAAGACCTGCAGTGTATCCTGTCCCGTGGTGTGGTGCCATCCACCCTCTCCTGTTATTCTGTCCACTGGACCTTTCTGGAAAGGTCCTCTATCCACGCTGTCCAATATGGTAGCCACTCCCATGCATGGCTGCTGAGCACTTGAAATTCAAACTGAATCTGAGTGTGGTGGTGGCCCATGCCTGTAAGCTCAGCACTCCAGGAAGCTGAGGCAGGAGGATCTCAAGTTCCAGTTCAGCCTGAGCAATTTAGTGATTCAGCAAGATCTTGTCTCAAAATGAAAAAATAAATAAGGCTGAGGATGTAGCCCAGCATGGAGGACCTGGGTTCCATCCCACGGGAACTGAATTTTAAAATTGCATTTAATGGTAATTAAATTTAAACAAGTATACATGGAACATGGCTGCCGTACTGGACAATGTCATGCTAACACTAAGTTCTGGGAGGGCAAGACTGTTTCGGTGCACACAGTTGCTTACCCAGAGCCCAGCAAAGTACTAGGCTCCTGGAGAGCTGGCCTGAGCAAGAAGCGGAGGGGTGGAGATGAGGGTGTCCCTCAGAGGCCCTAGGAAACCACCAGAAAGAAGGTGCTGTTCAAATGCCTGACCACAAGGTGGCTCTGTGGTGTCTCTGGCTGAGGTCCGGGAGTCCTGGCGAGGGAATGCGCCCCAAAGACCCGTGTGCCAACTTCGCGGTCTTTCATCTTTTAAGTCATAGAGCTCAAAAACCTTCCACCGAATGGCGTGCAGTGTTACAGCTGTGAGGGGAACAGCACCCACGGGTGCTCCTCCAGCGAGAACTCCCTGATCGACTGCCGAGGCCCCATGAATCAGTGTCTGGAAGCCACGGGGACTAAAGGTGAGGCCCTTCCGGAGGCTGATGGGAGCCACTCTCCGAGGGTGACTCTCCGAGGGCTCCACAGCTGGTTGATTCCAGATAAGCTGGGCTTAAACGCAGATGGTTTTTCTTATAGAAAAGGTGGGACTTCCTTCGGGGTGCAGAGAGCAAACTAAGTAGGGAATTAGGACTTGTTCACTCGGAAAGGGGCATTTATCCAACAGAGGTGTGGGCGCCATCGAGGATGAGGTGGGACCTACTCCTGTAGGTGGGACTTCTGTGGACATCGCAGTGTTCATCTTGGAGTGCCTCAATTCCAGGGTGCTCAGGCATTTTGGTGTCACTACTGCTTTATGCCAGGCGTGGTGGCACACACCTGTAACTCCAGCGCTTAGGGAGGCTGAGGCAGGAGGATCACAATAAACTGGAGCCCAGCTGAGCAGCTTGGCAACTTAGCAGAACCTGTCTCAGAATAAGAAACAAAACAAAAAGGCGGGCGGGGAGGTAGCTCAGTGCAAAGTGCATGAGTTCAATCCCAGAACTGCCAAAAAACATAGGAAGACTCCTTTCACACTCTCAAAAATTATTGTTCATGTGAATCATAGCAATAGAAACTCAAACTGAGAGAGAATTTTAAGATTTATTTATAAATTAATTTAATTTTTATAATTGATATTTATGAAAATAACAATAAGAACTCATTACACAATAACAGGAGTAACCGTTGTGTGTGCGTGTGGTACTAGACCCAGGGCCTCAGCATGTCTGGCAAGCACTGTACCCTTAGCTATGGTCCCAGACCACAAATGACATTCTTTTTTTTTTTTTTTTAGCCAGGGTGTCATTATGTCGCCCAAGCTGGCCTGAGACTCACAGTGATCCTTCTGCCTCAGCCACCTGCATGCTGAGGTTACAGGCGTGTGCCATCACCCGGCCATAAATGACAGTCTTAAATGAAACATGGCTATATATTTTTTAAAAAGTAATGAGAAGGCTGGCTTGACTGGATTAAAAATCTCTTTAACGTCTGGCTGGACAGAGCCCAGCTAGAATCCTCTCTGCTTCCGTGTTTAGTCGGTTGTAGTATCACATGCCCTGGAGTTCCTGGGAAACTCCCTCCTAGCCCCAGTGCCCATGAAAAACCCAAATTCTGTTGTAGCATTTTTCTGAGAATCGTGCAGTCCTGCAGATTCCTGGAAGGAGTCTGAGGAAACCTCCCATACACATGGGGTCCCTAGATCACTCTTTGAGAACTGCAGCCTCCTCCAGGTAGCCGTGGCAGTGGGACCCGTCATGCAGCACTGTGTCACCCACTGGAGAATCCCAGGCCCCAGTAGCAGGAGTCTCACTCAGTCATGTCTTCTTCCTCAGGGATGGAGAACAAGACCATCACGGTGAGAGGCTGTGCGACTGCCTCCTGGTGCCAAGACTCCCACATGGCCGACACCTTCAGCCTGACCCGTGTCAGTGTCTCATGTTGCGAGGGCTCTGGCTGTAATGACCCAGCCAGCGACATCCATTACCGCAGTGGGGGCGCCCCCCAGCCTGGGCCTGTCCCCCTCAGCCTGGCCAGCACTCTGCTTGTAATCCTGAGACTGTGGGGAGGTGTTTTTCTCTGGACCTGAACCCCAAGTCCTCCTCCCTGGCTGGACCTAGGGGACCCCTTTGCCCTGTCTTCAACCCTATCCCTGCAGACCTGTGCAGTGTCCTGTCCTCTCTGGGTCACAGTTTCCCCAGCTGTGAGCCCTTGTCCCGAGAACTGGAGGAGAAAATGCTGGAGAAAGGCTGCAGGCCAGCAGGAAAGCTCTTCTTTTTATTATTATTAATATTCATATTATTTATTTTATATGTAAATAAAAATTTTTTTGTACTAGTGAACTTTACTCTAAGCTGCCTCCACATCTATTTCTAGCCGCCAGATACAGACTTGTAATTCGCCTAAGCAAGAGTCATCCAGTGGTCTCTTCTCTTGAGTTTCAAGAGTTAAGATTAATTTGTTGTTCTGGGAAGATTGGACATCTCTGTCTCCAAGGGTGCTCTGGAACAGGAGATGGAGAGAAGGTAACCTGGTAGCCAGAACTCCTTTGATGCACCACAGTGAGGAATAAGGCCAGGACTACATTTCCCCTGATGCTCTGGGGTACAGTTCCTAGGATACTTTAGGACCTACAGAGAAGCCAGGACTCCCAACTCAGTGGCATCTGGAAAACAGTAATGAAGAATTTGCTTGTCATGGCTCATTGAGGCATCCCATGGAAACCAAGTTATATTACCCATGAGGATTTATGACTAATGAAGAAAAACCATCAGAGAAAGTGAGGGACAGGGTTTTTTTTACCTTCCTCCAATCACATGTCATCATTTGTGATTCTTGACCCTGAATGACTCTCTGACTGCTTTGACCAACAGGCTACCTGTTGGTAAGCTGGGCCATGTGCTGGAGCTAGACTTAGGAGACTGAGGCAGGAGGATCACGAGTTCAAGCCCAGTCTAGGCAATTTAGTAAGACCTTGTCTCAAAAAGGACAAAAGGGCCCGTGATGTAGTTCAGTGCAAAGGCCCTGGGTTCGGTACCCCAGTGCATGCACACACACTCATACATACACAGGGCGGGGGGGGGGGAGGACCAGAAAATCCAGCCATGTAAATGCCTGAGGGCTTCTGTAATAAACTACCACACAGTTAGCAATTAGATGGGTTCACTCTCTCACAGCCCTGGATGCTGGGAGTCCAAAGCCAAGGTACTGGCAAGGCTGTGCTCCTTCTAAAGCCTTTGGGGAAGATGCTTTCCTGTCTCTTCCTGATGTCTAACAGTTGCTGGTGATTCTTGGCATTCCTCAGCCCTTGGCTTTAGCAGTCCATCTCCACCTATGTCTTGGAGTATGACTGTGTGTCTCTAATCACTATAAGAATGGTTCAGCATAATGAATCCAATATGTATTAATTTAATCATCACCATAGTCACATTTGCAAAGAGTCTATTTTCAAATAAAATTGCATGCTTACATCCCAGGAGTTAGGACGTGAACATATTTTTGGAGGGGAGCTGAACACCCACACCACTATGCCATAGCCAGGACCAAGGCCTCAAGTAGATGCTCCCAGATGGGCTGTCTGAGCCAGCTCCTCTGGGTACCAGTCCACTGCGAGGCAGAATCATGGTGGCCCTGTCCAAACTCCTGACCCACAAAATCACAAAATACAAAGGCTGTGGTTTTATACTCCTAAATTTTGAGGTGTTCTGTTATGCAGCAATAGTTAACTGGAATAGTCATGTTTGGGTTTGTTTTTTGCTAACTCCTATTTCCATGGCTAGGGAAGGCAAAACTTTTGCTTTAATCATTACTGTATTCTTAGTATCTGGAATATACCTGACACAGGGCTAATGAGTAGGAAAGAGGGGAGGGAGGGAAGGAAAGAAAGAAATACTGCATCTTTGATGGTACCTTCCAGCAAAAAGTGAGCCAGGACTGTATTTTCCAAAACGCCCTCCTACAGCAGAAAGAAGCTAAGATGACATTTCTAAGATGCTCTATATTTAAATTTAAGATGATTTCACCCTTCTTCTGATGTCGGATAAAAGATATTGAGGCTAGGGATGACACCCCCTTCCCCCCAGTGACCGTCTTACAGTGGGGATCAGAGGACAAAAGTACCTGTCCTGTGGGTCCCTCCAGCAGATATCTAGGCTAGGGACAAATTTCTCATAATGCCCTGTATCTGTGATCAAACCTTTACTGTTAGTGGCTCCTGAATTTTTATTCAAAGATCTTTGGTTGCAAGAAATAAAATCTGTTTATGCTGACTTAAGCAAAACTGATGCTATTGGAAATTTAACATCCAAGCAAGACCTAGGTCTCCGGGCTGCACCACGGACAGAAGCGAAGCTGAAAGACTGTGAAATCAAAACTGTCTCCCTCTTTCAGAGTCAATCTCATTTCTCTTCTCTTTCTTCTTCTCCCTCTCCACTTCTAATTCCTGTCTACCCTTATCTCTATCCCTATCCCTAGCCATCTCTCCCGTCCAATTGCCTGCTGGGCTTCTGTGATAGTCTGGATCCTGATTGCCCCCAGAAGGTTCACGTGCTCGGAGGTTGGGTTTTGGAAGGTGATGGCATGATGGGAAGCAATGTACTCATCAATGGATTAACGCACTGATGAATCCATAGAGACATGTGCTGTTAGGAGACGCGGCCGGATCAGAGCAGGCAGGTTGCTGGGGTTGTGACCTGGAAGTCTGTCTCCCTCCCTGGCTTCTCCCTTCTCTCTCTGCTTCCCGGCCACCATGATTTGGGCTGCTCTTCTCAGCCAGGCCCCTGTGGCCTGCCCTTCCTGCCTGGGAGCCAGCTGGCTATGGAATAAATCTAAAAACTGTGAGCCCAAACCAACCTCTCCTCCTTGAAGTTTTAGGTGTTGCATATTTTATCTCAGCTTCCATTTTACTTACCTGTCTCTTCATAGACTGCTTTCTTCTCCGTCATGCACTATAGACAAGTACATCTCCTGGTGTGCAGCCCACTGTGCCAGAGCTGGGAAAACAACCTGCACCAAGGGTCAGAACCAACTGCTAGAGAACGTTTGTCATTAGATTGTTTTTCTTCCAGTACTGGAGATCGAATCCAGGGTCTTCAGACTGAGCGACACCTCCAGGCATATTTGTGTTTCATTTTGAGGCAGAGTCTCACTAAGTCACCAAGTTGTCCAGGTTGGGCTCAAATTTGTAACCCTCCTGTCTCAGCCTCCCAGATTCCTGGGGTTACAGGCACGTGCCATTACAACTGGCTGCATGCCTACTGTAGTCAGCATAACCCTACCTCTGGTCATAGATATGGGGAGATACAGTGGAACGTTGGCCAGGAGCTTTTAGATGGTTTGCTTTGGGGATCCCAACTTTATAAAGGGAATTTTTTTTTGTTTTCTTTGTTTGTTTGTTTGAATCTATGATATTTTGCTTTTGTATTATTGAGACAGAATTTTGCTATGCAGAACTCCAATGTAGTCCAGGTTGGTCTCAAACTTGCAGGGATCTGCCTGCCTTAAGGTCCTGAGTGCTGGGATTACAGGTGTACACCACCAGAATGCTTGACCTTTGTTGAGGGAATTTCTTAAAGTTTCTTCCTTCCAGGTCAGTGGCATAGCTCAGCGTTCATGCCACTCAGGGCTTCTATACACAATTTGTGTGTAAGCAGTCATGTGACTCCAACACGGCTGCTTTCAGACACAGGAAACCCGAGTTTAACATCAAATACAGTTCAAAAGAATCATACATTAGTATTACATAATTTTCCTCTTAGCCAAAAATGCTGCACCAAAACTGTGCCACCTAGATCAGATACACAACCCTTTCCTGCCCCAGCTATGATATGGCACTCTTCCTCTCTCTCTCCTTCTTTCTTCCCTGGGTCTCCCTGGGTCTAGCTTTTTTTTGGTGGGGGGTGGGGTGGGGGGAGAGGGCCTTGCTAAGTAGTTCAGGCTGGCCCTGAATTCATTATGTAGCCCAGGCTGGCCTCAGATTTCTGGTGCTCCTCCTGCTTCAGCCTCCCAGTGCTAAGATTACAGGAGTGTGCCACTTTGCCCAACCTTCAATCTGGCTCTTTTGGTTTGCTTGTCTCTCTGTTTCTCTGCCCTAAGGAGACACATGTAGATCTGGCCCCAGGGATGTCTGCCAGGCATCTTATAACACAAGGGATTCAGCCTCCCTTGGGACTGAGAGATGGACAGAATTCATGGAAGCCAGCCACACCCAGGACTTTGGGATGTGAATAGTTCTTTTTCTCTGAAACCAGAGGATTTGAGTAGGATTTGCTGTCATGTGCACTAAAACTCGAATGAACAGACTGTGCTGGGGTACAGTGAGGACAGGACCAGCACTGTCTTGGAAGAGAAGGACATGAGAGTACTCAAAGGTGACAGATGAGAATCAAACTCACATCTCCCAGGTGTCTCAATGGAGGTAGGAGACATGCATTAGAACCCTAAGTGAGGTGGCCTGTTGGTTCCTGGCTGAAAGGACAGATGCCAGCTTCCCCCTCATTTGTGGTTTGAATGAGTTGAGGGTGTCTCCCAAGGCTTCATGTGCTTGCGAAAATTTAATCCAACCATTGTGTTTAGAGGCCAGGCCTTTGGGATTGATTAGGGTTAGATGCGGTCATTGGGGTGAGATCCCCATGATGGAACCCTGGTGACTTTATAAGAAGAGAGACCAGAAGAGGCATGGTGTTTCCTGTCTCCTGTCACATGATGCTCTGTGCCACCTGGGGACTCTGCCAGTAAGAAGGCTATCACTAGATGGGGCCAAGTGACCTTGCCAAATCGACGTTTTCCTTTATAACTCTCACAGTCTGTGACATTGTTTCACTGCAACAGACAATGGACTAACATAGCCATGCAGGTCAAGTAATTCTCTCTCATCTAGACTGAGTCACAGAATGTGAGCCCTGGAAAGTGCAGAAATTATTCAACTTGACCATCTCTTTCCATGCAGCTGGTACGCTAAGAATGGAAAAGGAAAGAATTTGCTTGATGTTGTGGTGCTCATCTGTAATCCCAGCATCTGAGGCTGAGGCAGGAGGATTGCCGCAAATTCAAGACCAGCCTGGGCTATATAGTGAGTTTGGGTCAGCAGGAACTACACAGCAAGAACCTGTCTCAAAAAGCGAGCGCAAACACAAGACAAAACAAAAGTTGCTCAGAGCCATGGTTCTGGGGACACAGGGATGGGAGCTTTGGTCCAGAGGACAGAGGGAGTTCTGGGAGCCACAGTCCTGGGGACACAGCTGTTGATGGAGCTCTGCCCTAGAAGATGGATAGGATTCTGGGAGTTGGGCACTGGGCAGAAAAGGTGTTGGGACCTTAAATCCCTTGGTGGGGCTGCAGGTAGCAATGTTTAATAGTGATGGAGCTAAACAGCAAGGATTTTCAGAACAGGCCTAACCGGGCCTCAGTTTCCCTGATTGTCAGTTGGGCACCTGAGAGGTTGAGGTCTCCATGGTGCATCACCTCCTAGGTCCTAAGGGTGATGACCCTAAACCAGGTATTCAGGTTCCCAAGAAACGGGCTTGAGGGAAAACCCACTCCCAGGAGGGAGAAGGGTGAAGTAGGGAGGGGTGAGGCAGCCTCAGAGATGAGGCGGGCAATGGATGGAGAAAGATGCACAGAAAACCGGGGACACAAGCAGACCGGGCAAGAAGGAAGGGAGCAGGGAGCAAGACGCCAGGCCTGGGAGGTGTCCACGGGAATCTCCCTGCCCTGGGGCCCCGGATCCAGACTTCCTTCCTGCCGGTTGGCTTGGTTTTTAGGGAGACCATCCCAGGGAATGAGGCAGAAACAAGCGTGTGGGTCAGGACAGGATGGAAAGTGGGGACCAATCCCACCCCAGGTCTGAGTCCCAGCGGACCTGGCCAGACCTGGCACCTCGCCAGACCAGGCGCCTCCGCCTCCGCCTCACCTGTCAGCAGACCACCTGCCTCCTCGCCATCCTCCCCGCATCCCCACACCACACACTCGGCCTCCCTCGCAGACAGCTCACTATGCGCCTACCTCGCACACGCCACCTCTGCACTTCACGCGACACCACCCACGACCTCTGGCCCTCACCGCGCGTCACCCCTCCCGTCCTCCCCTCCCCTCCCTTCCGTCCCCTCCCTCCTTCCCCTCCCCTCCTCCCTCCCCTCCCCTCCCGCCCCTCCCCCACGCCGCTCCGGCCCCGCCCCGGCTCGGAGCCCCGCCCCCGGGCGGGCGGGGGGCGGGGCGCGGGGGGCGGGGCGCGCGGCGCGGGCGGTGCAGGTGCCGGGCCCGGAGCGAGCGGCGGCGGCGGCGGCGGCGGCGGCACCATGGGCCGGGCCCGGCGCTTCCAGTGGCCGCTGCTGCTGCTGTGGGTGGCCGCGGCGGGGCCAGGTAGGGCCGGGGCTGGGGTCGGCGGGCCGGCCGGGGCGGGGGCGCGCCGCGGTGACAGCCCGGCCGCGCGGGGCCGCAGAGGCCGAACAATGCGCTCGGGGCCGGGCCGGGCCCCCTCCCCGGGACAAAGCGCAGCGCGGGCCGGCGCCGGGGACCGGGAGCCGCGAGCCGGGAGCGGGGGAGGGGGCGCGGGCTCCGACCGCCGTGCCGCAGCCCCCCCACCCCGCAAGGCCGGATCCCGGCGGGGACAAAGGGCCCGAGACCCCCTCGCACCCCAGTCCCTCTTCTGCGGGCCGGTCCCGCTGTCCTTCTGTCCGGTCCGTGCGTCCCTCTGTCCGCTGGTGTCTAGATCTCTCGCTCTCTGTCTCTCTCGTCATCCCCCTACCCTTGTCCTCTGTGCCTCAGTCTCCAAGTCCTGTCCCTCCTTCTGCCTGTCCCCCTTTTCTCCTTGCCTCCCTGTTCCCCCTCTCACCATCCTGCCTTTGTCCCCACCTCCGTCCCCTGGCCTCTGTCCCTTTTTCCTGGGTCACTCTGCCCCCCTCCTGTGCCGTCATCCTCTATTCACGCTCTCTGTGCCCCTGTATTTCTGGCCTCTCTGCTTCCAGTCCTTATCTCTGTCTCTGTCTTGCTGTCACCGTGATTCTCTTCCCTTTTTCTCTAGCCCTCCTTTACCAAGATCCCTTGTCTCTCTGTCCCCTCATTCTGTCACCTATCTCCCCCCTCCTCTCTTTCCCACTGTCTCTCTGCCTCCTCTCTACCCACACGACCTCCATCCTGAGCTATCCATCTCCATCCTCCATCCCTCCATCCCGTATCCCTCTGTGGCCCTGGGGAGGAACAGAGGCAAGCAGGGCAGCCAGAAGAGCCCTGAAGGGGAGCATCGGAGTGTCTGTGTGTGGGGAGTGGGAACCGGAGCCTTGGCGTGTGCACACACGTGGATTCAGCAGAACCCTCTCAGCCCTGCCCACCCACTGCACACCCAGGCCAAGACTTACCAGGAGGCACCCTCCAAGATATCTAAGGAGCTGACCACACACCCTTCTCGCACACTGTGGGAAGCAGGTGACCCCCAAGATTGGGTGACCCCGAGACTAGGGACAAGGTCAGGAAATGTCACCCAACACTCACATTCTCATACCGTGTGGATCTCAAACCTACTATGCGTCGCCCCCTCCTCCTGTGCCACTTGGAGTAGGAGCAGGTGATTGGGAGGTGGCCCAGCAGAAAGCAGAAGGCTAGATGTTCCTTAGGGAGTTGGGAGAGGAGCTGTGACCAGGTTGTGCAGGGCTGGGGACCTGGGTTTCAGTACTAGCTCTTGACATTTGCCACATCAGCCAATGACAGACAGCCCTGGAGCTTCTGTTTCTGTAAAGTGAGGATGTTGAACTCAGCGACCTAAAAGGGAATTTCCACTCCGATGTGAAGGGGCTTCCAGCATATTCCACTTTCCCCGCCCCAAGGTTTGGGACAGTGTCCCTCACCCCAGGGCACAGGACGAGAGGGCAGGTGGAGGCGAAGCTGAGCGCCCGTGCTCTGCCCTTTTTTCTGCTATAGTCTTCCCTGACTTCTTCCTAACTTTCATTAGTCGCTCCTTCCTTTGCAATAGCCATGCCCCAATTTCCCTGATGAGAGTTTTGGTACCTTAGCCACATTTCCATCCATTTTTATTTGTCTTTATTTTTTAGGCAGAAAGCCAGGTTCCTAGGATCCTGGAACCAATGACAACAGTAAACAAAGAATGGGAGTGTTTAGAACGTTGACATCTGAAGGCTTCTCGAATCCAGAAATCTTTAGATCCTTGACACCCTTCAGGTTCTAGAACCATGGCTGGTGTTAGCATTCTAACATCTTGATGTCTTTAAAATTCTGAAATCTTGAGCTGTTGGACTTCTTGGATCTTGACCTTTCTGACATATAGAACATGGGCGCATTGAAACAGAGGGTGCTGGATTCCCTGAAGCAGAATGTGACCTCAGCTGAATACTTACCCAGTTCAGGATTCCTTTCTCCTGTCCTTCTGAAAAATAGTTCTAAGCTTGTCCCTCTTTTGATTTTAAAATCGCTGCTTCCGGGCACCCTAATCCTCTGTAAACGTCCTCTAAATTACATAGTGTGGGGCTTTACAAGTGGGGAGCAAGCTTGGCGTCATGGGAGGCACTCTGGGCTTGGCGTGGAGGAATTAGGGCCCGTCCTCATCCTGTCCTCGCTGGTATAATTTTATGCCACTGTCTGCCCATGTCGGAGCCTCACTTTGCCCTTCTGTAGAGGAGGGAGAAGGGGGGTGTAGTACCTGGTCTCCCAGAGCCCTGCGTGCTTTCCTTTTCACTGGATACTTCTAAACAGCCTTGGTCACCAAATTGTAGGGGGCATAAATGGTCCCCATATTTTGCTCTTGGTCTCCCCCTTTCTTTTCACACTTTATCCAGCCAGCAGGAGTGAGGATGCAGATGGAGTCTGTGTGTGTGCCCTTCCGAAAGTCTCTCCGCTGACTCCTCCTTCTAGTGAGGATAACAGAAGAGGATGAAGTGGGCAGGGGAGAGGAAGTGAGGAGATGAGTAGCCTACCCAGAGATGCACACAGGAAGAAACACAGACCCGTAGGCCAGAAACTGGAGAGACAAAAAGAGCAGAGAAAGCAGATACACAGAAACCCAGAAAGAATAGAGAGGCTGTTGAAGAGTTGGGGAACTTGTGGAGGGGGGAGCTTGTTCACCCCAAATCATGTTTCCTTCCAGCGTGACTCACTTTTCCCTGTTGAAGTTCTTACCAGCCACTCTAAGAACAAGGGGACCCTCCCCTCATTGTGAGTCACCCCAAGGAACAGGTCTTGTGCAGTTTCTATCGCTGATCCCCACCCACCCATGTGTTTGGATGCAGGCCTGAATCCTCAGAGCCTGGGGGTGGGGTCAGGTTCCACCATGGATTCTGAGACCTTAGATCCAGCAGGCTGGGGCCCCAGGGTGGGATAATGTCGTGCGAGCCTGGTCTGTCCCCGTCTTGGGGAACACAAAGGCAGCTTTCTCTCTCTGGGGTGGGGTGGGGGTGGGCTGGAGACAGCAACACCCGCCAGCATCCAATGGCCTGTGGCACCAGGACCGGAGCACCCATGGGTCAGCCTGTGCAGGAAACAGGCACCCGGCTCCTCTGCAATGCACTCAGTGGGCACAGGGCAGGGACAGAGGCTGGCCCTTCTGGGAAGGGGTGAATAGAGGGCAGTAGGGGGTGGAGAATCAGACAGGAAAGTTCAGTGCAGCCTTGTACCCTTCTGGGAGCAGGAATTTGTCCCTCAGCCCCACACCCAGGGTGAACCTCTGGAGGATTCCCTACACCCTGGCTGGGCCTGAGGCCTGGAATCCAGGGAGTCCTGAGTATCCCAGGAACGTGGGGACCACAGGGAAGACTTTGTGTATGAGGCTGCTGACTCACCCCTACGCCCCCACCTGATGCCAGGGTCCCCGGATAGGAGGGAGACAAAGAACCGAGAAAGGCAGAACTGTGCCTCCCGGGGCTGAGGGATGTGGATGGACAATCAGAAGTTTCCAAGAGAGCAGAGGCTGGACCTAGAGACTCTGATTGGAGGGAGGAGGCTGGGCCTGGACCCCCAGGTCTGAGGGAGGAGTCTGGGCCTGCACCCTTGGGTCTGAGGGGTGAGGGCTGAGACCCTAGACCCCTGGGCCTGAGGGGTGAGGGCTGGAGGTCTGGACCCTGGGTTTGAGGGAGGAGGGTCCTGTAGGTCCGAGGAAGGAGAGCTGGTCTTGGACCTTTGGGACTGAGTGAGGAGGGGGCTAATTGTCCCTACTCCTAGGTCTTGAGGCAGAAAGAGATGGAGGTACAGACTCCTAGGTCCTGAAGGAGGAAGGGGCTGGTGGGGTGGTCCCTCTCCAGGTTTCCAAGGGAGGAGGGGCTGGGACCCTGACGCCTAGGTCCCACGAATACAGGCGCCTTCACAAGGCTAAGCTGGGGAAGAATTGATGCTTTGTGCGAGGATGTTCGGACTCCGCCATTGATGGGGGGCTAAGGGGGGGTTCAGTCAGGATGCAGGGATGTACCACCTCCCTAGGGGAGGAAAGAAGAGGGAGGCATGATGCCAGGAGCCCCTTGGGGAACAGATACAGAGAGGGCAGCTTTGACCTTCCCGGAACTGTGACCTTGAGACTCCCTTGGGTATTCGCTGACTCAGGACCCAGGAAGTGCTCCCCCACCCAGCCTGGTCTCCGTGGAAACATCCACCAGCTGTGTGCTGTGGACCCCTGGCTCCTGGGTCTGGGTGGGGGAGAAGGCTGCCGGCTCAGTCTGTGGGGTCTGAGGAAGGAGGATGCTGAGAACCCACACTCCTGGGGCTGAGAGAGGAGGTGGTTAGGGGCTGACTCCTGGCTCTCTGGGAAGAGGAGGGGACAGACTCCTGAACCCTGATAGCAGAGGGGCTGGGCGGCTGGCCTCCTGTGTCCTGGGAGGGGAGGTTGTTGCTGGGTTTCTGCGTTTAAAGGCAGAGGGTGCTGGATTCCTGAGTCTATACATAGCACCTGCCCAGCCACTCTCTCCCAAACCCTCCCCTGTGCCTTTTTCCAGGCACCATCCCCATGATGACTCCTGGCTGTCACCACAGTTTAAAGGGCCAGCACCCCAGTCCCAAAAGCTCAGCCCCTCTCTGACCAGAAAGTTCCACTCTCCACCCCTCCAACCCTGAAACAAAAGCTCCTGGGACATTAATATTCTAGGCACAGACACTGTTGGTTACTGACTCCTCAGGAGGGGGAAGGAATAGGACAAAACCCCCCACCCTTACCCCATGTGCACCCTCTAAGTGAAGAGCAGTGGATAAACTTAGAGGGCAGATCCAGAGGTCTCCATGGCTCCCAGCTGATCCTGAGTTTTGTCCTGCAGACCTTCCTGAGCCTCATTCTCCACATCTGTAAAATGGGGGCTAGCGGTAGATTAGCCCTGAGGTGACCCAGAAAGAGACTTCAAGATGTTTTTCAAGGTGCCAGCACACACTGCCGACTGGTTCCCATACAGGGGCTTATTCCCAGAGGGTGTGCTCACAGAGCCTGCAGAGAGCTGGCCAGCACTGGGGTGTTCTCACTTCACAGGCGGGTGACCTAGGTTCAGAATGGCTAGCACACTTGCTCAGAGCTGCACAGATGGCAAGTGGTGGCTCTGGGATCAGCCCAAGAATGAGAATAATATGTCCCAAGGTTGCTGAGAGGCCCAAAAGAGAACGTGTCTGACATGCAGTTGGCCCAGCAAGTGTCCCGGACGTTCATCAGCTGCCTTTTCTAGACACCAGGGGTACAGCAGCAAGTTCTGTGGGATATAACCCTGCCCGCAGGGAGCGTATATGCTGGTATACACAAGTTAGCAGGTTACTCAAGATAATTTTCAGTGACATTTCTGTACAGAAAAGACATCACTAAGGAAAAAATAGAAAGCATTTAGAGGTAAAGGGACAAGGAGTGAGAAAGTCCTTCCTGTGAGGTGTTGCTGTGATCAGAGATGAACATGAGAACAGAAGGCAGCCCTGTGATGGTGGAGAAGTAGGGAAGAACATCCCAGGCAGAGGGAGGAGCGAGTGCAAAGGCCCTGAGGTAGGAGCAAGGTCGAGCATACATGAAGACCAGTGAACCAGGAGTACAGTGAGTATCAGGAGAGTGCTCAGAACAGAGTACTGAGGGGAACAGGTACTAGCACCATGAAGACTCAGGAAAGGGTTTCAGTTTTATTCTCAGAGTTACAGGAAGCCCTTTGGAGATGATGTTGTTGTCACTGTTCGTGTTTTTGAGACAAGGTCTCACTACATTGTCCAAGCTGGCCTTGAGCTTACTATGGAGCTGGGGCTGTGTGGATACTAGGCAAATGTTCTACTACAGAGCAAATCCTCAGTCCCCTCAGAGGAGTTTAAGCAGAGGAGTGACTTGGTCTCAGGTAGCTTTTGAACAGTCTGTCTCACTGCTGTGTGGAAGAAGCAGGCTTGGAAACAGTACCATAAGGAGATCTACCCACAGGAAAGGAGGCTGACGGCAGGAGAGGCAGACAAAAGTGAATGGATCTAGAAAGGAAGTGAATGGGACTGAGATGTGCGTTAGAGATGGAACAGACAGACATGGGTGGAACAGATTTCGGGGGGAGGCAGAGAGAACCTGGTTGATTTCTAGTTTGGGGCTGACCAGCTGGGTAGATGGTTGTCACATTTATTGAGATGCTAGAAACATGAAAAGAAAAATGTTTGGGGCAGGGATTGGACATTTGTGGGGGGTGTTTTTGTTTTTTGTCTTTTTGAGACACGGTCTCTCTATGCAATTCAAGCTGACCTTCAGCTCACTTTGTAGCCCAGACTGGTCTCGAACTTGCGACAATCCTGCTGCCTCAGCACCCAAGTGCTGGGATTACAGGTGTGCACCACCACACCTGGCTGCAGGATTGGACACGTTAAGCTTGACATTTCAGGAGGTACCAAATAAACCTCAAGGAGTAGCGTATAGTGTCATTATGGAACATAAAAGCCCAGAGGCAGGAGTCCAGAGCTGTTACAGCAGCTTCACGCCCTCATTAGGCCTCGCACACATTCCTACTGGGCCTGTCTTGATGCCCAAAGTGGCTACCAGAATTCTGTGCATTACATCCTAGTTTTAGGCAGCACAGAAATGGTAGAAAGTATTCTCCCAAAACACGTGGCACTTTGTTTGTTTGTTTACTTATTTATTTTGGGGTGGTACTGGGAATCAAACTGAACCTCACGCTTGCCAGGCAGGTGCTGTGCTGCTGAGCTGTAACTGTATCACTGGCATCACCTCTGCAAGGAACACTGAGAAGTAGCTCTTTCTTTTTTGAGACAGAGTCTTGCTATGTAGTCCAGGCTGGCCTTGAGCTCACTATGTAACCCAGGCTGGCCACGAACTCACAGCAGTCCTCCTGCCTCAGCCTCCCAAGTGCTGGGATTGCAGGCATGCGCCATCACACCCAGAGAGAATTAGCTCTTTCTGCTGTACTTAGGACAACCGTAAAACACAAGTTGCATTGTTTTAATGAGTGGAATACAAAGAACTGATGTCAGGACAAGAAGCTAGCAGTCTCTGCCTCCATCCCGCAGAATTACTCCTTTCTACACCTTGACCCCCAAACTGGGTTACCTAACCTCATAACAAAATCTAGCAGTTTTGATGAGATATTACACTGATTTGTATCTGCTTCCCCATAACCTTAAAGGCTTTCCAGGGCAAGACCTCATCTGGATCAACTCGGTACCAAGCCCCTGAAATCTGCTAGTGCTCAGAAAATGCAGTGGTGCCTTGGTTTGTGAACTCTCTCCACAATTCTGGCCACAGAATTCATTCTACGATTCTGATTGCAACCAGAATGATAGAAAGACTTTGATTCATGATTGGAGGGTACCACTGTATTCGAATTCGTCAGTGAAACCCTAAGACAGAATGTAAAAGATTGGGATAGTTAGTTACCCAGTGTTTAAAGACAGCCAGCTCTGATCTTTTCCCTGCTTCAACACCTCCATTCCCATTTAGGACAAAAGGCCAAGTTTAGCATTCAGAGTCTATCGTAAACACATCCCAAGCCCCTTCCTTTCCAGTGCTGGACACTTCACCCTGAGAAGACCGCCAGGAGGGAGTATAGAATCCGGAGGCCTGGGTGCAGATCCTGGCTCTGCAGTACTCTGCTGTGCCCTGGGAAGTAGCTCTGTCTTAAAAAAAAAAAAAAAAAAGTCTTCATCTCTTTGGGCCAATTTCCTCACTTATAAAATGGGAATTGGGAGCAGGGCAGGGTGGTGCACACCTGTATTTCTAGCACTCAGGAGCAGGAGGATTACCAGGAGGCCAGCCTAAGCTTCATAGTGAGTTCAAGACCAGCCTGAACTGCATAGTGACAGAGACCCTGTCTCAATAAAGAGACAATAACAACAACAAAGGCAAGAGGACTGAAAGTTCAGGGTCAGCCTGGGAATTTAGTGAGAACTTGACTCAAAGCAAAACAATTTAAAAGAGCTGGACATGTTGTTCAGTGACAGAGCAGTTGCCTGATATACCTGAGGCTCGGGTTCACCCCGCAATACTGAGAGGGGAGCCTGTGGTACCTACTTTGTGCAGGCTTCCTGGAGGCTGTAGGGAAATCACACAGGCGATTCCCCTGCCCCCCACCCCCACCCCAGCACAGGGCCTGAGCACAGTAGGTGCCTAATGAGCGGTGGAATGGTGTTTATTTTGGAGATGACAGTGATGACGACAGTGCTGCTCCTGATTCGTCTTGGCTTTCAACATTTTTGTAAGCTGTTTCCTCTGACGGTGCCAGAAACATTCCCTTTTCTTTTCTCATCTTTCCCTTCCCTTTTCTTCTTTTCAGTGCTGGGATGGAACCTGGGTCTCTCATGTGCTAGGCAAGTCCTCCACCACTGAGCCACACCCAGCCAACACTCCCTCCCTAAGTCCCCACCACCTTCCCCTGACTGATTAATGGGGGGCAGGTTAACAGCTGCAAACAGCCCTGATGTCCTAACGGCTTAACAAAAAAGTGTATTTGTGATCCTGGTGTGTGGCACAGGCCTGTATCCCAGAGCTCTGGAAGGCTGAGGCAAGAGGATTGCAAGTTCAAATCCAGCCTTAGCAATTTAGTGACTTAGTGAGATCCTGTCTCAGAAAAATAAAGAGGATGGGGATGTGGTTCAGTGTGAAGGCCTTGAGTTCAGCCTCAGGGTGTGTGTGTGTGTCTGTGTGTGTGTGTGTGTGTGCGCGCGCTAGGGGGGTGTTGAAGACACAGACAAACAAAACCATGTATTTTTCTTTATTTTTTTTTTTTTGGTGGCACCAGGGATCGAACTTGAGCTTGCCAAGCAGGCGCTTATGCTGCTGAGCTAAATCCCCAGCCCCTAAAACCATGTATTTCTTGCCCATGTCATGGTCCTGTACAGGCAGGTCTGGAGGACAGTCAGGAAGTCAATGACCTGACTCCTCTGGCTTATGTTCCGGCCCCCTCTAAGGTTTTTAGAGTCCTCTCCAGCCTGCCAGCCAGAAGTATTGTGAGCAAGGTGGGCCATGTGGGAAGAGATGTTTATCCCTCTTGCCTGCGTCCCATTGGCCAGAGATCAGTCACGTGGTGTCAGCTAACTACAGAGCATGCTGGGAATGTAGCATAGGTATTGAATGTACTTGTTAGCTTATAGGCCACCCAAAATTTAGTGTCTTAAAACAACAACTCCTTTATTAACTTCATGTCAGCAATTTGGGCTGGGTCAGAGGAAGATTCCTCTTGGTCTCAACTGGGGTCACCTGTGTGGTCACAATCCCACGGGGCTGAATGACCCAGGGTGGCCTGACTTACACAGTTGGCAGCTGATGGAGGCTGTTGTCTTGAGCTGTTCTTCTCATCTGGGCTCTTGGCCTCTGTGAGGTTAGATGAGAGATCTTCACCCAACAGCCTCAGGACAGCAGAGGGCACAGGTAGAGGCTCCAGACTTCTTCAGGCCTGGGCTCTGTGATTCCTACGGGATGTGTCAGCAAGTTCTTCTGGTCAGTGCAAATCCTAAGGTCTGCCCAAGTGTCTCCTTAATGGGAGGAGCCGAAGAGGGTATGTCCAGGAACGGGGAGAATATCATGGCCATCTTTGGTGTGAAACATGAGCTTCTGTGAACATGAAGCAGCCTCCCACACCTGGAGCACTCTGGCTCTCTTGAAGATCCAGATTCAACGGAGCTTTCTTCCAGAGCCTTTTGTGAATACCCCTCCCCGGGCAGTTCTTGCATTCCCTTACTCTGAACTCCTAGGGTATCCTGTGCTGCCCTGCAATGGCAGTGGACCTTAGCTCCACTCAGGAGCAGTGGACTCTACCCACAGGAGACGTTGGTGTAATGAACTGAATGAGAGAAAAAGCAGGATTGGAGGGTGGGTTGGGGTAGGGACAGAAGGAGAAAGAAAAGATTGAATTGCATTCCTCAGTGAGTCTCCTGTCTTGTCTCTCTGTCTGTTGGCCCAGGGGTGGGACAGGAAGTACAGACAGAGAATGTGACAGTGGCCGAGGGTGGGGTGGCTGAGATCACCTGCCGTCTACACCAGTATGATGGATCCATAGTTGTCATCCAGAACCCATCACGGCAGACACTCTTCTTCAATGGCACCCGTGGTGAGTGCTGGGGCCTGGGCTCCCATGTCCTGAAAGGGGGCAGATACGATGGGAAGGGAAAGGAAGAGGCTGGAACTGCTCATCCTGGAGAGAGGAAGGCCTGGGTAATTCTGGGTCTCTACAGTGTAAATAGTCAGACACCTCAGACTCAGGTACAGTGGAGAAAAGAGGCAAAGGATAAGAATCTGGACTCCTAGAGTGAGGCGGGGGGGGGGGGGGGGGCGCATCTTGAGGTCAGAGTTCCCCAACTTCACACCTTCCCCTTGTCTAGCCCTGAAGGATGAGCGTTTCCAGCTTGAGGAATTTTCCCCTCGCCGAGTGCGGATCAGGCTCTCAGATGCCCGCCTGGAGGACGAGGGAGGCTACTTCTGCCAGCTGTATACGGAGGACACCCACCACCAGATTGCCACGCTCACTGTACTAGGTAACAGCCCCCCACTCCTTAGACCCGTGCCTTCCTTTCCCTGTTTCTCTCTTATCCTGAGACCACCTGACTCCGGCTGTTTTTAACTTCCTGTCCGAATCCAGGAAATAGGGCCGGCCTTCCTGACCTCTGGCCTCTGTTTGACCCCTACCACCTTCCCTTTGGTCCCTAGTATCCCGCAGCCCAGTTGCTTTGCGCTCAGCTTGGGACCTCTCTTAACCCCCTTGCCCATCTTGTCCCGCGGCAGTGGCCCCGGAGAATCCTGTGGTGGAGGTCCGAGAGCAGGCGGTGGAGGGCGGCGAGGTGGAGCTCAGCTGCCTAGTTCCGCGGTCGCGCCCCGCCGCTGTCCTGCGCTGGTACAGGGACCGCAAGGAACTGAAAGGTACCCAGGGGTGGAGGCCGGCGAGGGGCGGGGCCTGAGGGAGGCGGGGATTAGGGAGAGGCTCATCTGCATGTGGGCGGGGCCCGGCAGGGACTATAGCTGTGCAGCTAGTGAATGAATCCATGGATTGAAAGACGGAGGAGCAGGGCTGGGGATTAAGGTTCACGCCTGCCTGACCAGTGCGAGGTCCTGAGTTCGATTCTTGTACAAAAAAAAAAAAAAAAGGAGACTTTGGAAAGAGGCCCTGGAGTTTGGTTGGGGGCGTAGCTTGGCTAAAAGGGGGCTTGGCAAATACTCTTAGAGATTGGTTGGTGGGATGGGGAGGCCGGAATCAGATTGACAGTGTCCGGGTTGGGCGTGGCAGGAGTGAGCAGCGGCCAGGAAAATGGCAAGGTCTGGAGCGTGGCGAGCACAGTGCGGTTCCGCGTGGACCGCAAGGACGATGGCGGCATTGTCATCTGCGAGGCCCAGAACCAGGCTTTGCCCTCTGGACACAGCAAGCAGACGCAGTACGTGCTGGACGTCCAGTGTAAGTGCCCAGCGGGCAGGGTCCGCGGATCCCCCTCTTGCAGTGTGCTTAGAGACGCTCCTAGCCCCTCATGGTCGTCCTTCCCTTGCGCAGATTCCCCCACGGCCCGGATCCATGCCTCCCAAGCCGTAGTGAGGGAGGGCGACACGCTGGTGCTGACATGCGCGGTTACGGGGAACCCTAGGTGAGCTCTGCGCCCCGGACTTCTGGCCTTGTGAGTGGACGGTTCCCTGGCTCCTGAATTTGAGAGAGGAGTTTTGGAGTGTCCATTCCTGGATTCTTACAGCAGTAGGGTCTGGGAGGGCTTGGATTCCCGAGACTCTGATGACAGATGGAAGCTGGGCCCGGGATGTGTTGGTTTTCCAGGAAGGAAAGGGCCAGTAGCCTTTGGAGTTTGGTGCAGGGTGAGAGTTGTATGTCCAGATTTCTGAGAAGTCAGGTCTGGGTGCTGGCACTTGGATTCCTAACTCTTGCGACACTTAACCCCAGGCCAAACCAGATCCGCTGGAACCGCGGGAATGAATCTTTGCCAGAGAGAGCCGAGGCAGTGGGGGAGACGCTCACGCTGCCCGGCCTGGTATCAGCGGATAATGGCACTTACACCTGCGAGGCATCGAACAAGCACGGCCACGCGAGGGCGCTCTACGTGCTCGTGGTCTATGGTAAGGAGAGGCTGCAGGAAGCCTGGGAGCGGGGTGCAGGGCATTTAGGGGCGGGGCTTGCGCAAAAACACTGCTTAGGTGGGTAAACAGCCAACAGAGATATTACAATTCTGGAGGCAGTCTGGTCGTCTGGGTTCAAATTTGGCTGTGCCTCGTCCTATTGCAGGTAACAATCTGCACCTTAGTTTCCTCGTGGGTAAAGCAGAAATAACACTTCCCCACCTCATGGTGTTGGGCAAATTGTAACAGCTAAATATAGCCTGGTGCAGTGGTGCACGCCAGTAATTTCGTGGCCTGGGAAGGCTGAGGTGAGATGATTGGCTGCTTGGGCATCTTAGCGAGACCCTATCTCAAAATAAAAAATGAAAAAGAGCTGGGAATATGGCTCAGAGTAGAGCGCTTGCCTAACAGGCGCGAGGCTCCTGGTGCACTTCCTACTGCTGCAAAAATAAAAGCAGCTGAATAAATAAAGGGATTGGAATAGACCCTCGTACACGGTTAAGAGGGGCAGGACTTTTGGAAGTGGTTGGGCTAAACCATGAAAATACCTGGAGTGCTTTAGACAGGGTGGAAAGGGCGGCAGGCCTGTTTCCTGATCTTTTTGTTTCTTTGCTCAGTGCAAGAGGGGTAAGGGGGAACTGAGTCAAAAGAAAAGGGATGTCCTGTCTGTTCCTTGGGAGGTAGGGGCAAGAAGCAGGGCAGGCATTGGGGGTGCGACCCAGTAGTGTACAAACTAAGGGTTCCTTGAGGCAGCGGAGGATCTGAAAGAGGGAGCCGTGAGAAGGGCCTGTACGGGACTGTAACGCTGAGGGACATGGCACATACAAGGGTGGTGAACTGTGCAGAATGGCCTAAGGAAGTGGCGAGGGTGGGCCTGGACTGGGATCACCTCTGAAGACCTCGTTCTGCGCCTTGTCCCTCTGGCAGACCCCGGTGCGGTGGTAGAGGCTCAGACGTCAGTTCCCTACGCCATTGTGGGTGGCATCCTGGCGCTACTGGTGTTTCTGATTATTTGTGTGCTAGTGGGCATGGTCTGGTGCTCTGTACGACAGAAGGGTGAGTAGGGGCGGGGCCTGAAACCAGCTATGGATGTGATTGGTTGTGGGACTCGACCGGGTGGAAGCCTAGAGCAGGATTCCAAGAAGGGTGGACACACCAGGAAAGTAAAAGGCAGCAGCCTAGACCCAGGTTTGGAATCCAGACCTAGAGCCGGGATTCCGAAGAGGGCAGAGTGTCAGGCCCGGGAATTTGAAAGTGGTGAACTTTTTAAACTGAAGAATTAAGGTCAGAGGTTTGAATAAAACGGTGTATCTTCCTAACCGATGAGTCATTGAGAGCGGAGCAAGGGAATACCACCAAGAAAAACAGTCTAGAAGAAAGGGCTGTGCTGTTTCTGTCCCCTGTAAGATGGAGGAGGGAGGAGGCAGGACAGATGGGAGGGACAGGCAATGTACAAATCAAAAGGGATAAGGGTGATGTGTCCATTAATTTTTGAAGTCTTCCTTTGCCACTGTTTTGTTATTCCGTGGACCTATTGTCCTGGCCCTGTGTCCTCTTATTTCTCCCTCTTCCTTCTGATATTTGTCTTGTCCTTCTCCCTCTTTCCATGTATTTTTGTCCAACTTGTCCATCCACATACATGTCTGCCCCCTCTAACCCTTGGCGTCTGTCACCCCTCAGGTTCCTATCTAACCCACGAGGCCAGTGGCTTGGATGAACAGGGAGAAGCAAGAGAAGCCTTCCTTAATGGCAGTGATGGACACAAGAGGAAAGAAGAATTCTTCATCTGACCCTACCCCCACCCCAGGCCTGGGTCTGGGCTGGGGTACCCCCCCACTGCCAGCTGCAAGGAACCAGCAAAGACATTTACCAGAGTCTGGGATGGTGGGCTTCTCCCCCCACCACTAACACCTCAGACACTTGGGCAGGGATGGGGGTGTTGGATGCCTGGATCTCTGCCAGGGCCACAACTGAGGGGCCCAGAGGTCTGAGCCCCCCAGGAGGCAGGGGATCAAGGTCCAGAACTTCCCCAAGTCCAGGTAGGACAGTAGGGATTGGGTTTGGGGAAGATAACTAGGGGAAGGCCAGGGCCCCTAGACTACAGAACCAGGTCTTATGGGGAGGGAGTCAGATTCTGGGAAGGGTGGGTGGGCAGGGAAGGGAAACAGAGATTTCTTTGGGGGTCTCAGACCCCATGCCAGCCATTGTAAGAGTTCCACAGAGCTCTGGGCACCTCTTTGCAAAGCCATGTTTGCACGGTGGGGGGAGGGGCGGGGGGAGGGCATGGAAATAGGGATTCTGTGTCTTTGTGTCATAACTGATGGGGGCAGTGAGGGAGACAGCCCCAACCCGTATCTCCAATCTCCCTTCCCCAGGTTCCTGGGCGTCCCTTCCCTCCTCCTCCCCTGCGTCTGTCCCACCCATATTTGTGTATTCACCCACTCCTGGGGGGGCCTTCCCATCTCTCCTCCAGGCCCCCCCAGGAGGGGAAAAGGAGTATGGGGGGGGAATGCGTGATCTCTATGGTTTTATATATAATATATTAAAAAAAAACAAAAATCTGTATGAAAATATCAGATTGCACCCCTCCCCCAACTCCTGGCCTTTGCCCTTTTTTTCTTGTTTAAAACACACACACACACACACACACAGGCACACGCACACGCACACGCACACACATTTTTGTACGGGGAAGGGAGGGGATAGGGAGGGGGTTTGGCAATCCCACTAACCATCATTAAACTGAGGAGAGAACAAGTGTTGGGGTGGCTGTGTGTCTGTCCCTCTGCCCAGGGCTGCACAGTGGAAGGGAATTAAGGGTGGGGGTGGCATGACTGCTGGTGGACAGTGTCCTGACTGCACCGAGGACACCACTACCCTTCCGAGACAGCCAGTTCTTCAGCCAATTAGTTGTTTGGTAGCTACTGAGTTACCTGATGGCCTTTTCTCCCCGCAAAGTCTCCAGGGCAACTTTCCTTTTACTTTCTTTTATTAACATAGCACATTTTAAAAATGATAATTGATGACATTAATTGTACAGATGACTGGGGTTTCACCGTGACATTGCAGCTCATATGTATATATTATCACGTCCTCCCTGCAATCCTGACCCACCTCATTCATTCATCTAGGCTTTAGATCTGCAGTATCAGTCTAACTTTAGGTTCTAGTCACCTCTTGGGTGCACATCTGTGGTCTCTACTACTAAGGCTGAGGCAGGAGAAATGCTTGACCTTAGGAGTTCAGGGTCAGCCTGGACAACGAGACCTCCCCCCCATCACTTAAAGACAAAAACACAGCTGGTTGTGGTACAGGATTGTAATACCGGCACTTCGGGAGGCTGAGGCGCACAGATAGCAAATGCCAGCCCAGCCAGGGTAGAGGGCAGTGATTAGTGAGAACTTGTATCAAAACTTCATTATTGTTTTGTTTTGTTGTTGAGACAAAGTCTCACTATAGGGTTTAGGCTGGCCTTGACCTCATGGCCAGCCTCCTGAGCACTGGGATTCAAAGTTTTTAAAGGATATAGTTCAGTGAGAAGGCCACGGTGGGGGAACTCTTACAATGTGCCATTTGCTATCCACATTCTGGAGAGTTCACAGTGAATGGAACAGGCAGACATTGAGTGGTACAGTTTGTCACTAATCTCAAATTTGATCCTGTTGAAAACCTGAAGTGAAAAAGCAGCTCTACTTAACCCTCTTAAAAGTTTTCAGGAGGAAAATAAAGACTATGGAGATACAGTGCAGGCCAGGAATGGTGGTGCACACCTAGAATCCCAGACTCAAGATGCTGAGGCAGAAGGATCGTCAAATTCAAGGTCAGCCTGATCTACACAGTCCAAAGTTATCCTGAAAGAGTGAGATTGTCTCAGAGAGAGAGACAGACAGACAGACAAGAGAGAGAATAAATGCAGAGGAAGGGGGTGTGGGATACTATACAACTTACTTATGGAGAACTTCAAGTATACAGAAAAGGCCGCAAAATCCCAGTTTCAGCACCCACCAACTCAAGGTCGGTCCTGTAACCCCACTCAAATCCAGGGGTGAGCTTAGAGAAAACTCTCAGATTGACAACTGCTCTAAGCAAGGAACCATGAGCACAAGAAGTTATTCAAAGATCAGAGAGAAAAACTTCTCAGGCAAAGGGAAAAGCAGGATGAAAGGCCTGGGTGGTATAGTGGGTGGCAGTGTTTAGGCAAAGTGGAGCTCGACAAGTGGCTAAAGGGAGGGAGAGAGGTTAGAAAGGGAAGCAGGGCCAGACCTCGTGATAGCCTCTGAAGCCATAAGGAGTTTGGATTTTTTCAAAGGTGTAATGGGACTCCGTGGAAGAGTTTTACTGTATTTTTTAATCATTATAAACTGTAAGTAATTGTCTTTATTTTTTTCAAATCCATTTTATTTCAGAGAAAAAAACAATAAAACAAAATTTCAAAACATCATTCGGGGCAACAGCAGTACATACATGGTACATTGTCATCCCAGAATCATTCACCCAGATCACAAGATCACAAGACATCTGCATTCAATTGTCTGAACAATAGCAGCACAAATCTTTCTCTTCAGTGAACTCAGAGAAATCAGCAGTATATCTATCATATATATATATAAAATGTCCAGCTTCTCACAATAATGAGACAATACAATGTTTACACGTGTATCTGATTTATTTCACTTGAGTATGGTCTCAAATTGCATCCATTTAGCTATAAAAGTCTCCCATTTATCCCTCTTTATGGCTGAGTAGTACTCCATTGTGTAAAAGTACATCTTTTTTACCTATTCCTCAGTAGATGGACATTTAGGTTCTGTCCAAGACCTAGCTATTATAAATTGTGCTATGAACATGGGGCACATATATCACTGTGGTATGATGTTTTAAATTCTTCTGGGAAGATTCAGAGAAGGGTAATAGCTGGGTCAAATGGGACCACCAATCCTAGTTTTTTGTTGTTGTTGTTGGTTTTTTTGGTACCAAGAATTGAACTCAGGACCTTTCGCTTGCCAGGCCAGCACATATGCCACTGAAGTATGCCCCCTACCCCCAATCTTAGTGTTTTGAGGAATCTCCACACTGATTTCCAGTGGTGGCACCATTCTACATTCCCACTAGCAATGCAGAAAGATTCCTTTTTCCCTACACCCCTCCAACATTTGTTAATTTATTGATAATAGCCATTCTTTCTGGGGCGAGGTGGAATCACAGTGTTGTTTTAATTTGAAGAGTTTTAAGTTGCCCCTTGACAAACTCCTGGAAGACTAATTCTTCAATAGCTTCCTCTATTTAGTATGAAGCCCAATCTCTTTAAAGTCACCTGTAGGCGCCTTTCCTTTGTTCATTCAGTTGTGTTTCAGGCACACTAAATTGCTTCCACTTCTGCAAATGCACTTTTTTTTTTTAACCTCTGGGCATTTGTCCCTGCTGTTCCCTTTGCCAGAGAGACTTCATTCTAATTGGCTCCTGTTCATACTTGGTTTAAAAATCATCACTTATCAGTCTGGGGTAGGCGCTTTTTCCTCTGGCACCCACAGCTTTCTATGCTCTGCGCATTCCAGGTCTGACCCTTACAGGTAGTAGTCTAATTATTAGCTGTGGATCATCTTCTTTTGCCTGGGGTGCCAGATTACCGCAGAAACTGTAGTGCTTGCCAGCATAGAGCCTGACACATAAAAGATCAATAAACTTATGCTGGTTGGGAGAGGTGTGAGGGTTGCGACGGGTCGTGGTCTTTGGGCACTGTCGGGGGATGCAAAGAGAGTCCCGGATTAAGCCTAGGCCACCTACTTTGCACTAGTCTGCAGTGCTTGCACGCATGCGCCATGTTCTGGCAACGACCGCCCCCTCCCCCCACCCGCCTCCCACCCTATATGCTAATCACTGCGCTCTCGAGTTCTGCCTCTCCCGGGAATATGCAAATCGCTGCTTTCAGTGCGGGAGGCCTTCCATTGTCCCGCGCTAGGATTATGCAAATAAGCAGGCCTCCAGTCCAAGATGCAGGCAGACTCGTCGCCCTCACCCCCTGAGCATCTAGTTTTTTTAAGAGGCTCGTTGCTGCTGCGCGCACGCACGCGCGAGCCCCGCAGCTTCTCTATCCTTCGGGCCGCGGACTGTACCAAGTAAAGCCGGGCAGCGAGGAGCAAAGCGCGGCAGCTCCAACGTAGGTTCCGTAGACAACCAGTCTCAGATAGCCCCTTTTCCCGCACAGCTACAGGAACGGTCCATCTGGCCGCGCAAGCGCCCTCGCCTCCTCACGCCCCTTGCTCTCCCTCCTACCCTACTCGCAACGCAGGCGCAGAGCCCGGCCGTGCAGCCGCCACCGCCGAGCCAGAGCTGGGGCCGCCAGCGCCGGTAAGTGTCCGGGGTCGGGGTGCGCGGGGCATTCTGGGAGGCGGGCGCTACGGCCCCGCTGCATGATGGGAGTGGCGGCCGCCGTCACCGTGGAGCGGGCAGCGGGCACTGTCGTCCCGACCCGGGGAGAGGCTCAGGCTCTCCTCTCTCCCACACGCGGCTCCATACTATTCTGGGGCATACTGGGAAAACCAGGCGCTGTGCCTTACGGCATTGTGGGAGTTCGGCCTGTCAGTCGTTATATATGCTTTCCGGGAAGAATTAGCCTGCTCCCTTTGGGGGACCTGACCCCTTTTGTCACACACCTGGAAGCTTGGAGCGCTTCTTTGCGGGGCGCTTAGGAAGATAGATGGTCGTTATAGGCTCGAGGTGTCCGGGGAAGAACTGTCCAGGGCATTGTGGGTCGTATTGCCTTGTTTTAGCCCGGCCTGTTTGCCTTAGCATGGTGGGAACAGTGCTTACTGTAGTCACACGGGCTATCCTGAGAGCCAGCTGCTATTTATTTTTGTTATCATAGCGCGAGAGAGGGAGTTGTGGCCCTCTAAGATCATGTGATACACTTTGGTCACCACAGGTGTTCTAGGAGAACATGTACTGGAGAGATGCTTTCACCTGGTGTCTGGAAGAGTCCTTGTGTGGTGTGGGCTTGGGGAAGTCATGGGCTAGATACATGGGCATTGTCTCCTGGTGAGCCCACACGAAGTTCTGATTGTCCCTGGTATACAGCTACCACATAGAATACAAAATGCCTAGTTAAATGTAAATTTCAGGTAAATAATGTTTTAGAAAAGTAAGTCCTAAAATAAAAAAAAAAAGAAAAGGCAAAGCATATTATTTCCTTTAATTAACCGTTTTGTGGTTTTGTTGTTTTTGAGATGGGATTTTGATATGCAATTCAGTCTGCCCTCGAATTCTTGGCGATCTTATTGCCTCAGCCTCCCCAGTACTGGTATGACAGGAATGCATAGCTACACCCAATTTAAGTGTATTATTTTTTGTTTGTCTGAAATGAAAATTTAACCGGGAGACTTGGTTTTATTTGCTAAATATAGTTTTACCCAGGCATAAGATAGAATTTTCAAATTAGATGAGGTCCTCCATGTAAGAGTATCATCAGAACTGTCAGTTTCAATTCATTTATCTTTATAAAAGCCCAGATCCAGGTGTCCTCTTTAGGAAGCTCCCTGCCAGCCTTGTCATATGCGAACCTCTGTATAAGTCCCCAGTACTGCACCTGACCTGTGGCCCTTAAAGAGATCTTGTTTTTTCTGCTCTTGTGGCCCCAGTGCCCAGCTCAGGCCTTGGGATATCAGAGGTATTGCTGAGGCTGGCAGCTCCTTCACTGGTGTCTACCATCAGGGTGTGTAGAGGGAGCCAGAAAGTGCGGGGCATGTGCGTGCGCAAGTGTCTAAGGGTCCGTTATGAAGAAAGGGTGAGGAAACAGAAGGCTTTCGGGGAGAGGCGGAGGGAATATTGGGGCTGAGAAGTACTGTAGACATTTTTATTGCTTTGAAGAGTGCGAAGGAGTTCTCTAGGAAGGCAAGGAAGAGGGCGGACATTCCAGACAGCAGCAGCAGGCTGTGCTAAGCCTCTCAGAGCCTGAAAGGGCCAGATGTGCATGGGGAGGGGCATGAAGTCCGGCTGGGCTGGAGCTTATAGGAAGGGGGGAGGGAATAGTAACAGCCACTGCCTGTGGAGTGGCTGCCACACACCAGCAGTTTATACAGGACCTTCCAGGCATCTTTTGAGCTGAGAGATCATTTTAGGAGGGGTGGGATGACATGACCTTGAGCCACTTAGGTGCCTGCTCTGCACCTCCACTTCCTCCTCTGGATAAAGGAGGTGCCGGCTCTATGACACACCCCTAGAGAGGACGGGAGTCGAGGCCTGAAAGCCCCTTTTCTACAGAAGGAATCGAGCCTGGAGAGATTACGTCCTTCGCTTAAAGCTGCATAGCCAAAGGGTGACATTTCAAGATTCAAGCCTCAATACCGTGTTGCCAGTTGAAACAACTAGGCTGACATTCATGATCTAGTGCAACCCTATCAGTTGTTTAAATATTGAAATGTTTCTAGACTGGTTGGTGTATCACGGCTACACCAAGTAATCCATATCCCTAACTCACCTTGAATCCTCTCCTAGTCCCAGATTTCCCCACAACCTGGCACCTAAAGGGTCAATGCCTGGCATAGGTCCCCTGTTCCATGTTTGGTTCTTTTTTGCTTTTGTTTTGTTTTTTGAAACAGAGTCTTGTGTAGCTCAGGCTGGCCTTGTATTCACCATGTAGCCCAGGCTGACCTTGAACTCATGGCAGTCTTCCTGCCTCCTGAGTGCTGAGATTCTAGGTATGTACCACCAGGCCTAGCTCTCTACTCTTAGTTCTGATTGGTGCCCATTGTAGTACCTACTTTTAAATATTGGAGTGACTGGCTGGGCATGGTACCATATGCCTATAATCCCAACACTCAGGAGGCTGAACCAGGAGGACTGCCATGAGTTTGAGGCCAGCCTGAACTACACACTGAGATCCTGTCTCAAAAAGTCTAATTAAAGTAAGCCAGGCATGGTGGTGCACTGCTGTAATCCCAGCACTCAGCAGGCTGAGGCAGGAGGATTGTTGCAATTTTGAGACCAGCCTGGCCTACAAAGTAAGCTCAAGGCCAGCCTGAACTGCATAGTGAGACCCTGTTTCAGAAAGACAAAAAAAAAATCTAATTAAAAAGCCGGGCGTGGTGGCACATGCCTGCAATTCCATCTCTTAGGAGGCTGAGGCAGGAAGATCACCTGACTGTGAGGCTAGCCTGGGCTGTATAACAAGACCTTTTTTCAAAAAAACAAAACAAAAACAAACAGAAAAAGCTACATGAAGGAATGAATGAGTGAACAAAGTATCACCTCTTCTGACTCCACTGAGTAAGAACCACCAATTAGTCTTATTGGCCAGAGGGAGAAAGTAAGGCATACCAGGGGACAAGGCCCACAGTTCAGGCTCTGTAGGTTGTCTGAGACGCCGGGCCACTTTTTCCTCCCCCTTGGCATGGACACACAGCTGTGCTTGGAGTGCAGATGAGTGCTTTGTGAAAATTTATTGAGTCACCACAGGCCTTTCCTCTCCCCTGTCCAGCACCCTTCTCCACCTGCCAACATCCTGTGTTAGAAGAGTTCGTTGCTGGAGGAGTGACTGTGAGAGCTGGCCAGGGAGGGACGCCGCCCAGCTGTTGTCTACTCCTGTCTCCTGTCCTCTCCCCTGGCCATGACAGAGACTCGTGAGCCGGCTGAGACTGGGGGTTACGCCAGCTTGGAAGAAGACGATGAGGACCTTTCCCCAGGTGAGATGGCCTTGGAGGCCGTGTTGTCGGCTTGACCACCGTTGAGGCTTAGGGTTTGGGCCGCGCTGGGAGGTCTTGCTGGTGAATGGCTGCTCCTCTTGCTGTGGGCTCTGCTCTGAGTGCGGCTCTGCGGGCCTCTAGGAGATTTGTTCTTCCCACTGAAACTCCCAGGGCTTGTGGATGGATTGGGAACGCTCTCCTTGCTGGGAGTTCTGGATTGGCCAAGGCCACTCTCCCTGCTGGGGGTTTTAGATCGGCTGTGGTTTCTCTCTGTGCTGGGGGTTCTGGACTGGCTGTGAATGGTCTTGCCCGGGCTTCCAGAGTGAGCAAAGCTTCTCTGCTCATTAGGTGTTCTCGACTGTCCAAATTGGCTGCCGTCTCTCTCCTCATTAGGGACTACAGCTGGACTGTTCCCTCTGTCCTTGCTGGGGGTTCTAGGTTGGCTGTGCTCGCTCTCTTTCTGATGGTTGCTGGATTGGCTGTGATGGTTCTCCTTGCTAGAGGTTCTAGATTGTGTTCTGTGATCTCTCTCCTTGCTGGAGACTCTGGATTTGCTGGCATAATCTCTCTCTTTACTGGGTGTTGTAGATCCGCTACGACCTCCCTCCGTGTTGGGGGTTCTAGCTTGGCCGCCCTCTTGCTCCTTGCTAGCAGTGCCAGATTGGTTGTGAGCTCCTTCTTTGCTGGCGTTTCTAGAATGGCCGTGGCTTCCTGCTTTACTGGGTGTTGTAGACGAATTGTGAGTGCTTTCCCTTGCGGGGCTTTTAGACTGGCTTTGTGTTTTCATCTGGTTAGGGGTTCTCCTCCGGGTTCGACTTCTCGCTCTACTGTGACTTCTTTTCCAACTGGGGCTTCTTGCCTTGCTGTGGGTCCTTTTCCAGCTGTGACTTCTTGCGTTTCTGGGGCTTATAGACCTACTGTGACTTCGGGTTCTGCTGGGGGTGCTAGATTGGCTGTGGCTTCCGGTACTGTTGGGGGTACTAGGCTGGTTACAACCCTTAGCCCCATTGGACGCTTCAGTTGGACTGTAGCTCTGCCGCCTTGTGGGGGCTGTCGTCTGACTGGAACTGTTCACTCTCCTCGGTAACAGCGGAGACGGGGTGTTGCCCTTCTCTTCCAAGGGTCTTGTACTTGGGCTATAACTCTGTGCCCTGCTGGGGGCCACGGTCAGCTTGGAACTCCCCCCAGTGCCTGACACTCCTGGTGGGCTACAGCTCTGCTCCCTGTCCGCAGTTCTGGGCTGGCTGCTGTCATTCCTTTCCCTGTTATTGGTTCTAGACTGGCCGGAACCTTTGCCTGTGCTCTGTTTTGGCTGGGAAGTAGGAGTTCTCACCCTTTTGGCCATGCTTGGTCTGGCCTCCTGCGTTCTTATGCTTCGGGGAGTGCTGGCCCTGCTGGGTGACCCCCGGGAACTGTGATGTCGTCTTCTGCCCGGAGTTCTGCCGCGACTGTGCGCTCCTCTCTGCTGGGGGCGTTTTGTGCCACGAGCCTTGCTGGCTTCGCTGGCCTTGGTGTCCGTGCTCACCTTGCTGGATGTTCTTGCTTTGCTCCGTGCTTGGGACCTGCTGTTGGAGCGGTTAGAAGGGGCTGTCTTTGTACCTGTTGATTTGGTGGACTTGGAACTGCTTGGGCTAATGGCTGAGTTGGGGGACATCGATGACCTGGGCACTGAGGAGCTATTGGGGATTGCTGGCTTGGTGGTCTTCAAGGAGGCAGGAGGCGTGGGAGCCTTGGCAGGCACAGAGGGTGCAGTGGAAGACGGAGCCTGGCTGGACTTTGAGGATCTCTTAGGTGGAGAAGACATGGTGGATGCAAAAGGGCTTGTGGCCCTGGACGTCATGGTGGCTGTGCAAGACCTGGTAGCCAGGGGCAGTGGCTGGCGTGGCCGCCTGTTCCAGATCAGCTGCGTTAAGTCATAGTGGGCACCAAGGCCCTGGAAGGTGGGTAGTGTGAAGTCAGAGGTGGGAGGGAAGGGAGGGGCCTCGCGCAAGGCCGGAGATGTTGCCTCCTTTGTGCAGTCATTTGGGGTGTGGAGTTGGGGAAGCCCCGGCCCTGCCAGGAGGAGTCTCCAGGCCTAGACAATCACTGTTCGGGATGGTGGGGTGTAATGGGGAGCTCAGTGGTAGGGGAGCCCAGAGGAGAGAGAAACCAACCACCTGGTGGGGAGCTCAGGGAGGACTCTCCAGGGGAGGGGAGTGTGAGCTGGCCTTCAGAGGGGAGCAGGAAAGGGTCCCGGAGGGGTGCAGAGAGGGAACTGCCTGGAGGAGGGGCCAGAGGCTGGGTGCCGGGTGGTCCTGGGCTTTCGTGTCCTCTGTGGGCAGTGGTGGGACCCCGAGGTAAGACCTGACCTTGAGGACTTCCTGGTCTGATGGGGGAGAGACTCAGAAAGCTACAACCTCTAGGACAGTGACAGGGAGGTGCTAGGCTGAGAGAGCCAGGGCCGAGGGAAAGGGGAGAGACTCCTGGCTGGTGGATAGAGTAGGGGACAGCGTTCCAGACAGGGGACTGTCACACACCAGTGTCTCAGGAAACGTTTGTTAAATGGCAGGGAGGTAGCAGGAGGGGGCAGCAAGAGTCGCAGGGAGGGATGTTCAGCAAACGTCTGGAAGCTGTTCTTGGCCGAGTGGCGACTCCAAGCAGGCCTGTCCACCTGGTTGGCGGGCACGGAGCCTGGACACAGATGCCACAGCCCTGGGAGCGCTGGGCTGGGACAGCAGGAAGGGAAGAGAAAAAGTGATCAGCTGCTCAAGGTGACCAGGTCTGGGACAGCATCTCCAAGAAGGGGCCCCCGCCTGGCCACAAAAGGAAAAAGGCAGCACATGCACGGCAGCGGGGAACAGCACACTGAAGGCTCTGAAGGGATCTGTCAACTTGAAGGCAGAGACCTGAGCCCAGAGACACAGGCACAGTGTGTGCTGGAGGCCGGGACCACCACAGCGATCCAGGGCCCTTGTTCTGAGGACAGACCATAAGCACACTCATGGATGAGGATATGAGAGAGAAATCAGACAGAGTAAAGGGGTGTAGGAACACTAGGAGGGACTGCTGGTCAGCCAGAGTGGCCAGAGTGTCACTTAGAAGGTGATACTTGAGCAGAGACATGGAGGAGAAGAGGAAGCAAGCTTGGTCTATCTGCAAAAAGGTGATGCAGCTTGGGGTTTTTGAGGGATGGTGAGGAGTCCATTGTGGCAGGTAAGAGCAGAGAGGTGCCAGAGGGCCTGTGGATACTGTGACATGAGTGAGGGCAGAGCAGTGCCCTCACTGCTCTGTGGACACAGGACCTCTTTTTCTTAAACTGGTCATAGATACTTCCTTTATACCTATAAAATCATAGCTATGTATCTACACTTATAAATAAAATGTTAATTCACTTACATATTTGACCACATATGTCAAAATACATATTTATGCATCCATGTTTTAGTTTGCATAACTCTGCTAAAATGTTTGTTGCCCTGAAATGCTCCAGTGCCCACCACCACCAGATAGCTCTTCATGTGAGAGCTGTGTAACTGAAGGCAAGTGAATAGTCTGTTTTTGGTTTTTGGAGACAGCGTCTTACTTTGTAGTGCAGGCTGGCCTTGAACTCACTCTGTAGTCCAGGTTGGTCTCGAACTCACAGCAATCCTCCTTGCCTCAGGAGTGCAAGGATGACAGGCATGCGCCACCACACCCAGCTGAGTGAGTCATCTTAACTGCTCCGTGTTGGACTAATCAGGCCCACAACCTCCCCAACCAGTGGATGGCGAGAGCTTAAGTAAGAGAGACCAGTGGTGTGACCTTAGGGCCCCTGGAGGACCACAGCCCTCTAGCACAATTCGACATTTCCAGGGGGCTGAGACACAGAACTCCTCTGGGAGGCCCATGTAGGTTTTCAAACAAGGGAAGGGCTGGAGTGGAGAGCGTGGGAACCGAGCAGGACCTCGGAGTCGGTTCAGAGACGTCACCAGATAGTAAAGTGTGCTAGTGAGGAGAACCATCTCGTCTCCAAGTTGATATTCGCCACAGGAACGAGACACCTGCAGCTGCCGTCTCTATCTGGTTAGTCAGGGTGGGAGCCAGGCCTCCTCAGCTGTGGCCCTATCTTGTCCTTTGAGGTGTCTCTGGCATCACAGGCCACTACAGGCCTGGACTCAGAACAGTGATTCATAGAGATTCACCTTCTCTGAATCCACTGCCCATCTCCAGACAAGGATCTTAGGCCTGGGATGGACTCACAAACACAGAAAGCCAATTGGTTAATTTACATCCTGCTCAGAAGCGCATTGTAGTGTCTCCATTAGTGCCAGGTCTCATTCCAGATCTTAGGGTTTCCACACTGGTTGGGAAAGATGACAGTAGTGCCTCCCTCCAAGGATCGTTGGACCAAGTGTGTTAAGTGTAAGGACAGGGCTTTCCAAGCCTCAGGGGATGCTGTCATTGTGTGCTAGCCCCCTTCTGGCTTCAGCTGCAGGACACTGGTTTGCTGGACCCGGTCTGGGCCTGAGAATTCATCTGTAAGGATGGAAGGTTGTGGGCTGTCCTCTCCACACCGGAGAGTCTCAGGGGATCAGGGAGAGGACAGCTAGCCAGAACCTTCTGTTCTCTGACGCCACTCTCTTCCTCAATCTGTCCCAGCAGGTCCCGAGCATTCCTCTGACTCGGAATACACTCTTTCAGAGCCAGATTCCGAAGAGGAAGAAGATGAGGAGGAGGAGGAAGAGGAGACCACTGATGACCCCGAATATGACCCGGGCTACAAGGTGAAGCAGCGCCTTGGTGGGGGTCGGGGAGGCCCATCCCGGCGGGCCCCCCGTGCAGCCCAGCCCCCGGGCCCTGCGGCCCAGCCCTGCCAACTCTGTGGCCGGTCCCCACTTGGGGAGGCCCCACCGGGCACCCCACCTTGCCGGCTTTGCTGTCCTGCTGCAACCCCCCAGGAAGCACCAGCCCCTGAAGGCAGAGCCCTTGGGGAGGAAGAGGAAGAGGCCCCTCGGGCCGGGGAGGGCCAGCCAGCTGGGCGAGGGGAAGAGCAGGATGAGGAAGAAGAGGAGGGCACCTACCACTGTACCGAGTGCGAGGATTCCTTCGACAGCCTCGGGGAGCTGCATGGCCACTTCATGCTGCACGCCCGGGGCGAGGTGTAGGCAGAGGCTCTGGCTGGGGGTGTGGAGGATGGGGGGGCGGGAGGCAGGCACCGAGGACGTTGGAGTGGTCAGGTGGTGGGCAGGGGTCCGGCAGGTCTGTGTTGTTTTAGCAGTAGATGTGTGAAGGCCAGAATAAAAGCCACGTTCTGTGAGTGTCGGTCCAGGGTGTGTTTGGGGTGCATATGTGTGTGTACATGCGAGGATATGTGTGGTCTGCAGTGCCCCGGGCACCTGCTGGCACTTTAGGATTTGTGGCCAAGATAACTAACACTGAGAGTGGGAAATGGTGGTCCCTGTCTATCATCGCAGCACTTGGGAAGCTGAGGCAGGAGGATCACAAGTTTAACCCTACTCGGAGCATCATAGTGACTTAACAAGACCCTGTCTCAGATTTTTAAAAAGGGCTGGGACTGTAGCTCAGTGTGAAGGCCCTGGGCTCAGTCCCCAGCACTACCGGTGGGGCCTTGGAGCCATACAGCTGGAAGTGACTGAGGCTGAGCTGCAGGGACACTGAGGGAGGACAGAGGGCCGCACTAATTCACAGAGGCTTGGCACTGAAGCTGCTTCGAAAATAGAAGCCTGATGGCAACGACAGCTACCGTTTGCTGAGCGTTCAACCGGGCCAGGCCCTGTTCTGAGGCGCTCAGTGACGCCTAGCAGCTTGGAGCTTTCAAGAGTAGGACCTCGGTTACCAGAGCGGCATTGTGAAGTCAGTGCGTGCAGCGGACTAGGCCGGGGCCGAGGGCTGCATGTGGACAATGGCACGGGGGTCCTTGCGAGTCAGGGACAGTCACTGATACGGTCCTTCAGTCAGCAGTGATTGACTGAGTGCCTGCGAGATGGTCAGCACTGTCCCGGCAGCTGGGAACGCAGCGGTGAACACGAATGGGAGTCCTGGTTTTGTAGAGGTTACAGTGGGGGGACAATAAGCAGGTATTTAAGTAAAACATACATGTGTGGGATCTTAGAAGGCAGGCAGTGCCCTGGGGGGGGGGGCGACAGAAGCAAGGGGGCGGTTTGCAATTTTTAACACAGGTCAGGCCACTGAGAAGGTGACATCAAAGCAGGACTAGGGCTGGGAAGGAGTGGCCTCATGGCTGCTATGGAAACAGAGTGCAAATGTCTGCAGAGGGAGCCCATGCGGGACAGAGACTGAGGAGAGCACAGGCAGGCTGGTGGCAGGTGAGCGACAGGAGCAAGCCCAGGTTGTCTGAGCCATTCCACCCCGCTTGGCTTCCTCTCCCTCCCAAGAGGCCTAGGTGCAATTTCAGGACCATTTTACAGTGACCACAAAGGCACAGAGAAGTTGAGTTACCTACTGGAAGTCACACAGCCAGTGAGAAACAGTCCAGTGAGAACCCAGCCAACTGGATGCACAGCACCATTTCTCACTGAGCAGCCACATCACAGCAGTTGCATTTGAGTTTTACAAGGTGTCTCCGGTCTCCACAGGGCTAGAGATGTTTTTCAGATCCCGTGGATTGCCAACACTGAAAAACGGTCACTTTCACATAAAAATGGAGGTGTTCTGGCTTCTCTTAAAAAATGGTGAGGTCCAGATTGCTGAACCCATGATCTCATAAACTAGTGATTTGTCAGAACTGCCTGGGGGCCACCTCCTACAGATGGGGCATTCACTCGGGTTCCCCACCCCCTGCTTACTTGCTGTTAAAGAACATTTGCAGTTTTGATACCTGTTACAGGCTCTTAGGCCAAAATGTCTTTCAAAACCCACACTTTCCATCCCAGAGCTGCAGAATCTGACATTTACCTGCTCTTTGAAATGGAACTTCCATAACCGCTGTAGTTGAGCATTACAGAATCATAATCGTCAAAGCAGAGATGTGCATCTCATGAAAATAAGACTGTTAGTCTGCTTGTGCTGCTATAGCAAAACCCCTGAGATTGGGTACTTAGAAGCAATAAGTACAATACTTGAGGTGTATTTCTCACGGTTCAGCAGATTGGGAATTCCAAGACGAAGATGCCGTCTGGTGAGGACTGCTCTGCTTCCACCTCGGTGACTTCCTGCCGTGTCCTCTCGTGGTGAAAAAGGTGGAAAGGCAAAAGGCCTACAGGGCCCTTGAGCCCTGTCACAAGGGTATTTAATCCCACGCAGAAGGGCAGAGTCCTCATGACTCAGTCACCTAGAAGCCCCGGCTCTTACTACCGTCACATCAAGTCCTGGGTTTCCAGCATCTGAGCACAGAGGGGACGTACATTAAGAGAAGGTAACCCAAAAATTGGTGTGTAAGTCCACACCCCAGCTGGGGGAGGTGACACACACCTATAATCCCAGCACTTGGGAGGCTGAGGCAGGAGAATCATTGTGAAGTTCGATACCAGTCTGGGCTACAAAGTGAGCTCTAGACCAGCCTGAACTGCATGAGAAGACCCTGTCTGAAAAAGCCAAAAAGAATCCACACTAATTCTAGGACTGCCTGGGACACAGCAGACTGCGCAGGAGTCTGGATACAGGCCACCTGCTATTGTGCAGGAGCCAGTGAAAGCCGCTGTGAGGCTGGTGCTTAGCCGCAGCAGAAGCCTGCCGTGACCCATGTGGCTCCTGAGATCCTTGGGGTTAGGGACTGGGAGAGGAGGAGAAAAAGAAAAGGCAAAGCTGGGGTCCGGTGGAGCCCTTATCCTCCTGATGGCAGCCAGGGCAGCTGTCTATCCCCTCCAAAGAAGAATGTCAGTTCCAACCCCACTGCCTAGCAACTTGTTCGCCTGGCCCCCTTGTCTTCCTGGTGCTGGAACAACTTGTGTACATAGCTTGTTTTGGTCTAGAAAGTTTTTTCTGGGCTGGCCTGCCTTCAGCCCCACGCATGTGATCAATCTCCAGCTTCAACGGCTCTCTACAGGAGTGTGGTGCCTGCTGCCATGGGAAGGTGGTGGCTTCCAAGCTGCCAGAGGTGGGGTACCGCAGCCCCCTCCTCCCATGCTACCCCAAGCAAGGTGAGTCCCTGGCCACCGCCTCCTGCTTCCATTCTGTACCTTTCAAGCACAGAACTGAGAGGGTGTGTTCTCAAGGGAGCCTGGGAAACAGTTCACACAGTCCCAGCATCACGGCGCCATGTGGGAGCCAGCCTGTGGCGGAGAGAGGCTGGTAACAGCAGACACAGTCAGTGAGCATGTGGTTATCCTAGGCATGGGGATGACACAGGATCCTGGTGTAAGGAGAAAATCACATAAACTAAAGTGGTCTGCCCAAGAGTGCTGGGAACACAGTGAGGGGTAAAAAGGCCTCGGGCCAAGCAGGCTGAGGGGAGTTCTCTTAGCAAGTGGCATGCATGGCAAGGTAACCTTGCAAAGTTCTGGAGTTTTTTAACTCCAGAGGAAACAGCAAATGCCAAGGCCCTGAGGCAGAAGCCAGTGAAGACAGAGCGGGGAAGGAGGGAGTTGACTGGCTCACGGGCTGGGATGTACTCATCTCTGCGTTCCGAGGGTTGAGGTAGGGTGTTTGGATGCTGTTTATAGAGTACCATTAGAGGGTCCCGAGGAGGATTGACAGGGCCTGATTCCCATGGTCTGTAGCTGGGACTGGAGGGAGGGAGGAGGGCTAAGGGACAGCAGGTAAGAGACTGGGGCTGCAGCTGGGCGAGCCTGAGGCAGGCTCCAGAACTGGGCATATTCACTAGCAGGATGGCAGTGGAGCAGGCCAGGGGCTGTGCAGTCACACTGATCCACTTCAAATTTGAGATTTCTATTTGTCATCCAGGTGAGTGTGCCCATGTCTCGGGTTTGGGCTAGAGATAAAGATTTGCGATTTGGAAAGCAGCCAGGTGTGGTAACATAATGCACTCTGGTAACCCAGCACTCTAGGATGCTGGGGCAGGAGTACCCCAGGTCCAGGCCCACCTTGGGCAACTTAGCAAGAGCCTGTCTCAAAAACAAAACACAGGGCAGGGATTCAGCTCAGTGGCACAAGCGCCTGCCTGGCAAGCACAAGGCCACAAGTTTGATCCCCGGTACCAAAAAAAACACAACAAAACAAAAAATGGCTGCATGTAACTCAGTGGCAAGGCACCTGCCTGGCAAGTGCAAGGTCCTGAGTTTGAATCGTGGCACCAAAAACATAAACAGAAAAGAGCTGAGGGTGAAGCTTAAGGTGAAGGCCCTGGGTTCAAGCCCAGGACTGAAGAAATAAAAGTTGGAAGCCCCCAGTGATGCTATCTATCTAAGTCTTAGGCATCTGAGCAGTGCCGACAGAGCTGGCAGCCTCCAGTGTACTTGGGCAGGCCGTTATGAGCATGCGGGGTTAGATTCTTGGGTTTGGAATTGGGGGAGACACTGGAGGGGTGGTGTGGAAACACTAGGGTCAGAAACTTCTGGGCTTTTACCCAAGCAAGTATTTAGCTTTGATGAAGTTGGTAACTTAGGAAAATGTGATGCCAAATTAATTCCAAACTTGTTTCCCTATACCCAAAGAACTACCAGATCACACAAACATACAGATGGCACACATGCACACACGCACGCACACACAACCTGCTAGCGGTAGTGTTTCTCAGGATGGGACCCCTTGCTTTCAGATTCAGAATAGGTCTGAGGGGAGAGGGAGCCAGCACCAGCCTGCAGTTAGACTGAGGGTTTGCTAACTGACTCTAAAGGGCCCAGTGGCTTTATAGGCTGCAATGTCGCTGTTGTAACTACTCAGATCTGCTGTTTAATGTGAAAACAGTGGCAGACAAAAAATACCAATTAAACTTAAAAAAATACCAATTAAAACTTAGTTTGCAAACTCCTGCCTTTCAGTATAAATTCTATGTCACATCACAGAGACCCAAAATAATGGTGGCTTAAAAGAGAGGTTTATTTCTTTTAGGTATCAGTGTAGAAGCAGGTGGGCATGGAAATGCTGTGAGGCCGACCAGAGACCTAGGCTTGTGCTACCTTGTTACTGTGTCATCCCCATGTCGCCCCCATCTTGTGGTCCAAGATGGCTAGGTACCACACCCGCACTCGTTAGAAACCCAGAAATTCAGCCAGAAGTTGGTCACGAAGTGGCCGTACCTCGCTGTAGGAGTCTGGGAAATAACCTTACACCTACCACCGTGTGCCTGACAAAACTAGAGACAGCCGTCAGTTTCCACTATGTTCACAACTACAGGTTTAACAAAAACACCCTCCAATCCAAGTGGAGCTTGTGAATATTTTATGCAGGACACCCGCCCGAGTCTCCAGGGGCACAGCAGGTAATGTCAGGGAGTACAAGAGGCCTGGTGGGTCTCCCCTCCTGTTTTGAGGTGACACCTGCTGTTCTGCTCCAGCTTGTAGCTTCTGCTGCACTGACCATGTAAGCCCTGAGCTGGGCCCTTTGAGAGAGCTAAAAATAGGATCGTAACAGGAGATCTCCCAGTGTTAGCCAAACAAAACATGGAACAGAAGGCATCTCTGTTTGATACCAAACTAGTTTCCCTACAGGGTTGGGCCAACTCTGCCCTGCCCTCCCTCCACCCCACATCCTTATGTTCTCTAGCATTTTCCACTAAAAGCCAGAGCTCCCTGCTTAGATATTTAAATATGGATGTTTTGTTTTTAGATACCATTTCCATGGGCTTGTTTATGTCATCTCTATATGGATAGAAAACACTCTGGAGTAGGAGAGGCTGGCCCAGGAAAGGGAGGAAGACAAAAACCCACACTGCAACCCCTATGTGACCTGGGGCCCGGCGCCCTGCCTTGCTGTCCCATCCCCAAAGGCTCAGGTCTGCAGGTCTGCAGGTCTGGAACTCAGCCAGCAGCACCTGCCCTTCCTGCCCCCTAGGCAGGCACAGATCCAGGGCAGTTTGCTCTGGTGGCCAATGGCATCCATTGGGGAAAACCGAAGGTAATTACACAGTCTGCAGCTGCTTATTTAACTGGGAATGAAGAAAACAAAAAATGTTCCCTCTCGCTCTTCCTGCCTCCTTTTCTAAAAAAAAAAGAGCTTAGAAGAGATAGAGTGATTTCACTCTAAAGGGCCTGTGTCCTCCAAAGACTGAAGCTCTCAGTGACAACCTTCTGGGTCCGGTCTGTCAAGAGCTCTCTGCCTTCCCACAGAGGGAATTAAACCCCACTAGGGCCCCCAGAAGGCCTGTGCCTCCTGTTCCATGTGGGTCCCACAGCCCTCAGAGCCCTCATCACTGCGGTCACACTCAGAGCTCTCCCCGAGCGTGCCGAATATAGTGCTGATGGAGTCCTGCTTCCTGGGCGAAGTCCTGACCACACTCAGTGCAGGCAAAGGGGCGAGGCGGGGTACAGACCTTGTGTACCTGGCGGTGCCGCTTCAGAGAGGCCGCATGCCCAAAGGCCTTGCCACAGTCAGGACAAGGAAAGGGAGGCTGGGCAGTGGTGGGTACATCCGGTGGGGAAGACCTGGTGCCTGGACCATGGCTGCGCTGGTGGGCGATCAGGGCCTTGGAGGACAGGTAGGAGCGGCCGCAGATGAAGCAGATGAAGAGGGCCCCCTGCAGCTTCTGGGCCACAAAGTCTGCTGGGTGCTCCCGCTTCATGTGACGCTCCTGGAACTTGGAATCGGCGAAGGTGATGAGGCAGTGGGTGCACTCCAGGGCCTCTAGATGGCCTGCAGGATGTGGGAAGAGGACGGGGGAAGCCAGCAGTAGTGTCCAGGACCTCCCTAGCTCCAGTATTATGTCAACAGTGGTCTGTGTTCCAGGCTCACAAGACTGCTAATGCTGGATAACGGCAAAAGCTTTTATTGCCTCTAATTTATAGATAAGCAGAATGAGGCTCAAAGGAGTCAGGCAAGTTGCTCACAGTCATGAGACCTGGACATGAAAAGGTGAAGCCAGGACTGGAACCCAGAGAGCCTGGCCATCTGACAGAACCATCAGATTAGAATATGGCTGGGGACTGAACCCCAGCTCCACCACTTCCTAGGCAAGTATGACAGGTTCCTCCCTTGGAAAATTCCATAAAGCCTTCTTAATACTGTCTTCCTGAGACACCCCCAGCCCTGTGGTCTGTGTCACAATAAGCTACAAGCCCAGCTTGCTCAAGACATTTGTGCTCCTAAGGGTCTGGCTGGACACAATGACACTATGGTTCTTGTTAAAAACTCCAAACCTCTCTTTACCTTATTCCCTCACTGTAAAGTAAGTACCAATTACACAGCATCCATTATTTAGGGGGACAGAGACAATACAGGTTAAAGTGATTCATAATCTGAGCATGAATGTGCCTAACAATAAGCATTCAGTCGGAGCTGCTGCTACCAAAGTTAAACAGGCTACATTCCTTCCCATCAAGCTGTCCCCCTTTCTGCAGTCAACTTCAGGAACACCCTGCAAGACAGACAGTGGCAGCTTCTTTTGAAAGGAAAACTGAAGTCCAGCCATCGTGAAAGTCTAGGGCACTGCTGGGACCAAAAATCCTCCCAGACACATATCTGCAACCCTTCCCCCTCTGAAATGCTTCAACATTGGCCAGGTGGCCAGAACAGGGTGAATGCATCTGAGTATAAGGGTGAAGAGGGGCACTGCCTTTCCAGGCAGGGCAGCACCTTCCTAGAGACAAGCAGCACTGGACACTGAAATGCTAGAGGTCCCTTCGGGACCGCTTCTGGACCCGCCCACCTCTAGCCTGCGGTACTCACAGAGATTGCCTCCTGAGTCACTGGGACTCGTCTCCTTGGGCGAATCTTGCTGTTCCGTGGTTTCCTCAGGACGCAGGTCCTCCATGGAGACAGGGACACCTCTGGTCAAGAGAGGAACACGCATGAGTGAGGCGCGTATCTGTCACAGGCCTTAGCGGGCCGCTGATCCTTTTGACCCCCACGGCACACAATCGCTATGAACTACGATGCCTCACCCATGCAGCCTCCCAGAAGATCAGCCTCCCCGCGTTTGTGATTCCTCTAAGCCTAGGGTCTTCTCACCTGTGCGATCTATGACCTCTTCTCCCCAACTAACTCCCTGAGAGCTTGTGACCCTTATCACGTCACCACCTCCATCCTACTCTCTCACGTAATAGTTCCCATCTTTTAGCGTGCCTCTTCCAGGGGGACATCCTGTGACTCTTGTTCCATCGGGAGCCCTCGCGTCCCGCTACTCTCAGCACTGCCTGCAGCTCCCCAGCCCCAGACTTGACCCCTAGGCTTTTGCTTTCCCTGATACTCAGAGGGCTGCCTTTCCCTGTGCCTGTCAGCCGCGCGCGACAGCGCCACCACAGGAAGGGCGTAGTATAAGGCCACCACGTCTCGAGGCCTCCCATGGTCTCCGCACCCTTTGACCTAACAAATCTTTCCAAGCTGAGGTTACAGATTCCGTCAGGCAGTACTCAAGTCACGTCGGTCTGGTCCTCAGACAAATGAGCGGGGGCCTTCTCTGCCCTGGGGTGCATTATGATGACGTTTCAAGCCGCCCTTCGCGTACAGCCCTCATCCTCCTGCGTAGGGGCGGGTGAGGAGGGCTCTCGATGCGCAGGCGCTTTGCCCCTTCATTGTTCCAAGCTTGCGGCCGTCCAACTTAACGCATCTTGGGGTTCCTGCCCAGCGCGGGACACTGGGTCTCCCAAATCGCGCTCCAAGACACACCCCCCTCGTAGAGGGAGTGACGTCAGGTTAGGACCACCTGAACGCGTCCCGAAGAGTCTAAATTCCTCGCTCTGGCGGCTTTGGCTTCCGCCCGCCAGACCCCAAGGGCGGGGCTCCTCTTTGGCTGATCGGCCGTCACCAGCTGCGCTCCCAGGGTGACCTCTCTGCTCGGTTGGTGATTTGGAAGAGGGGGGAGGGGACAGCCATCCCTGTGTCTCGGAGGGATTGAAGGATTGGAAGCCAGATTTCTGAGTTTCTGAAGCAGAAAGAGAAACGCTTGCATCCAAAAAAAAAAAAAAAAAAAAAAAAAAAAAGGGTGGACAGTGTCCTCCTCAGGGAATAGGCCCTGGATACTGAATTTCCAGGTCCTGCAGGGTGACACCCGAGAATAGAAGTAGGGGCAGGATGAAGAAGTGAAACCTTGGTCCAGAGTGGGGCGGCTAGGGAAGAAAAAAGCTTGGTGCTTTCTGCTCATGTCTTCCTCACCCCTTATTTCCAGCAATGCCTCCGCCGCGGGGTGACGTGACAGCCTTGTTCCTGGGGCCTCCGGGCTCAGGAAAGTCCGCACTTATCGCAGCGCTATGTGACAGTAATGTGGAGACAGTAGAGATCCCCGAGGGACGGCCGGATTCCGGGATCCCCAGCTTGAGAGCGGCGGGCCCCGGTCTCTTCCTCGGGGAGTTGAGCTGCCCACCCGCAGCGCCTGGACCCTGGGCAGCAGAGGCCAATGTGTTGGTGCTAGTGCTACCCGGGCCCAAGGGAAACGAGGAGCCCTTGGCCCCGGAGCTGGGAGAGGCAGCGCGGGCCGCCGTGGCCCGAGGGACGCCGCTGCTGGCTGTTCGGAACTTCGGTCCTGGGGATTCACAGCATGAGGCCCAGGCCCGCGCACAGACAACAGCGCTGCTGGACAGCGCAGGGTTAGGGGCCGCGGCTCTCTTCGTGCTGCCTGCGGACTGCAACCGCAGCGATGGCTGCGAGGAGTTAGAGCGCCTCAGGGCGGCGCTGCGGAGCCAGGCGGAGGCGTTGCAGAGGTGAGCGAGGAGGTTTCAGGCTGGGTGGGGAAGCCTGGTCCCTTTAGTGTAGACCTCACCCACTAAAAGGCGCTTTGAAGTGCACAAGACCCTGCTGTCATTGAGGCTGGGTGACAACTTTACTAGTTTTGGCTGTTTAGCCCTGCTCCTTTGCCTAGATGGTCTGTTGGAGTGGCTTTTGAGGTCAGGAGGCTCCACCCCCAAGCCGGAGCTCTGTATTTGACAGTCTCCTGTTCTGTAGGCTCCACCCCAGGTAAGGGTCAGTTGCAAGTCCAGAGTTGTCTGCGATTCACCTCCTGGGAGGTCACCAGCCTGGCTCCCTAGCAAAAATTCCAGAGAGGCCTAAACCTATCCTGCAGATAGGAAAATTTTCCTTTCCCATAGGAAAATTTGAAGGAGGACTTCATCTCTTCAGGAAAGTCTGTGACCCCAGAAAAGATTTTCCTCGAATACCCCTGGAGCCATTCATCTTTTCCTTACCATCAGTTTGGTTTTCAGTCGCTGCTGATTACCCTAAAACCACACCCTGTGAGCCTATTTCTGGCTGTCCTCCCATGCTTCATTTCTCCAATCCTCTTTCATTTCCTTTCTCACTTCTGGCTACCTCCCAAGTCCTTCACCCCACAACTGTCAGTTACTTTTATTTGAAGTTTTGTTTTATCCCTAAATTCACTGCAAGCCTCAAGCTTGTGGTGACCCTCCTGCCTCAGCCTCTCAAATGCTGGGGTGGCAGGTGTGTGCTATCATGCCTGGCACCTGCCTCTTTTATTAATTTTTTTTTAGCTGCCTCATTTTATGTTCATCAAAGTGAGGCTTAGACAGGGTCAGCCTCCCTTATAGGTTCACTAGTCTTTTTTCCTTAGCTTCACTTGCCCCTTGTCACCTTAGCCACACCTACCTCCTTGTAAGAACTAGTGGATGAGATTTCTCCCCCTCATAGGCCTTCCTGATAGCCACCTTTAGGAAAAAATGCCCCTGGGTACTTCCTCAAGGTTCCTGTCAAACAATTCTCTATGTGTTTAGTTCACAATGCTTTGGTGTCTTGGCCTTGCTCTTGCGATATTTGCCCCCAAGGAATTGTACCCAGGGGCCAGGGATGTAGCTCAGCAACACAGCACCTGTGTTTGATTCCAGGTACAAACAAAAAAAGATTTGTACCCTAAAGTCTCCTGGGGTCCCCATCTTCAACTTTGGTGGAAATCTGACCTCAAGTCAACCCACCTGGTCTTTTAAGTCCTGACTGCTGGTTTCAGCCCCTCCCTTGGTTTCATTGGTACCCCTCCCTACCAGGTTTCTGCACACTTGGGCTTCCATCTGGGCCCTTTCTTTCTTCTGCCTCATCCTGAGGTGATCGAGCACTAGCTTTCCAAGGTTTCCTTATCTTCTACGCTTGATCCTTTCTCTCCCTGTCTCCCCAGGTTCCTGCCTCCTGCCCAGGATGGTTTTGAGGTGCTGGGTGCCGCAGAGCTAGAAGCTGTGCGTGAGGCCTTTGAGACCGGTGGCCTGGAGGCTGCACTGTCCTGGGTACGTGCAGGCTTGGAACGCCTGGGCAGTGCGAGGCTTGACCTGGCGGTGGCCGGTGCAACTGATGTCAGCCTTGTGCTCAACACGCTGCTCGGGTTGGATCCTGGTGACCCAGGGGCTGTGCCTGCCTTGGCACCCACTGGGCCCACCCAGTGGCCAGCTCCGGAGCGCCCCAATGTGGTGCTCTGGGCTGTGCCTCTGGACTCCTCGTGTTCCTCCTCTGGCGCCACCTCTCACCCAACCCACTACGATGCCCTCATCCTCGTCACCCCTGGGGCCCCCACGGAGAAGGACTGGGCCCAGGTCCGTGCCTTGGTGTCACCAGATGCACCTCTTGTCTGTGTGAGAACAGATGGTGAGGGTGAGGATCCCGAGTCTCTAGAGGAAGAAGAAACGGTGGAGAAGCCCAAAGGCCAAAGCTTGAAGAACACAAGCCATGAAGGGGCACTGGAAAAAGTGCTCAGCAGGGAGGAACGTGGCACCAGATCGCAGAAAGCGGGCGGCGGGGAAGGTTCAGAGACTCCTGGCAGCCAGAGTTTGCAGCAGGGGGTCGGCACCACCACCCGAGGCTGTGGGGACTCTGGGCGCATTGCAGCTCTGAGCCCAGAAGATGAGACCTGGGAGGTGCTGGAGGAGGCGCCGCCGCCCATATTTCCCCTGCATCTCAGCGGGCTCCCGGGGCTGTGCGAGTGGCTGCAGCGTGCACTGCCCTCTGCCCAGGCTGGGGCGCTGCTGTTGGCGCTGCCCCCTGCCTCCCCTAGGGCTGCCCGGAAGAAGGTAGCGGCACTGCGGGCCGGGGCGTGGAGGCCGGCCCTGCTGGCCAGCTTGGCGGCAGCGGCGGCCCCCGTACCTGGGCTGGGCTGGGCATGCGACGTGGCGCTTCTCCGAGGCCAGCTGGCAGAGTGGCGGCGTGCGCTGGGCCTCGAACCTGCATTGCTGGCGCGGCGAGAGCGCGTCTTGGGCTTGGCTCCTGGCGAGCTGGCTGCTCGTGCACACTTCCCAGGCCCCGTGACACGCGCTGAGGTGGAAACAAGACTGGGCGCCTGGGCGGGTGAGGGCACAGCCGGCGGCGCCGCACTGGGAGCCCTCTCCTTCCTGTGGCCTGCAGGTGGCGCGGCAGCCACAGGTGGCCTGGGATACCGCGCTGCACACGGCGTCCTGCTGCAGGCTCTGGATGAGATGCAGGCAGATGCTGAGGCGGTGCTGGCACCTGGGGAGCCGGCCCAGTGAGGGGTGGGGGGTGGGCTGGGGTGGGATGGCAACTTGGGTTTTCGGCTCCGCTAGGGGCTGAGAGCCCCAAGACCTAGTTAGAGGGATGGGGACTTGAAAGTCTGAGCCTGACATAAGGGGTGGGGCGATATGTTATTGGGTGTCTTTGGACTTGGGGTGCAGGCTTCGACTTCTAGTTGGAGTATGTGGAGTCCTGAAGGGGAACAAAATTTGGGGGACGGGATTCCTGACTTTTCTGTGGACCAGGGAGTATACTATCCAAACCCTGTTCTCAAGGGTATTGGGGTCCCGGACTCCCGGAAGTGGGTACATCCTTGTCTCCAGCCGCAGTTCCTGGAAAAGGCGACTCAGGGTTGAGAGGTTGGAAGCTTTGATCCCTGAGAGGCTCCGTGGCTGCGAACCTGAACTCCGGTATGGAGGAGGGGAGTCCGGGTGCTCTGCGGAACATTCAGAGTTGGACTTCTGGATCTGAAAGTGAAACAGCCTAGGTTTTCCAGGAGAAAAAGGCCTGCACAGAACCTCAAGAGACAATGAGCTTTGAATCTTAATGGGATGGAGTGTTGACTGGGGTCCCAGATTCCTGGCTCCCTAGAGGACTGTGCATCTTGGTTGCTAGTTCTTGGGTGCTGAGGAGGGAGGAGGGATCAAGGGGCCGATGGAAGCGCGAGGACTCCTGGGTCTCTTGGAATGAAGCGATTCTGGTACTTGCTGTCTGGGGCAAGAAGGATGATGGCATCAGAAATGAAGACAGCAGGCTAGAGATGTGAACTCCTGGGCTCCCAGGACAGCAGTGGATGGGAAAGAGGGAGACCCTGTATTTCAGAGGTCTTCCCACAAGTGGGCAGTGTTACTTGGTGGGGGCAGCTGCCTCTCTGTGAGTCTGACTGGGAAAGGTGTGAATACTCCACCTTATAGGTGCTGACTGAGGCAGAGGATCTTGGGGGTGCGCTCCTCTCCTTTACAATCTGCTTCTGTTTTTGTTTTGTCTTGTTTTTGTTCTGTCATAATAAGCTGGACCCTTTTGGCCTTGGTATTTGTATATCTGACTTTTTGGAGGAGCAGCTGTCCTGTGCTAGTCTAAACGTCTTGGTGTGGTCTTCTCCTCTGATACCCCAAGGAGCTGTGTCAACTGGTGTACACAGAGGATGTGTCTGTGAGCAGGGTTCCCCCAAAGTGGCAGGCAGGCATTGTAGACTGCAGGAATGTCCCAGGCAGGAGAGAGGCAAAGGGAATAACCACAGTGCCTGCAATGTCCTAGGCCACAAGTTAAAGGGTTTTCAATGTCAAAACTGGAAAAAAAGGGCCAGGGATTTAGCTCAGTGGCATTAAGTGCCTGCCTGACTAGCACAATGTTGTGAGTTTGATCCCGGGTACCAAAAAAAAAAAAAAAAAAAAAACCAAAACAAAACCTGGAAAAAGGGAAGTGATAGAAGAGGAGAGCTAGACTAGGGAGGACAGGCCAACAGCACAAAGCAAGGATCCATGTGCTCTGCCCATACCTCTTTTCAGTCTCTGCCCCATCACATCCGCAGTCAGGCTGAGAGAGCTTGCTGATGTTTGACTAGGCCACACTGGGTCCTGCCTCAGGACTTTTGCACTTCTGTTCTTTCCTGAAACATTGTGCCTCCACATCTTCCCGTGGCTGGTTCCTTGTGCGTAACATCTCCACGTAAATGTTTGTTCCCTCAGAGAGGTCTTCTGTGATCACATGAACTGAAGTAGCTTGCACATCCATGTTTCTGCTCCTGGCCAGTTGATTTTTGTAGGAAATAGTACTATAAAAAAATGACTTTTTAAGCATAGGCTGGATTTGAACTCACTGTGTAGCCCAGGCTGGCCTCAAGCTCCCAGCAGTCCTCCTGCCTCAGCCTTCCAAGTGCTGGGATCACAGGTGTGCACCACCACGCCCAGCAGAAATGACCTTACTTGTTTATTTGCCCGTTTATTGTCTGTTGTTCCTGTGTCTGTCACGTTCTCTGGTGTACTGCCAGCACAGAACAGTGCCTGATACCCAGAGGTGCTTAGTAAATGCATGTTATTTCTAGTCATTGATCAGTGGCAGAACTAGGGCTAGACGATTTGGATGTTGGCGTCTTGTCGCAAAAAGGAAAAAGGAATGAGAGCAGGGGAAGCAAGCATGCAACGGAAGAGAACACTCCCAGTCTGAGGTCAGGAGAGCTAGAAAGCAGAGGTGGTTTCGTCTACATCATTGTGTCACACGGGCTAGAGCCTTCTTTTCCCACCTCTGGGATGAAAGGGCTTGGCCCGAACCATGCACATTTCTAAGATCCTGTTTTGCTGGGAACCCAGCCGAAGGCAAGGGTTCCTGATCCCAGCCACAGAAAGTTGGGGACGGTACCCCATCTGCAGTTTGAACTCTCGCCTCTAGCACAGCTTGTCCCCTCAAGGTCGAGACAGCAGTGATGGGGAAAGTTTTTAGCGCTGTACTGAATGGTCGCTAGCCTGTGCAGCCTTAGCGGAATGGGATTCTCCCGCGCCGGTGGAGTCCATTCCTCCGAGTGCGCCCTGGAGCCCCTCGGTCAGTGTGCTGGCTCTGTGACAGCAAGCAGCTGTCCAGCAGAAACACGTGTCACCTTCAGCATTCTAGTAGCTGTCACAAAAGAGCGAACAGGTGACACTGAAATAGGTTATATTTGACCCACTGCCCCCAGACATTATCATGTCAACAGGTAATCAGTATTTTAAAGATATTGAGGTATTAAAAAAAAAAGATATTGAGGTATTTTACATTCTCATATGCTAAGTTCAAAATTTGATATATACTCGTACGGCACATCTCAATTCTGAGAATAAACTGTCATTAGAAGTGCTATTTACATTTCATAAAATTTATAATAGAGTCTCATACCCAAGTTGTCCCAGTTACACTGACTAGTTTGTCAGTAGTGGAGATGAGTATCGTGTTCAAATGAATTGAAAGCAAATCAAACAAAACTCAGTTTCTCAGTTGCACTGATGACATTTCAAGTCCTGCTTGGCAGCCACAAACACTGAACAGTACAGACAGTGGACATTTCTGTAATAAGACAAAGTCCTGTTAGCTTAGCTCTAGGGTCAGGGTCCTACTGACTTTGGAAGTGACTTGGGCAAGTCACACAGTGGAGCGTCTACCTCATTGAGAATTCACTGTGTGTGTGTGTGTGTGTGCGTGTGCGTGTGCATGTGTGTGTGTGTGTGTGTGTGTGTGTGTGTGTGTGTTTGCGACCATAGCACACACAGAACAGACCGTGGCCCTCGGGGAGAACTTGAGCACCACTGGGCGCTCTAACGTTAGACCTGCTGCCCCTGCCTGCCCACGCCCTCTGCCCCGGGCAGCACTGGGATGACTCTAATTTAGACATTTTCTGTCAGCCCATCCCTTTACTCACTCAGTGCCATCCCAGCCACTCTGCCACCCTCTGATTTGGTCCTGCCCAGCATCTCTGCTGTGTACCTTGCTGCTGTTTTTCCCTGTGTCCTCCTGCCAGCAGAAATAGGCCAGTGATCATATCAGAGGAAGCGAGACCATTTTGTTGGCATGTATATGTGTGCATGCGTGTGTGTGTGCGTGCATGTGTGTGTGGCCACTGAAGAATGCTGGTTGTATTTATATAGTTGTATATTGGCACTGTTGTGTTTCACAACTACTCTTACGGGTGGTTGCATTTTACATGACGAGATAGAATTCAACTTTAGGTTTGTGGAGGCATAAAGTTACGAAGAAGGCATTTGTCTCTGGCAACATTGAAGCAGAAAAATATGAAATTTCCAGATGGACAGATGACTGGCTGCCACCAGGATGTGGCACCCTAGAGTACAGGAATCCCAGGAAACATGTGTCCTGGTCTTGCCAGTTACCAGAAGCCGAACAGACTCCAAAAATGTGAGCGAAGCACCCTCATCCCCATAGCAGAATTTTGTACGTTTCTGGGTAATGATGGAGGAATTTATGTCCCAGCGGTAGAGAACAAGGAAGGACAAACCAAGTGTGTGGATGGCCTTTGTGCTCTTTGAGGGATGAAGAAAAATGAGTAGAAATCTTGATGTGTGTTAGTTGGGGGTTTGAAGGGAAGAAAGGATACTTGGACTCCTGGGGCTGAGGGTGGTGACTCTTGATCCTGGAAGAGGCGGGTTGGTGGAAAATCTGTCAGGAAAGAATTCCTTGAGCGGGACCAGGAGGCTTCATCTGTAGCACCTCAGTTTTGCCATCCCAGGCTTAGGGATGAGTGTACTTGGCCGCTGTTAGGAGCCTGAGGATTTGTGATGGCCAAGCACCTTACGTCTGGAACCCGTGTGTCCCCTGGATGCCCCGATCTGTGTAGTGTCTGTGTAGCCATGCACTTGGATTGTCCCCTCTCGTGCTCGCTCTAGACCTTGGCCACTGGGACAACAGCAAACATGATATCTGCAGAGATTTAAGAAGTGCTAGGGCACTGGGACTACTTCTTTTGCTGTCCTTGGGACCACTGTTACATCAAGACACCCAGGCTGGCTTGCTGGGCGATAAAGGGACACGTAGCCTAGTTATCCTTGGCATCCCAGACACAGTGGACCACTCCCTGAAACAGCTGCCCAGCTGACAGCTGAAACAGCAGAAGCAGCGCCCAGCTGGTCCCAAGCCAGACTGCAGACTCACAGGGTCATGAACTGAATAAAAGGTAATTCCCCTGAACTTGTAAGTTTTGAAGTTTCTTTTTTCTTTTTTTTTTTTTTTTAATAAAGTGAAAGTAACTGTGACAGATTTCCTTCCTGTCTGCGATGTGGTGGTCTCTCTTAACCCCCAGCCTGGTCCAGAGTCTGAAACTCCTCATCTGAGTCTCAGCTTCATCTCCTGAAACAAGGATGCGGGTAATAGTGCCAATCACATAGAACTGTCATGGAGCTAAAACAAGGAACCCGTAATGGCATGTTGGCACATGCTCATAATCCCAGCACTCTGGGAGGCTGAGGCAGGAGGATTAAAAGTTTAGGCCCAGCCGAGGTAACTTATTCAGATCCTATGTTAAAATAAAAGGGGGAGGGTATTGAGGATGTGGCTCAGTGTGATGTGACTCATTTATTTTTGAGACGGCAGCTCACTAATTCAGGCTTGAACTCGTAGTCCGGGTTGGCTTCCAACTTGCTGACATCCTCCTGCCTCAGCCTCCCCTATTACGGGGTTACGGGTGTGCACCACCACGCCCAGCACCTCTGGGCCTCTTAGAAGCCACAGCGGTCATGCTGTTTCTGAGGCATGCCTCGCTCTCAGCCTTTGAATCCTGGTGCAGAACCGCACTTCCCCCATGTGGTTTGAGTAAGGCCAAGGATCCAGCTCCGTCCAGCGAGTTGACGACCTTAAGTCATTTCTGGGTCCCAGCTTTCATAATCACATGTGAGACTGTCCTGGGCTCATCCCTTTGGCACAGAAACTGGTCATGTTTCGGTCAGTGGCTGCTCCCTGACTATATGAGCAGAGGGTGGGGGCGCTAAACAAGCACTAGAGTGAAGGAACATTAGCCTTTTGTGCAGAAGCACCCAGCCACTATCCATTCCTTTCCCTCCCACTGGAGGGTGAGTGCACTCCCCTGCTCCCCAGCTTCTAGATTTGGCCATATGACTCACCTTGGAGGAATGTTAGCAGTCCTGGCCTCTGCGAGGCCTCATATACACTGGCCTTTTATGCTCCTGTGGTCTGTGGCAAGACTGCTGGGGGCCACTGATCCAGAAGATCAGAGAAGCACATGAAGGAGACAACCGCAGCCAACAGCAAAACCAGCCTACTAGAAAGGGGACCACCCTGCCCGCCCACAGCACCTGAGAAACAGACATGCTTGTCCTGCATCTCAGGTGAGAGATGGTTTATTACGAGGCACTACTGCCACATTTGGTGATTTACAATGTGAATGTTGTTTTAAACCAGAGATTAAGGACTTGTTTGTTACTACAGCCAAATCTGGCCTGACCTGACTGCTGCAATGCTAGCAGCTGCCCACTAATGGCCACTTGGTGGCAGCTATTAAGATGATTATTATTTATTCAGACATTGTCTGCAGAACCATCATTCTCTTCAAGGTGGCAGGCACTGCATTAAGTGGTGTTCATGTTTCATTTATCGGTTACACCAGCCCTGAAGCGGTTATAACAATTGGCATCCACATTCTGCAGAAATAACAACTGAGGCAGACAGAGGGAGGGGTTAATCGGGAGAGCCGATCAAGGACTCTGAAGTGTGATGGGCAGAGGTTCAGATCAGAGGTCTGACTTCCTAGCTGAGCCAGGCAGTGATGCTCAGGATTTGCTTCAGTTTGTTAGTCTGTAAAATGGGATAATAGTATTGATTTCATAGAGTTGTAATGAGGTGTAGCAAGGGAAATCTTAGCTCAGGGCTGGTAATCGTGTCCCCCTGTAAGAGGCAAGACTTCCCCTCTCTTCCTTGGAAAGAGGCAGTGAGAAAAGATCAAAGCCTGAACCCTCTGCATCCCACCTTCCCGCAATGTGTGGTGTCACAAGGACTCAGGCTTGCTCCATCAACTTTAATTTATAAGCACATGGTGGGCTTCGGGCCTCAAGCCACACATATTCCTGAGTCCTGCACTCAGCCCTGCCCTAGGGCAGGCTGGCTTCGTGGCAGTCGGCCCGATGGAGGAAGTAGTAGTAGGAGGCTGAGGGCACCTCGGCCCCAGCCTTGGCGCGGCAGGCACTCTCCGTGGCGCAGCCCCGCGTGGCAAACTTGGCGCTGATGATTCCTGGGAGGAAGAGTAGAGACTGGAACCAGCCCCTTCCGCAGGACCCCGGAGTTCTGCCGCTCCGCCTCCTCCCCAGTTCTCTGGAGACCCCTCCTCCCCTAGAACAGAACAGTTTGGGCCTCTGGTTCCGGGACCCCTGTCCTCTTTCAGAGCCAGGCAGCGCTCACCAGCCTTCGCTCTGCCCGCCAAGTAGATGCAGTGCGTTTCCCGGCCGACACACTGGGCTAGCTGGGTTGTGGTGCACGTATCCCGGAAGGGCACCACGCAGGAAGGGCACGACAGGCCATTCGCAGTGCGATTGTACTGGGGAGCTGGGCAGGAGGCGAAGTGATAGGAAGACAGGAGGTTTAAGCCCTGACCCCAACCCGCCCCCCCCCCCGCCAGCCCTGGGGGGGGGGCACACCAGGTTTGCTAACGGATATTGCATTTCATAGGTAAGGAAACTGAGGCTGGGAACCAGCCCGGCCTTGGGGGTGGGGCTGCCTCAGCAGGGCTGAGCTAGCACTTACGGGGCACCGAGCCGCGGTTGCAGCCATCGCTCTGGCAACAATACGTGTTGGTCACCATGTAGTTATTGGGTCCCATGGTGGTGGACACGTAGCCCGGGTGGCAGTCTCTGGACTTCATGCAGGCCTTGACGGTGCTCACGTAAGGGCCCTCTGTGGGGTGGGGGTAGGAGCCGCAGGCAGGTGGCACTGGCTCACTGCTGACTGGCAGTAGTTCCTGTCTGCTCCTCCCCAGCACTTCCACTTCTCTGGGCCGTCTCTCCCAGCACCCGAAAGCCACGCTCCTTAACCCGCCTGTGCTGGGGTGGTTTACTAGGTCACCCTCCTGGTCTGTACCATGAAGCCTAGTTGGCCTCTGGGGATCTCCCTGTGGCCCTTACAGCCAACATCCACGTGCCTGCTGGATGTGGTCCCTTCCACCCTCTCCTGGACTCCAGCTCACCAGACTTCTCTTGGAATCTTTTCCAAAGTACCTATAGCCACCCATGCCTATGTAAAAGTGGTCTCTTCGAGCCTTCTAGATTTTGCCCCAACAAATCCCACACTGTACCCCTCACTCATATCGCTCTCCTGGGTTCTTCCATGGTCAGTCCCCAGACCTCCCTTCGATGGTCCCTTGTTGACCCTCTTGCTATCTCCTCTGAGGTGGTCTCTGTGGCCTCGGCGTCCCCCCTCCACCATGTAGTGGTCTCTTCCAGCCCAGTTCAGATGTCTCCCCCGTTTACACCATGGAGGGCTCCTTCCCGCAGGGCGCTCCTCTGGAAGGACTCATCCAGCCTTCGAGCCTTGCGGGCCTCTCCTTCAGGCGCTGACCGACCATGGGTCACTGTCTTCTACCCCATCTTCCTCCCACCCCTCTCGTGTCTTCACGGTTCTTCCTGCTGTCAGAGCTGACCTCAACCTCAGGATGTCTTTCAGCTGTGAATTCACATTTCCGAACCCCACACCGAGGTGTCCTCCATTGCACCCTTTCGCCCCAAGCTTCGTCAGGCCTGAGGTAGCCTCTTTCATTTAAGTTATGGCCCCTTCCCTCCATCTCACTCATTGGCCTCCCCACCTCTATATTATTATTATTATTTTTTTTTAACTATGGGGTCTTGCTAGTTAGTTCAGGCTGATCTTGAACTCACTATGCAGCCCAGGCTGGCCCCAAACTGGCAGTGATTCTCCCACCTCAGCTTCCACAGTGCCGTGTACCACCATGAATGCCATCCACAGCTCTTTTATATTTTGAGATAGCGTCTCACTATGTCACTAAATTGCCCAGGCTGGGTTCAAAGTTGGATCTTTTTGCTTCAGCCACCCACAGTGCTGGGGTTACAGGTGTGAGCCACTACACCCAGTCTAGTTCTCTTCTATTTATGAACATTTACTCCCTACTTTGGGTTACCTTCACTTTGCTGTCTGGGGAGCTTGCTTTTCTGTCTCCTCCTATCCCAACATCGTCAGCCTTCCTGCAGGAAACTCTTCCCTGAGTACATTCCCAAAGCCCAGGATGGCCCAGCACAGCCTCTTCTTTCTCTACCACCTGCACCCCACCTACATCTTTTGTTTTTTGAAACAAGGTTTTGTTATATAGTTTAAACTGACCTCCTACTTGAGGCAGTTCTCCTGCCTCAGCCTCCCAGTGCTGGGATTACAGGTGTGCACTACCACACCAGGCAAGCCACCTACCTCTTGTGTGTTAGATTCTTCACTCTCTGTGTTTCTGTTCCTCCACATCTGTTCACTCCACCCTCCCATCTTTCTCTTCCCTGCTGATTTTCCTTCCCTGTGTCACCCACCCAGAGAACTGCGTTGATGCCTCTGCATCTTCTGCCCTTAACCTCCATCCCGTTCCCATGCTACCTGCACCTCCCCCCTGCTCACCCCCACCCTTCCACTCCCCCCCCCCACCCCACCCCACCCCTCACCCTTCCACCCTCCTCGCGCCTCGCATCACGCCCTCCTACTGTCATGGGACTCGCTCACGATGATCACACACGTGTCTTTGCCAGGCTCACACTGCTTCATTTTCCCGTTGCATGACTTCTCGGGGCCATTACACACTTCACAGCTTAGACTGCACCCTGCAGCGCAGAGAGTGAGGCTGGGGCTACTAGTGTGGTCTTTAGACCATGAATTCAACACTACAGTTCCAGAAGGGTCGGGGAGCCAGGCGTGGTGGCACACTTCTGGAATCCCAACCCCGTGGGAGACTGAGGCAGGTGGATCTTCACTAGCTTGAGATTAGTGTGAGCTACACAGTGAGTTCAAGTACTCACTGAAAAACAGTACCTAGCAAGACCTTGTCTCAATACCAAACAAACAAACAGGGCAGGGAAGATGGATTGATGCCTCAGGGAGGAGGACCCGAAGTCCCCCTGGATGTTTGTGGGTGGGGCACTGATTACTGTCCAGGGAACTGTCCAAAGTCTGACAAGGTAGCCAGGATGAGGCCAGCAAAGCGGCTTCCAGGGGCGGGAAGGGACTCTACCTCCTTGGAGCCTCTTCATCTAATTACAAGGCTGGGGACTTTGGACGCCAGGGTCCACTGAGCTAGCTCAGGGCCAGGGAGGGGTCGTGGCAAAGGTTTCCATGGAGTTGTGTGAAATTTCAGGTCCAGCTGGTTCTTGGGTGTTGGGTGTGGAACCTTCCTCCTTGCAGGTACTGCACAGGTTTTCTGAGACAGGGTCTCGCTGTGTACTCTAGGCTGGCCTTTAAGTCACTATGTTATCCAGGGCTGACCTGGAACACACATGGCAGTCCTCCTTGCTTCAGCTTCCCAAGTCCTGAGATTACTAGGTTGTGCCCCCATGCTCAGTTTAAACTTTGTTGACAGAGGAGCTCAGGCTGAGGTCCAGGAGCCTGGATCCCAGGTCAAGGAGGATCAGTGAGAACCAGAGAGGCTGAGAGGATGGAGTTCTTGGTCCTGAAACAGGAGACAGCTAGAGGCCTGGACACCTGGGCCCTAGGCAAGGTAAAACTGCCTACACTCCTGCATCTACAGGTAGGAGGAGGAAGGGGCTGGGTGCCTCAACTCCTGAACCCAGAAAGGAAATCTTTCTTCCTTTTGAAAGATTTGGAAGATTTCTTTTTCTAAACAAGCTCTCATCTGATTTCCCAGAATTGAACTGTCTTATTTTGAGACCCTGCCTAGGGAACAGGGGATTCAGAGCCCACCAAAATCCCCACCCCACGGACCCAATCAGGTGGTTCTTCCCCTGTGCCCCAGGTTTCTCTTCCTTACTCTGCCTTCTCCGTGAATCTAAATTCCCCCTTGCCCCTTTTGGACCTTGCTGAATGCTCTCTCACAGTCTTCTTTCCTAACATTTCAGGAAGCCATCCAGGTCTCTTGTCACTTACCAAGACTCACGAGGGTGCAGAGCAGCGTGAAGGCCAGCAGCAAGGTGTCCTGTCTCGTGGATAGCCCCATGGTATGTGAACCTGTAGTCCTGGGCCTCTGCCCTTATAAAAAGCTGAGGAGAGGCGGGTCCGGACCCACCTTCACCGTGGGGTGAAAAATAGCTGAGGTCAGAATCCAGGGCAGTCCTCCGCAGCCTCCGGGTACCAGCATCCACAAGGAAGCCGAACATCTTGTGCTGAGCCTCCTTTGCCACGGGGATCCCAGAAGTCTGGACTTGCAGGCCCCTCTTCTTCGAGAACCCCAAAGGTTACTGCCTTGTTTTCTGACATTTGCACCGCCCCTCCGCCCCCGACCAAAATATGAGTTGGGTCACTTGAATCCCTGAGGGTGTAGAGCGGCTGAGAAGAGTAAGATCCCCTCTCCTCTGTCTTCCCAAAGAGGCACCTAGCGTGGGTGGGGTCCTGCTCAGGAGCGCCCAGCTTGTCCAGGCTCGTCCTGCGGGGGCCATGGGCCTGTCTCCCTTCCCTTCTCCCCGTGCTTGACTCAGACTCCCTCTTCTGTGTTTGGGCTGTTACAACCCCATCCCCGCCCAGGACCGCACTTTTGAGTCTCAAGGGGACCGAACCGAGAGCGGAGAGCGGTGCTTGTCAGCAGCCAGAGGCGGGGGTAGTAAGAGACAAGGGTACAAAGGTATATTGGTAAACTGAGGCATTTGTGGAAGCACTCCAGGCTGGGTGTGTGGGTGAGTACGGGATTTTTGGACTATGCTTTGTTTGATTAATGGACCTTTCCCCGCCCCGGCCGCAGAAGGGTGAGATGTGAGGGTTCTCTCGTATGTGTGTGAAGGATGAGGGGGAGATGTGTGTAGGCGCAGAATCAGGTGGAAAAAAACCCAGTTGTAGTAGGATCCAGGTTGCTTGCTAAAATCTACCCAGCTGTTACCCGCTTTCCCGAGTCTTTTGTGCTGTGACTACACCGACCAATGAGAACGGCGAGTTTCTTCTGGGCACCAATCGCCATGGCCGCTCTTGTTGCTAGGCGCCCAGAAAACAGGATGTGACGTCATCCTGAAGGCCAGCAAGAGAGTAGTAGAATCTGAGAGAGGCGAGCTCGTCACTGGTGAACGCAGCGCCTCACTGTGGAGAGGCTTGACTGGGCTTGCGCTGAGTCGACGCGAGCGCGGCGCGCCGCGGTTTGAAAGGCCCGAGCCTCGCGCGCTTGCGCACTTCAACCCGCGCGGGCAGCACCCCTTCCCCGCCCCCCAAGCCCGACCCTTCCTCACTAGCCAGTTCTAGGCGAAGCCCAAGACTTTGACATGCCGGAGATCCGCCTCCGCCACGTCGTGTCCTGCAGCAGCCAGGACTCGGTGAGGGACGGGCTTGGGGGAGGGTGGCAGACGTAGAATAAGGGGGCTCCGTAAGAACTTCTGGGGGTATAAAAGAGAACTTCATGGAAGTCCAAGGAGTGTCACGGAAGGGATTTCCAGCAGCTAAAAGTGAATTCTGGAGATGTGCAATTAGGGAACTTTTGGGTTTCTGTGGAACTTCCGGAGAGACAGAGAGAAATAGGGAAGCCCATGGGAAACTTGCAGGGAAGTGTTGTGGGAGAAATTTGAGGCGGGGTGGGGGGGAACTAACGGAAACTTAAATCTGGGGGATCGCAGAGAGCATGGGGGCTCCCAAGGACTAATCTGAGAGCTGGGGCCCTAGCCCTCATCCCTGCCCTAACACTTTGTTTCAACTATTGTCTTCAGACCCACTGTGCAGAAAACCTTCTCAAGGCAGACACTTACCGGAAATGGCGGGCAGCCAAGGCCGGCGAGAAGTCCATCTCTGTGGTCCTCCAGGTGATCCTGCCCTTCCCCTACCGCTTTTCTTTCTTTTCTTTTTTTTTTTTTTTTTTTTGGTGCCGGGGATCGAACTCACGACTTCGTGCTTGCCAGGCAGGCGCTTAAGCCACTGAGCTAAATCCCCAGCCCCATCCCTACCGCTTTCTTACTAGAGGCATGGAGTTGCAGGGTCCAGGTTCTACTGAGCCAAATGGCAGTTTGGGGCATATTCCCTTCTGCCCCTCAACGTCCTTATCTGGAAAGCAGGCTGTATAATCCCTGTGCCCCTCACCACAGGAGAAAGGAGACCCAAGGACTAAACTAGTGTGTGGCCTGGAGTAGGTTGTTTCCACTTTCTGGGCCTCAGTTTCCTCATCCGGAGCAGACTGAATCATTTGCTGTGTCCTGCTTCCTAGACTCAGTGGGCTCAGGCATGGAAGATGTCCAGACAAATCAACTTCATGTTAGAGATGGCGAGACTGAGGCACTGGGGCAGGGGACTGAAGTGACCATTCTAAACTACTGTTTCTGGAGTGTTGGTTGGCTTTGTTTTGAGAGCCTTTTGTGCATGCTGTTACCAACTCCATACCGGGGCCCTGTGAATTGGGAGGGGGGCAAACAGGAAAGGAAGGCTTGACCTGAGATGGCTGTAGAATTGTGAATAGATTGTCACTGTCAGGGAAAAGAGAGCTGATACATTTTTAAACATCTGCACTTTGCCAGGTGGTGTCCTGCATGTTTTACCTAAGAGTTGTGTTATAAAGGCGGTCACCACTAATAAATGACGGGGCTAAGACTTGAGTTCACAACTGAGTGTGGTACTTTTGACCATTTTATCACACTGCATTTGTAGTCACACACCAGAATTTTTTTTTAGCGCTAGAGATGGAACCCAGGACCTTACACATGCTAAGCAAGCACCCCATCACCGAACTACATTTGAGACAGAGACTTGCTAAGTTGCCCAGGCTAACCTCAAATACTTGACCCTCTTACCCCAGCCTCCCTAGTAACTGTGATTGCAGGTGCACACCACCATGCCCAGCTGTTTTATTGTTGTCGTTTTATTTTTATTAGTGTGTGTTTGCAGCACATAATGATTACATTCATTGTGAGGAGTTGGTACATGTGCATAACACATTTTAATTCTTTTTTTTTTTTTTCCTTGGTGCTGGGGCTGGGCATTGAACTTAAGACCTTATGCGTGCTACTACCTAGCCACACTCTCCAGGCCCACACACTGGCTTTCTGAGTGTTGGCCACATTCTTTAGCTCTGAATGGAGTGGTGTTTGCAGACAGAAAGTGGTTGTGAGGAATTGTGAGGACAAGACTTACATGATTGTGTCTGATTCTGAGCTTACTGTTCATCTCTTTTTTTTCTCAGTTGTGAAAAATCTGAGTCACAGAGCCTTTTGAGAATTATTTGAGGATTCCCTTAGCAGAAAAAAAAATTTTTAAGGCTAGTCAAGTGAAGCAGTGGGAGTGGAGAAGGAACAAAGAAATCTGTAACTGGTTATGATCAATTAGTTGTAAACACCACTGCACTCGGACCAGCCTAATGCACTTGGACCAGCCCCCTTAGCAGAAATTTTTAGATTCACAAAGTTTTCTGATGGTCTCTCTCAAGTATCTCCTCAATCTTTAAGAATAATAATGAAAGCTAACATTATTTAACATTACAATCTCATGGTCAGCATTCTGCATACTTCACATGGATTAATTAATTGAATCCTCATAAAAACTGTATGACCTAGGATCTGTTATTCCCATTTTATAGATGAGGACATTGAGGCCCACAGAAATTACAACCAGAAAGCAAAACAGTCGCAAGAGCCAGGTTGCTTTACTACCTGAAAGCCAGTCTTTTAAACTGTGGAAGATCTAGACTTCTGAGGATTTAGTTTTGGCAACTGGATTCAAATCTCAGCACTCCTTCATGCTCTGTGACCTCGGGCAAATTTTTTTTATTCATCTAAATCCAGTCTCTCATCTGTACACTGGAGGACGGACCTAAGCCCAGGGTGGTTGTGAAAATCTGGTGACATAACGTCTGCAGAAATGCTGTCAACATGTAGGTGTTTGTATAAAGGGAGGGGTTTGTGATTTTATTATGGGGTGATGCTTGGGTTCTCATTCAGGTGACCCCAGAGAAATGGAAGTCAGTTTTAGCCTGTCTGAAGATAGACCAGAGAGACTGGAGGAGGAAGAAGCAGAACATGGAGAGAGGGGGAGCCAGAGGGGCAAGGAACAGGACCCTCTGCTGTGGGGCGACTGGAGGAGTATTGTAGCTGTCACCAAAATAGGAAATCCTGGGTGGGAGCAGCTAGGGAAGGCGGTGCATTTTGGTCATGATGTCCAGCTTAATATAACAACCAGGGGGCAGTTAGGAGTCAGATGTGGGACTGGAGACATTAGAGATGTAGAAACTGCCAACACAGAGGACTGGACACTAGGAAGTCGGTGAATTCACTGTTCTTTCATTAAGCAGTCCACTCAGCGAGTGTTTATTAGGTGTCTTCTGTATTCTGTGCTCTGTGTTAGGTTTGGGCTGCACAAGACAAAAGATACTCGGTCCTGTGGAGCTTTCCCATTATTAGGGAAAGACTGTCGGGTGTGATAAGGGTAAAATCTGTCAGATGGTGAGTGCTGTGGAAGAAATTAAGCAAGGCGAATGGAGATGCCTAGCTGGGTCAGGGCAGTGGCCAGAGATTTGCCCTTAAATAGAGGAGTCCAGTAAAGGCACTCTGAGAGGTGACATCTGGGCAAGGTGAGCCAGTCCTGGCCGTGCCCCACACATTGGAGGAGCAACAAGGAGGCCTGTATGGCCAGGGCGGGGTCAGCCAAGGTGAGAGAGGTAGGAGAGAAGCTCGTGGGCTGAAATGCTCGAGGCTGGGAAACCACTGTGAGGACTTTTACCCTGGGTGAGACCCGAGCCACGGGAGGCTCTGAGCAGAGGAGGGATCAGATCTGGCTTCAGTCTTCGCATGATGCTTCAGATTCCATGGGGAGGATGAACCACGGGACTAAGCAAAGAAGTGGGGAGCCCAGCAGGTGGTGACTACTCGTAGTGGAGAACCTTGGGGAGTCCACTTGTGACAGGCAGTGGCCAGCGTGCAAGGCCATTCCATGTTCACCCCATGCTGACTTCAGGGTCCTTTGGAAGTATCTGATGAGAAATACCTGGACACTAAGACAGTAGGCTCCCTTGTGAGTTTTCCTATTACCCGGTGTTTTCTCCAAATGCTGTTTTGCAACATCTTGTAAATTGCCACATGTGGTTCAGCCCTCTGCTCGTGACAGCCTAATACTTTTGTTGTTTGTGGTAGCCACAGGAAACCCTGTCACCCACCCATCACCTGCTCCCAGGCAGGGAGTTCAATTTCTTTACCAGCCACTCCCGGCCCAGAGGGGATGGCTGGGCCGCAATCCAGGTGGAACCCCTGTGCCTCATCACAGGTGCTTTCTTTAGAAGCAGTGTTCCACAGCTCAGCCTCTGAACTGGCTCTTGCAACTGTTTGCTGTTCTCATCCTGCTCTTCCCCGTAATCATGTTCACTACTCCCTAGGTGAGCAAAGTTGTCCTCTCTGGAGGCATCAGATACCTATTCTGCTCTTCTCTTCAGCCAGGCTGTCCACAGCTCAGCCCCAGCTTCGTCATCAGACTGGGGCTCTGAATCTTCCACGGAAGCTGCTGGACATGAGAAAGAAAATCTCCCCTTCTCTTCCCGTCTCTGCCTCCTCCCTCCCCTACTCCTGCCACCCAGTGCCTCACTCGCGAGGTGGCCGCCGTTAGCAGTGCGTTGTGTGGCCTTCCTGGCTTGTTTTGTGTGCACACAAGCGTTTATGAAAAATACAAAAACCCCATGATATCCATGCAGTTCTCCCCTGTAACGATGTGTCACGGGAATATATTGTCACCATATAGAGTTGTCCTCCATTCTTCGAAATGAGGCCGGCATTGCATTTCACCAGTGTGCAACAGTGCTTTCCACAGGGTTCCCTCGCCCTTTGCTAGCCTTCTGCGTCCTGTTCCTTTTCCTCATGCATTGCGTCTTCCCGACAAAGGCGCATGCTCACAAACTTGGGCCGCGGACGCCCCCACAGCGCACATCACCCATCCCACCCCCCACGCTGAGCCCAGGTGCTACAGACCACTCATGCAGAGCACTCTCCTCTGAGATAAATGTCACAGAATGTCAGGTTCACTCCATGCATGGAAACTGCAGCCCTGTGGTTGGTGCTGTGCGCTAACTGTTCCGCAACCAACTCCACTCTAGCTCAGTGTTTTCCTCACCCCCAAAAGAAACCGCAGAACCAGTCACTTTCTGCTTTCCGCCCCCACATTGCTTTTGAAAACCACTGGTCTACTTTCTGTCTGTGTATGTGTTTGTGTGTGTGTGTATACCAGGAGTCGAACTCAGGACCTTGCACTTGCCAGGCAGGCACTGTGCTGCTGAGCTAAATCCCCGCCCCTCGTGTGTTTTGTTTTACTTAGCATAACGTTTTTCAGGCTCAGCCACATTATAGCATGTATCATGCAGCTTTTTTCTTTTGGTGCTGGGATCGACTTTAGGGCCTCATGCATACTGAGCATATTCTCTACCACCATGCTATACCCCCACCCCTCATTGTTTTGGAGGGGGTGATGAGACCAGGTCTTGATATATAGTCTACTCACTGCCTAGGCTGGCCTTGAATGTGTGGTGACCCTCTTGCCTCAGCTTCCCCAGTGCTGGGATTGTAGGCTTGTACTACCATGCCTAACTTTCCAGCCCCTTTTCATTGTTTTGAGACAGGGTCTCCCTAAATTGCCTAGCCAGGGCTCAAACTTGTGATCCTTCTGCCCCAGCCTCCCAGAGTTCTGGTATTGCAAGTTGGCACCACCATGCCCGGCTCAGACACTGTCTTTGACATTGGTATACAGCCTGGAACAGCTTGCATGTCTTGTCCGCTCTTCTGGAGCTTAAAAGTCAACAGATACTAGACAAATACAAACATGTATTTATAGACTGTCAAGTGCGGCTATAGCTGTCTTAGGATAGAGTGGTACCTGCTAGGAGGTGTGGGGGCTCTGTACTTGTCTCTGGAGAGGTGGCATCTTAGCAGGACATACAGACAGGCACTGAGGGTGGCAGTGGGAACGTGTGGGGAAGAGTGGTCAGGTGGTGGCGGGAGGGCAGGGGAGCAGCTCCAGGTTGGACCGGAGGCAGGCACAGCTGAAAGGGATCCAGCTGCAGCGGCCCATGGGGCTCAGCTTCAGCCCTTGCCACCACCGTCACCACTGTCACCACCTTCGCTGCTTCTGGCCAACAGTGCTGGGTGTGGGAGTGCAGCTCCAGCCAGCCTGCCTGGTCTCTTCAGGCTTCGCCTGCACAGCTGCGATGTGATAACCACTTCCTGCCTGCCGCTGCTCACATGGGACCTGGAGATAATTATAGCACCTGCATCGCAGGGCCACTGCAAAGAGGGCAGATACCTGCCTGGTACATTCTGAGCCGCCATCTCAACTCCCCACAGAAAGAGGGTTAATAGGATGAGCCTCCCCTTACATAGATGAGCAAACTGCCACTCACTGGACGGAGACAGCTTAGGAATGGCAGGGCTAGATTCGGACCCAGGCCCAAGTCCAGGCTTCTTCCTTCATGCACCCATGAGGCAGGCAGTGTCTTGGTGACCTCCTGACTGGGAGGGCATGGAACAGATGGGAGCAGCAGGTGGACCCCTGAGGGTAAGGGAGGGCAGTGCACGGTGGTGGATCAGGCACCCCTTGTCATTCCAAGCCCCTAATAAAAAGCCCCACAGTGGGAGGCAGGGGGCTTGCGCCAGCCTTTCCTGACTCCCTAGCATCTACTTCCAGCTTTCTGTGCCTTCAACTGGCAGGCTGGGATTGTGGAGCTGGTGGTGGAATCCTTTTTACCGAAAGTGCTTTCCATTTTTCAGAAAATAATTACCCAGACCGGGCCTGGAGGCACATGCCTGTAATCTCAGCACTTGGGAGGCTGAGGCAGGAGGACCTATGTGGGTTCAAGGCCAGCCTAGGGTATTCAGTGAGTTCAAGGCCAGCCTGAGCTAGATAACGAGACCCTTTCTCAAAAAGACAAAATACAACAAACAAAAAAATTACCCAGCATCCTGACTAACAGGGAGGTGGTTCTGGGAGCAGGTCTGTTTGGAGTCAGGTGGACTTGTTTATTCACGGAACACCCGGCCCATGTGGTGGCCTGTGCTGTGTGCCACACAGAAGTCTCCCAGGGGAGACAGAGGCACAGCTGGGGTCCGTCCCTCTTTCGGTCCCTGTTGCACAGTCAGCCTGAGAGCAGAGCAGGCACTGATGGCCTTTTTGTGCCTACAGCTGGAGAAGGAGGAGCAGATCCACAGCGTGGACATCGGGAACAATGGCTCGGCCTTCGTGGAGGTGCTGGTGGGCAGCTCGGCTGGAGGAGCCAGTGAGCAAGACTATGAGGTAAGCAGGCAGTGAGATGCTGGCCTCTGTCCCACGTGTCCCCGTGGCTGTCGTCCGGGGTGCCACCATGTAAAATTACCACACTTTATTCATTCATCCTCCTGTGTACACAGTCTGCTTCCAAGGTTTAGCTATTACTCATTGTGCTGCTGTGTACATGCATGCGAGTGTCACACTGTGATGTGATGTCTTTAACTGTTTCAAGAAGGACAATAGCTGGATTCAGTAGGATTTCCTTTTTTTTTTTGTATCAGGAATCCAACTCAGGACCTTGCACTTGCCGGACAGGCATTATACTGCTGAGCTCTAGCCCTGGCCTGGATAGAATTTCTACTTTTCATTGTTTGAGGAATTTCCTCAATGGTTGTAGTAGTTTACACTCCACCCCCAACGTAGAAAGTTTCCTTTTTCCCCTGTAGCCTCGCCATCATTTGTTCCATTTGATGTCTTTGGGTGGTAGCCATTCTTTCTAGACTAAGGTACAATCTCAGTGTTTTTGTTTTTGTTTTTTGTTCTTGTTTATTTTTTGAGACAGGATTTCACTGTGTATTTCAAATTGCAACAATTCTCCTGCCTCAGCCTCGAAAATGCTGAGATTACAGGTGTTTACCACCACACCCAATTTCAGTGTATTTTTTAATTTGCATTTATCTAAAGGCCTGAGATGCTGAACATTTTAAAATGTTTTTATTCCATTTGTATGGCTTCCTCTGTGACATGTCTATTTTGGATGCCTATTTTTTGATTGGGTCTTTTATTTTGGGGAGGGGCTCTTAATTTTTTTAAGTTCTTTATGTATTCTAGATATCAGTCCTCTGTCAGAGAAATAGGTGGCAAAATTTTTTTCCCATTCCATAGGTTGTCTTTTCACTCTGTTGGTTGCTTCCTTTGCTGTTCAAAAGCTTTTTAATTTGGTGTGAGTTCAAGTGCTGATTCTTTGTATCATTTTATGTGTAGTTGGGTTCTGTCCAGAGTCTTTGCCTTCCCTTCTGTCTGTAAGAGTTTTGTCTGTTTTTGAGTGTTTCTGTTCTAACTTGTAGATCTTTGATCAGTTTTGATTTTAGTTTTAGTGCATGGTGAAGCTGTGGGTCTGCATGTGGGTGCTAGTTTCCCAGCACTGTTTATTAAAGAGGCTGTCTGTTCTTCACTGTATGTTTTGGCTTCTTTCTCAGAGATCAGGCGGTCGAATGTGTCCAGGGTTGTTCCTGCACCCTGTCTTCTGTTCCATTGATCCATGTTTTTGTGCAAGTATTTTCCCTTTTTTTTGAGACAGGGTCCAATAATGCTTTTTTTTTTTTTTGTCTTTTTCCTTTTTATCGGTACCAGAGATCGAACTCATGACTGCCTGCTTGCAAGGCAGGCGCTTATGCCGCTGAGCTAAATCCCCAGCCCCAATAATGCTTTTTATTGCAAAAGATTTCACAGTGCTCAATGTGTTGATTTACCATGTTTGCTTAGTTTTCTTTTGTGAAAATAGTTTCTGTGATTTGTGTTTCATGCCTTATGGCCTTTGAAGAGCACAGGCCAGTAATTTTTTTCAATCATTCACTGGACAAATGTCTGATGTTTCCTTGTAATTACATTTAGGTCATACACTTTTGGCTTGAACACCACAGAAGTGAGATTGTATTTTTTTTTTTTTTTTTTTTTTTTTTTGTGGTACCCGGGATCGAACTCATGACTTCATGCTTACCAGGCAGGCGCTTACACCACTGAGCTAAATCCCCAGCCTGAGATTGTATTCTTAGTGAGATTTACAATTGATTTTGTGTATTGACTTTGTATCTTGTGGTTATTTACTAGTGTGTTTATTTATCAGTTTTCATTTTGTTTTGTAGTACTGGGGATTGAGTCCAGGGTCTTTGCACTGAGCTACATTCCCAGTACCACCCCTTCTTGTACATTTTGAGACAGGGTCTTGAGAAGTTACCCAGGCTGGATTTGAGTTTGAGATCTTCCTGCCTCAGCCTCCCAGTGTGTTGGGATTACAGGTGTATGCCACAGTGCCTGGTTACTTACTAATTCTTTTTTTTGTTACTGGAAATCAAACTCATGACTTTGTGCTTGCCAGGCAGGTACAACTTACTGATTCTTGCGGTTTGTGTAAACCCCTTGGGATTTTCTGCAGAGACAGTCATGCTAACTGTGTATAAATACATTTTCCTTCCTTTCCAGTCTATATACTTCTCTTTAGTTTTTCTTACCCTGTCACACTGACTCGCTCCTCCAGTCCATGTGCTGAAGCAGCCAAAGCTGCACCCCCGCCCGCTTTCTGCGCTGGGGTGGGAGTGTCAAGTCTTTCACTATTAGTTACCACATTAGCGGCAGCTTGTTTTTGTCCTTAGGGAGGCTGAAACAGACCCTGTCTATTCCTAATTTGTTGAGAACTTTTTCTTCATGAGCATATGTACGTTGAATTTCATCAAGTGTCTTTTCTGTTCTATGAGGAACACTTGCTCAAATGAGGCTTCCGATAACAAATGTTTCTGTTCTCAGGATGACATACATTTACAGTCTTTGGGACTGTCATGAAAAAGTTGTCTGCTCCTCTTGGAAAACAGGTATAGATCAGAATTGTACTTAACAGTGACAAAAGTAGAATCAGTGCACTTTAGCTAAATGTCACCCTGTCGGGTGTCTGAGTGTTTCTAGCCTTGGCTTGCTGAGCTAGTGAGAAGGAATGGCTTGGGGAGGAGCATTCCCAGGTCCAAGCTGATTCAGGGTTTTCCCTGAAACTTCTGCTCCGGTCTCAGATTTCTGTTACAACTTCTGGCCATGACTGAAGACTTTGGGGCTCAGGGCTTGGTGCCCCGCCACTCAGAACCTGGAAGAACCAAGAAGGACAAGGAAACAGGACAGCTGAGGAGCGCTCAAGACTGATTTCACCTACAAATTGAACCTGAAGGACATGACAGCAGCTGCCAGCGCTGCTTTCTACAAAGTCAGCGTCCTTTCCTCCCTTACAGGATTTGGGGTCAGGACAGACGAGAGATTAAGGCTTGAATTTTGGATGCTTAAAGGCAGGGTAGGGTGGTACAAGTCTCACAGGCAGAGTGCTTTCCTCTTTAAGTGAACGGAGGAGGAGATGCTCGAGGAAACCTGCCCCTCAGTGCAGGCAGAAAGTGCCACCCCAGTTTGCATTATCCTTTCAGTTTGTTCCCAGTGGTAAATTCAGCGTCCCTGTCAGCTCAGAACCAGGCCTTTAACACACAGCCACAGTCAGCCAGGGAGATAGCTTTCCTTCTGTGTAATTTGCTTTGCCTTTTTTTGTTTCCTCTTTACAACCAGAGTCGGGCACAAAGAGATACACAGTTATGGCCTGAAATTTTCTGAGCAAGAGACTTTTTTTTCTAATTTTATCAATTTCTCCCAATGTCAGTTAGAAAAGAGACTCATAAGTAACAAAACACACAACTAGAAGCTGCTTACTGGATAGGGAAACAGATTTGTTCTTTCATTTGGAGGGAGGTCAGGAATGAGGCAGACCTGGAGCTGATAGCGAAGCTTAACAGAATTAGGCTGCTTGGTTGGTATCTCTTGATTATTCTGGATTTGGCCTTATGGTCACGAGATGATTGTTCCGGCTCCAGACATCACGTGGTAGCTTTTAAAGCAAGAAGCGGGGAGGAGGTGGGGTGGCAGGAAGGCCACGCTCTTCTTTTCTCCTTAATGGGGAAGGACAGCCTTTGCCCCAGCAGACTTCCTCTCCTGGATCTGCCTGGCTGGAACTGGGTGGTGGTCCAACCATGGGTTGGATTGTTTGGCCCACTCGTGGTTTATTTCTTTATATAAGCACAGCTCTCCCGGCCTGGTCAGTTTTGGTTGTCATTTTGTCCTTTTCTTATACTGTCAGTATCTCCGTGTATGTCTTTAATCTAGTAAACATACTTATTTTTACATTGTATGGTTTGTAATTCGAAGCTATGCCTTGTTTGTGAGTCTGAGGCTGTAGTTTGTGGTTTTTGCTGAATCTTAAGTCATGGTAGTTATGTTTTATAGGGGTGTGTGTGTGTGTCTAACCACTGAATTAACACTGAATTTTATTCTTTGGGAATGCAACTATATGTATGTTTCTGGAGATTAAACTCAGGAATTTTTCAGCAATATTCCCAACCGTTTTTAAATTTTTAAAAATTTTTGAGATAGGGTCTCACTGTGTTGCCCAGGCTGGACTCCAATTTACTATCCTCTTACCTCAACTGTCTCCTCTTCTTCCTCTTCCTCCTTCTTTCTTTCTCTCCCTCTTCTCCTCCCTCCTCTTCTCTCCCCCTTCTTTTCCCTTCCTCCCTTTCTTCCTTCTTCCTTTTTCCTGAGACAGAAAAACAAAAATGTAGTTCAGGCTGGCCCAGCCTCACTATGTAGCCCAGGCTGACCTCAAACTCACAGCGATCCTCCTGCTTCAGTCTCCCAGGTGCTGGAATCACAGTTGTGTGCTACCGTGGCCAGCCTGCCTCAGCCTCCTGAGTAGCTGGAGTTATGGGTTTCTGTGGGAATTTTCTAAAAACCTGCTTTGAAGTATATTCCTTCACAGAAAAGCTACCTGGGTTAGGCAGTGCTGTGCAGATAGATATGACCACTTACATCCCTGAGAGGGGTGGGATGAGGCTGGCTCTGAGTGTCAGGAAGCTGCAAACTGGATTCCTCAGGGCCATGGAAACCGGAAACCGGAAGCCGCCTAGGCAGTGCTGCCAGGACCTGTAAGTGGACTGGAGTGAGCCAGCTCTCCCTGCCTGGCCTCCTGTTGTTCACGGCCTCTCTAGCTCCCCCTGTTGGCGGAGGCTGCTAAGACTCCCACTGGCCCCCAGAAATGTGGTTGACCCAGGCCAGGCCCCACACACATCACAGAGCTGAGGGACGGGTGGATTCGAGCAGAGAAGCAATCACTTAATAACTGACGCTGCTCCGCTGCCTCTGTAGGTTCTGCACTCTCATATCTGTCGACCTATAATTCTTCTGGCCCTTCTGTTGACTCAGTCTTTCATGTCCAAAAGGCGTGTACAGTGCTCCTCTGTGAGGTCTCTGCTGGGAGCGTTCCCTGGGATATGTAGCCCACAGTACTGCTCAACATCAGGCCCCATGGAAGACCTTAGGGAAGGGCCACCAGATCTGGAGGTTAGAAACATCCATCTGGGCTCCCATGTGACCCACCAGTCCCATTCCTGGGTGTTACTTCCCAAGAAGTGAGAGCTGCGTGTCGCAGAGACCTGTGCACAACCTTGTTGATGGCAACATTATTCACAGTAGCCAAGACGTAAAATCAACTGCTGCGTCTAGTGGCGGATGATTGGATAACAAATGTGTTGTATACATGTGTGGTAGAATATTATTCAGCCATAAACAATGAAATCCTGCCATTTGCAGCAACATGAGTGGAGCTGAAGCACAAGGTGCCTAAAAACAAACACTGCATGTTCTTACTTACGGATGGAAGCTAAGAAATTGATCTCCACAAAGAGAACAGAGAATAAAATGGTGGTTATCAGGCCCTGGGGAAGATGTGTGTGAGAGAGGGTGTTTAGCAGTTCCAGAGGTGCAGCTGAATAGGAGGAATAGTCCGTTGGCATAGTTGGATAACTGGTGACAATAATTAGTTGTCTATTTCAAGCCAGCTAGTAGAGAAGCTGTTAAATGTCCTGTGTTAGTTAGCTTTTTGTTCCTGCGACCAAATACCTGGAAAGAAATCAATTCGAGGGAAGAAAGATTTGCTTTGGCTCCTATGATTAGAGATTTCAGTCCATGGTCAGCTGTTCCCATCGCAGAGGGTCCACAGCAAGCTAGAGCATGGTGGGGGGTGGGCAGGCAGAGCTGCTCCCCTCCTGGTAGTGGGGAAGAAGAGAGAGGGGAAGAGCCAGTGCGGGAGGGCCGGGACAGGGTGTGGCCCCCAAGGTCACGCCCCCAAGACCTCCTGTCTCCACGTACACCCCCCTCCGACATCTCCCATCACCTGCAGTGATGCCATCGTCTTAACCCCGTCTGTGGGGCAGAGCCGGGACCAGCCAGTGTCTTTGGGAAGCCCCACCCCTGGCCCTGAGCCCTCTGGGGGACACTGTGGTGTCATACATGTGTAGGTGTCCCAGTAACCTTGGTCTGGTCATTACAGATGGTATTCATGATTGAAATGTCACCCCATACCTCATTAGTATGCATAATTACTATATATCAAAATGTGTTTTGGGGGGGTTGGGACACAGAGCTCAGTGGTAGAGAATTTTTGTTTTGTTTTGAGACAGGGCCTCGCTATGTAGTTCAGAGTGGCCCTGAACTCACTATGTAGCCCAGGCTGACCTCAAACTCATGGCAATCTTCCTGCCTCAGCCTCCTCATCTTGGGATTATAAGCATGTGCCTCTATCCCTGGCAGTGGTAGAGCATTTGCCTAGTATGTATAAAACCCTGAGTTCTATCCTCAGCATGCAATAATATTTTTTTTTGGTAAATTTCTTTTTTTTTTTCCCAGTACCAGGAATTGGACTCACAACCTCGTACTTTCCAGGAAGGTGTTTGTGCCACTGAGCTAAACCCCCGGCCCAGCATGTATTGTCTGTCACATGTATATTACATATATATGTCCACTGAAGCCAGGGCCTTCAAACTGAACTACATCTCCTATCCATTTCTTACTCATTTTGAGAGAGTCTTGCTAAGTCACCAAGTTGCCTAGACTGGGCTTGAAATTGTGATCCTCCTGCTTCAGCCTCCCACAGTGCTGGTATTATAGGCATGCCCTGCTCAAAAAAAAAAAAAAAAAAGTTTTAAGATTTAAAAATAAAAGAAAATCCCTCTGAGGCCTGTATCAGGACAAGACTCACAGAAGCCCAGAAACAAACAGGAAAGGTGTAGACCCAGCCTGGAGTTTGGTGACCCCCATTCCCTCCTTGGGCCTCCTATCCTCTTGCCCAGTGTAGGAGGTATCATCTAAACCAGCCAGCCCTGGTTCTCAGCCATTGTGCTTTCTTCCACCCAGGTGCTCCTGGTCACCTCATCTTTTATGTCCCCTTCTGAGAGCCGTAGTGGCTCAAACCCCAACCGTGTTCGCATTTTTGGGCCTGACAAGTTGGTCCGGGCAGCAGCCGAGAAGCGCTGGGACCGGATCAAAATTGTGTGCAGCCAGCCCTACACCAAGGTACCTGGGTTGGAACTGAGAGTGCAGGGAACTGAGGGGCCAATAATGGGGGAGTGGAGAGCTGTGACCCCAGGGGCTTGTGGGGAGGCAGGGTCCCTGTGCTTCGGAAGTGGGTGAAGTTCAACCCCGACTGAAGCTTAGTTCTTGGAGGGTGAGGAGTCTCGGCCAGGCAAAGGTGCTTCGGCAGAAGGGGAGCGAGGGAGGGAAGCTGACTGCCTAGCGGAAGGCTAGCACAGTGGCCAGAGTCAGCCTTTGGGTTCAGATCCTGTCTGAACCACTTTAACTGTGAACCTGGGCAAGTGACTGCCTTCTCCAGGCATAGTGTCCTGATCTGTGGGGGGTGCTGAGCTGTGCTGACTGTGAGACCTGAGTGTGTGATGGCCCCACAGTACAGGGGCCCTTCCTGTCCCTGAAGCTGTCCATGGAGCTGGTCAGCTGCCTTCTCTCCACAAGGTCCCTCAGGGAGCCAGGCTCCTCTGTCTTCTGGGTCTGCTTCCAGCCAGCAGAGGAGCAAAGAGCGGGGAGTATTTCTGTGTTTTAGAGGCAATTCCCTGCGCTCCCTCCCATTCCCACAAAACCCCGCAGTCATCCAGGACTTTGGGAACAGGGACATTTTTATTCTCTTGCACAGGCAACAGACTTTGCCCTCTGCAGTAAGGGCTAAAGGAGCCCATGCATGTGAGGCAGAGCTGAGCCTGCCCAGAGTTAGGATGCAGTGAAGCCCAGCGTTGCTATCATTGCCCTCAGGGCACCTCCTTGGACATGCATGTCCGTAACAAATGAAGGGGCTTCCTAAGTGAAAGGGTCTTGGGGCCGGGCTCTGTCCTTGGCCATGCCCTAACCCCCCACCTGTATTGTTTCAGGACTCACCCTACGGTCTGAGTTTTATTCGGCTTCATAGCCCTCCCGACAAAGAGGAGGCAGAGGTCCCCTCCCAGGTAAGCGCCACCCTCCACAGCCCCCAGCCTTCTTCCTGCTCCTGCCACAGCCCTTACATGGCCTGACTGTGTGGGGGACCTTAGAAGGTGACGGTGACAAAGCTTGGCCAGTTCCGGGTGAAGGAAGAAGATGAGAGTGCCAGTTCCCTGAGACCGGGGGCCCTCTTCTTTGGCAGGATTAACAAGACATCCCCAGGTGAGTGTTGAAATCTGGTCCTGGGTCAGTAGAGGGTGGGGCCCTCGCCTTCTGGGTCTGAGGGAGGAGGCCGGGGCCTGGACCCCCAGGTCTGAGGGAGGAGACTGGTTTCTGAATTCTTGAGTCCCTGCTGGGTTTTGCAAAGACACTGTGTCTCATAGGTAAGAACTAAGGAGTCTCTGGGTCCAGCTGTCTCATTGGGGTTCCATTTTCTTCTTCTATAGCTACAACCAGTGACCCAACAGGGCCCAGCTATGCAGCAGCTACACTCCAGGCCTCCAGTGCCACCGCCTCCGCATCGCCAATCTCCAAGGCGGTGGGCAGCACCTCTCAGGTGAGGTCATCAGACCTTGGTGCGGGGCTGGGAGCCTGTGAAGTCAGAAGCCCCAGCTTACCCCCACCTCCTCAGCCTCAGGAGTCTCCTAAAGGGAAGAGGAAGTTGGATTTGAACGTAGAAGAAAAGAAGGCCCCTAGCAAACCGTCAGCCCAGCTCTCACCTCCTGCCCTCAAGAGACCCAAATGTGAGCCAGCTGGATCCTTTGCTGAACGGGGCCTGGGAGGATGACCGGCCTGTGCTCCCCGGGAGGGGATGGGCTGAGCATGAAGCACCGGTGCTGCTGACTGAATCTTTGCCTCTTCGGTCCCCAGTGCCAGCTCCCACCCGCACCCCAGCTGCAGCCCCGGTCCCAGCCGCAGCACAGAGGGCTGTGCCAGGGAAGCCCCGGGGAGATGGCACTGAGCCCAGGGGAGCCCGAGCCGGCCCTCAGGAGCTGGGGAAGATCCTCCAAGGCGTGGTGGTGGTGCTGAGCGGCTTTCAGAACCCCTTTCGCTCGGAGCTCCGGGACAAGG